CCTAAAGAGAGACGTAAAGAAAAAGGGCCTTAAAGGAGATCTAATAACGAGAAGACCTAGACAGAGATATGATAAACCTAAAAAAGATGACGAAAAAAAATAAAATGAAACACCACACACACAAACCCACTCCCAACCCACACTCCCAACCCACACTCCCACACCCACTCGCACTCCCAACCCACACTACCCGCATACCTAAAGAGTGACGTAAAGAAAAAGGGCCTTAAAGGAGATCTAATAACGAGAAGACCTAGACAGAGATAAGATAAACCTAAAAAAGATGACGAAAAAAAATAAAATGAAAAACCACATACACAACCCACACTCCCAAACCACACTACCCACATACCTAAAGAAAGACGTAAAGAAAACCACACTAAAGTGTGTGAGTGAAGCGTATGAGTGAGGTATCTTATATATAAACAAAATAAAGTTAAAAATAATAAAAATAAAATAATTTTTAATTTAAAAAAGAAACTTTTTGAAAATATCCTCCGCGTAGTTTTTGAAACGCCAAAAAGGATAAGAAAATCACGAAGATGAGTTACTATGTGAAAAAAAAAGTTTTCATTTGAGCTTTTTTCTTGAAAAAAAAAGAAACATTATTTTTTTTTTATGGGTTACTATGCTAAGGGGAAGAAAAGGATATTTTTTAAAAAAATTTTTTGATGGAGAGGTATTTGTATAAAAAAAATTGGCATACAAAAATTTTTTTTTCTCACGGAGTTTTGCGAGTTTGAGTAAAATCGCGTCATGATGTAAGAGATGACTCATGATTATTGATCATGTGATCATGTGATGAAAAAATAAGCTGGATCATGCATAAAATTTCGAAGGTCCGCAAAATAGTATTTGCAAGTGAATTCAAAACATATATTAATAAAGCATTCCCATATCGGATTTTATTTTTTAAAAGTGTGTTCTGCATGTGTCAATAATATGACATATTATAGTACTTTTTGCCAAACATCACGGAAATAATTTGCTATAACGGTTAGATTATCCCGAGGATACTGCGCTGTTTCTTCGGCGCAATATTGACGAACCTACTGGACAGCTCATCAGAAAAAAATAATATTTTTCAGGATAAATAAATATGTATGCATTAATAAATTTATAATTAAATTCGCATATGTTTTATATAACTCGTGTGCATAAACTAATTGAAAAATGCTTTTTAATTTGTAAAATTACTATATAACAAATTATGCAATATAATTTATAATGATACTATAAAGAAATGATCCCGCTACAATAGATTAAAGTGCGTCTTAGGCGACAGTTCCTGCAAAGTAATATCATTTTTGTGTTCTTGTGTTGATTGCACGAGACCTGATCGGTAGATCGCTTCTCCAGGACGCTAGATGGGACCACACGATCGTCTCTGCGCAATTGCCACCGTTCTTGATTTTCTATCAAATTCATGTTCCTGTCTCGGGAAAAAGACGATTGTATCTCATGATGAACTCCTGTCCCTATCAGTGTTGTCCCGAACGAGATCTTCAAGGTTTTTTGTCGTTTTTTGTTGTCGGTATGTCGTCTTCTACTTCGTCTGCCTCTAAAATCAATATCCACTTCGTGAGAATTATTTGCCGGTTGTTTCTGGAGTATCAAATAATCTTTAATGCGGCATTTGCTTAAAGAAAACACGACAATATTTGAACATACTTGTAAGGTTTTTGTATGTCCTTGACAATTTTTTTTTTTTAAAAAAAAAAAAAATTTATGATGCATAAATTATTTTAGTTGCACATAAAATTTCGTCTATTACACATCATTACGTCCAAATAATTCCGAATATTTACCGATAAAGTATTTGAAAGAATACATAAAATATTAACAAAAATTTATCTCACATTCTTTTTTTAAAAATTTCTATTTATTTTATTGAGGAAAAAAAAAAAAACTTTCACATATAATTATGTAAGAAACTTTATGAAATATATATGTAAATGTGATTTACGATGACGCTAGCGCAACATTTAAACAAAATGAGCTAGTTAATAGCCATTTCCAGTAATATCGTCACTTCGTAGAATCTCTGGCTACATTCGTACAAAAAAAATAACGTGTCTGTAATGGTATAAGATGAATCGCATGCTTGACTCTTTGAGCCGATGTTTTACACCTACAGTTTCTCACTAGAGGCAAGCACAGAAACAAACAGCGATGGACTTCTAGTGACACAATATTTTTTTGTCCAATCATCGTGACATCATTCAAAGTAAGTATTCTGTCAAAATTAAGAGCAGTAAATGAAAAACACCAGACAGGTAAAACTCACTTTAATTATTTCCAAATACGATGTCTTACATGTTTGCGAGTAGGTGATGATTATACATGTCAATATCATGAATAATAAACTCATCTTACTACTAATGAAAGTTCCAAAGGATGGAAAGCCTTAAGAACCACGTTAATTGGTGAGCCCACACCATAATCCATCCCTCTTATTATTATTGACCCATGACTTAATGCTACGACATTCCCATCAATATCGAACCATGCACATCCTGAATCTCCTTTACTCATGAAATTTATGAATGTGCCTTTTTTAGCCTTTACCAATATTTGTCTGTCAAGCCATATATCTTTGTTTTTGTCACCCTCCATTAAAACATCATGGAAAATTCCAACTTGGCGTCTCATCATGTTTCCAGTATTAACTGAGACAGGAATTTCTTTAATCACTCCTTCGGTTAATCCAGTTGTACGTCCAACCTTAAATATACGTCTAGATGCACTGTCTTCAATATTCTCCTTTAAACCAGAAAGACGTATATTAGGGATATTACAAACGTTGAACGAACTATTTCTAATAGCAAGTTTACTTGGGTTCAATCCTCGCTTGTCGGGTAGTACGAGGGCAATGGCGGCATCAACACCATACTTATATTGACCAAATTTATAATTACCACGTACGCCCTTTTCAATTAGAGCAAATCTAGTATCTTTTTGTTGCGCAGATTCGAATTTTTTTTTATTTTCTATACATGTCTGATAGCTTGAATCCAGAAATTCAAGTTTTTTAGACAATTTGTTCTTGAAAAATTCATAATCTGTGTTTAAAATTTCATTCCATTCCTTTTTCGTTTTGTTGAATTCACATTCGAGTCTATGCAGTTTAAGCATTATTTGTAATGCCTCTAATTTTTCTAGTTCTACTTGTAACTCCTTTTTTTTTTCGTTTTATAACTTATTTTCTGTTCTAAACATCAATAATTTGTTGAAAGCTTCAAGCATTCTCAATAAATCCTGATGTTTTACATTATTTCCATCTTCCTCAACTATAACTTCTTTCAAGACTGAGATTACTGATTCTAATCTTTTTAACTCTTCCATATCTTCTGTCAAGGCTGAGTGACCATGCTCTTCATTCATTACATTCTTCGGGTTGAACGATTCAATCATAGTAAGTTTTTTCTCAGAATCGTTTAATAGTTTATCTTCAAAGATCAATTCCTCTAATGTTTCTAATGATGATGCCAGATCATCCAAAGAACGACCAATGTAGTCAAAGTCAGATGGTTGGTGTATATATTCAGAATTGTGTCCTGAAACAACATGTTCGTTTGTCATCAAATATATTTGCTGGTTGGAGTCTTTAACGAAAAGCCCTAAAGTTCCTACTCTACTGTTTACGCCAATACTAGATCCAGGTGATACCCTTTTCTTATATTCACAACAATCGATTTCCCCTCGTTCAACAATGGTTTGTTCATAAAAACCTTCACATACATCTGTAATAAAACCGCCAATATTTTCAGGAAAAAGAGTGTTATTATGAGGTAATATATTCTTACGTATTACATAAAATACAATAGCAGGTACATTCTCGTAAAGTTCATTTCTAATTTTCCAATATAAACTAATAGCAATAAGGTTATGGTGTTTTGAACGAAAGTCATCCCCAAGTTCGGTATCTAATATATTGTTAAATTTTTCTATATCTTTAGAGGAGAGTGCTTCCTGTGGTGGATCGTTTAGAGGTGAGTTTTCCGTAAAAGTTCCCCACTCAATATATCTTATCATAAATTTTCCCAAATTTTGCAACTTTATTTCTGGCATTCTGTTCACTACAATGTACAAGTTTTGTTTAACATATGGTGGTTCTTCACTGCCAAAAAACATATCCAATACATTCGGATCATTTAAAATTTTGTGAATTTCACACGCGTTTTCTTTAGTTATGTAAGGAACGTTATTACCTTGTAATAGAATAGTCATAATATTAATAATAAAAATTAATGTTACAAATAATTACCAATGTTTATATTACCATTCTTATTTTCAACGTATTCTCTTTCTTCCATATCCTTTGAGGTTTTATCAAAATCAGCTGAGGAATTAAGACTGTTGCTTCGTACTTCAACTATATTGTCAGTAATAGTTAGAATAAATACAAAATTAGATCTTTTGTCACACAAGATCACAAACCTGTCATATTGACGCTTCTAGTATCAATCTTGGCAACGGTAATAGACATGATACGAAATAATAAATGTAAAAATATTTTTTTGCAGAAAGAAGAAACAAAAGAAACAGTTTATGAGAAATTTTTTCATTGATAAATCATAAACTTTTTGTATTGATTATATTTTGACTACTGCAGATCAAATGTATAATGATGTAGGTTCGTGTCATTGCTATGATTTTAATGATTTTAATTTTATTTTCCGCATGTATCACAGGCTATGTCTATTTCTTGCGTGTATTAATTTCTTGGCAAAAGTGATTAACGTAACAATTTGTCACTTGCACAAGGCAATAAATTTGTAATAACATCAAAGAGCCCTTACTCTGGTCCTGATTTGGAGTTACAACGCTTTGACATGACCCAGTATCAAAACTTTTATTGAGACTGATATGTATTAATTCACGTGTTAACGATATTACTGCATATTAGTCATATGTCCTATTTGTCTCTCTCGCATTTTCCATTAGTTACTCTTTTATTTATTACTACTAATTTTACTGATTGTATTTAATGAAACAAATAAAAGTAATTTTTTATCCCGAATGCAATGGTTTTATTTATGTATAATAGCTATTTTAACGAAAGATATCACCATTTTTGTTATTATTAGATGAAAGCGTTTCATATTAATGCAAATACCAGAATTCGATTATGAAAATAATAGGTATTGATGTAAAAAATAGAATCCCAGATCAGTAACTGCGACTAATTTTTTTGTAACTATACTTGATTACTCATTCTTGACCACATACGCTCGTTTTTCAGCTTCAAATAATCTTTACATTTTTCAAGAAGTAGTTGACATTCTCCCTTTGAATTTTTCTATCTTAATGTATTTTGAGATATATATATACTTTTTGTGTAAAATCACGTGTCTCTGATCGTTTCCCGAGGAAATTATTTTTCAGAAAATAGTTTTGCCGTTGGTCCCATCTTGTCATATTCTTTATATCCGTATTCTTCTCCGCAATCGTCTAAAATAATATTTTAATATACTAGTAAATACACTAAACAAAATTTAGAAGTGATAATTCTGATTGCTTATTTACAAGAATTGTTCACGGGTTTATTCCTACTAAAGAAGCGATGAACATTTCACAATAGACAGCTTGTAGTCAACTTGTGCTTGATACTGGGGTAAATAACAAGTGTTCAGAGTGTCACGTGGACGGAGTGACGTAATCATATTGATTCTTATTCTGACGGCAAATTTATTTTTTCATTTGTCTCAACAATAGTAATGTGGATTAACTTTCTGTATTACATAAATCAAATACATAAATAAATTGCATGTCCTAGTTTGTGGAAAAAAATTTTGAATTGATGGAATAAAAGTACTGGCACACTCACTACCGAAATGAACAAATGTTCTCGGTTAAAAGTGTACTTCTTTGATATGTATCTTGATCGAATGGCAACGTAAAAAAGTATACTTATACAGTAAATCGTCTTGTTGGATCATTTGAGTCGACCAGTCCTCATGATCACAACCGAATACTACAAAACAACATTACAATAATGAGCAAATGCATGATAATTTTTTAGCTACGCTTAATTTTCATTTAACTGGTCTATGTTGCATCTTACCATTAGCATAAATTTTCTATTACTTGACAAGTTGATTACCGACAGTATTACTTTACTTCCAACAAATCATCCCGGAAAGAATACCACTCAGAATTCTTATAGACGAAAGTAGTCAAGGTAGCAATTTAGCAATAGAATTTGGGTGAAACCAAGTTCCACTAGAATTATTGTTTCTACATACGAGGTCCATTCCCTTTTGATGCCAATATTCTACTATGCCTATTTCTTGACTATATTTCAAGGAGTTGTAACTGTGACTGGAATGTAAAAATAGCCAACTGCGAGATTGTAATCCTAGATTCCATCTAGAACTGGAGGAACTAATAACTACATTCCTAGGAGAATGGAGAGCAAAAAAACAAAAAATGGTTGTCATCGATAACATTTATCCACGAACTCAGAGTGAATATGTAACAATTATTTTACTTATTTTTTGTACTAAATATATGACAACCGTAATCATAAGACTTTCGGTCTTATTTAACTAGAGGTTTTAGAAGATACTCTCATAATGGGTCACGATTGAATTATTCATCACCGACGTAGTGAATTGTTCGGAAATTATTAGTTGTCATATTGACAAAGCCACTAGCTATCACAATGTATATTGAGGAGATAGCCATAATTTTTACATTATATAACATTCTGTGAAAAAATAAATTTGATCAGTTACGAAGAAAATAACTCATATGAGAATCACGTAATAGTACAAACCTGTACAAAGCCTGAGCTGCCAGCAATAGTACAAGAATTTCAACCGAACCGCAATTGCATATATATATTTTTTGGTGAATTCGCAGGATTGTTCCAGTGGACCGAATAATCCAACTCTTATGTCACTAAAGGCAAAACAGTTCCCCGAGGGAACGATCAACTAACTGAAGTCATCAATGGCAAAACAGTTCCCTAAGGGAACGATCAACTAATTAACGTGATCGAAGGCAAAACATTTCCCTCAGAACAATACCTTTACCAATTCCGCTTATTTCCCACAATAATAACAGATAATATTTTTTGTTACATAAGTTTCTGCCGGTATTTTTTCTCGTCAAAATGGAAGTCAAAATATATTCGAAACACACTTTGTTGTTTCTGTCCACAATATTTCCCATCATCGGTGTTTTAAAAGAATCTTTTTATGATTATCGTTAACTAGGATCCATGTTGTAACTTCTCGATGATATGAAAATGTAAAAGTAACATGTACAGACCGATAACGTAATTTTTTATTTATTAGTATAGTATATAATGGAAATAGAAACTTAGAAAGCGTTTGTTCTTTACCTACCCAATCACATTACTGATCTGCTTAGTTAATAGCGAAAAAGTGTTCATGAAATTCTTGATCACGATGGAATGATACATTGTGTAGATTATGTCCCTTATATATTATACTGTCTACCGTATATTTTTACTCATGAAATGACACCGAATGAATATCTCACCAGGGATAATATAATAGTACCAAGAGTTAAAAGAAGAATTGCAATTAATTATGCAGAAATAATTTATTCGGATATTACAAGTGATAGTATTTTTGATAATAAGGCCTCATTATAAGCGAAACATTATTATTGTACAAAATAGATTAGGAAAGGGGTACTAATCACCACAAAGGGAAATTAGGTTATACTTTTTCTAGGTAAATTCCCATTATTAAAGAATTCTATCATTTCCAATGTAAATATTGGCATATACTGAGAAGATATGCTAATGTCGTAGATATCTAAAATTTAATGTCATTGCTTCGTAAAATCTCTGGTTACATTTGTGCTGTATCTAGAATAATAAAAATGAATCTCATGTCTGAAGGTGTCCACTAGAAGAAGTATGATTATAAACAGCGCAACAGCACAATCGTATTGCTTATTTTAATTATTTCCGCATACAGCTCATATGTTTGCGAAGCTCTGATATTATGTTCTATAACATCAGTTATGCCATACAACCCCTAAGAATTACATGGAGAATGGGAGCAATTAATAATTCGACCACAGATACACAGTATCCCTTGGATATTAATAACAAGTATTCGAATACAAGAAAATGGCCACATGATATAATTTTTTAGTAATCGATAAGGATTCAGAAAAATATCTTCTCGTTGTTTAATAGCGTAGTATGATACTTGGGAGCAAAAAGAAATAATTCATTGCGAAACAAAAAATAAATATGTGTAGAAGCATGTTATCATGGAACTCTTTACGAGTGACATTTAGAAGGTGGAAATGTAACAAAGATATTGCATACAAAACATGGTGTCAAGCTTGTGGTCTTATTTAGACATGGAAAGACTGGAAAGTGGAGATAAAGTTGTGATTATTGATCATTGTATGATATCACGTGAGGATGCTGTGCACAAACCAATCATGTGTTACTGCGCCTACTCAAAGCATAATTTCAATGTGAAGAGAAAAGTTGTTTGCATCTGCTATGCAGCAAAGTGGAAGAATACATCAACAGTATATGCTATCAAAAAGGTTTAACTTCCGTATCTAGTAATTTCGTATACTTTTTTTTAAAGCGTAATATATCTCCTCCTCTGATTCCCAAAGAACATAGTTCTGTTAGCTCTTTTCTGACCCCACGGTATATGAAGGTGTACCTAAATAGAAAGAAAATGCACTAAATGCAGATTGCTTGCAAATGGTAATTTTGATAATAAAGAGTTATCTTAAAGTATTACCTTGTTTTATACGCTCTTCTATAATTTTATTAATTATATGATGAAGCTCGTGAAACTCGTAAGAAAAGGTAAATTCAGGCTTTTTAACAAAAATGTGGAAATGTTTTTTATTGGAAGACGGGCTGAAGATATATTTAATGGTTTGTATTGGGTTTAGTATTTCTTTCCATGTAAGTCACCCTCAACATAGGTGTCAATATCGGGATAGTTTTCGAGGTTCCGCAATTTTGCTTCTTCATCAAACGGAAGGTATATTTTTCATAACACTATATCATTAGGGTCGGTGTAATGAAAAACACTCTTCTTTTCTTTCCTAATCCAATGCTTAAAATGAAAAATTGTTTCTTCAGACTCTGCTCTATTGTGAATGAATACGGGAAACTATTGCGAATCTCCTTGGAGGAAGCACCAGAGCACATATTCTGACATAGTTGCAAAACTTATATTTCCAGGTGGAAACACCTACGGGTATTGTGTTTTCAGATTGAGAAGAAAAAACGATAACAAGAATATATGAATATATCTGCATGAAAATATAACCGGTATTAGACAATCGTAGGTAATATGATTAGCTAACTTTACGTATAATGACGCAATAAATGACTATTTTTTTTGGAAGTAGAACAAACCAACAGAGTTATTTCCTAGTTACATATAAAATATGCTGATATATTGTTTCTCGATTGTAAATCTTGCAAGAGCATTATGCCATCAAATGATAATTATATATTTTTATGCTGTATTGTGAAAAACAGCAATCGTTTAGAAAAAACATGGGACTCGAAACTAGTTAATTAAAACATCACGTATATATCAGGAACAAAGTCCCAACAAATAACTGTTTTCCGTACTCAGAAGTCCAAAAAGGAGAAAACAGCGGCCATTATAAATGCCAACATACGTTTCTCATCGTAATTTCTTCTATTTATTAACTCTACTCCATGTGAAAGGAATGTTTACAAGATCATTAAAACAAAGGAAATAATCGCACATGAAATCGATTAGAACTTCTCTGAAGCTTGTAATGTAAAATAATGGTTATTTCTTGTTACCCTTAAAAATAACTAGCTTCTATGGAAAGAATATGGCGCATTGTCCTAGCCTGACGTTGGACTTTTTGTTGTTCAATAACAATTACCTTCTCTCGAAACAAACTATATCAAACATGTAAGTCGTATCCAAGTAACATATGTATACCAATAAAGAAATCAACAAGTAGCCTATTATTCTTCATCTATTTAATCGTAAATAGTACTACGATTCTTACAAAATATCACGAGACAGAAGCTATCAATAATATAAGGAAGGATTCTCTGATACCAAATCATGCCCGAAGAGCCTTTAGTATACTTGTCTGCAGAAATATTCATCTGGATTAGTTTGCGTATTATTGGTTTCTTAAGGATAGTGACATCTAAAATATTTTTTCATGGAGGGATAGAACTCGTGAGAACAAGTAGTAGACAAATACTATGCTCATATCGGTTCCTCACGGCGTTGCTTCCGAAACAATAACTGCTCATTTGTGTCCAGGGATTTTATTTATTGTTCCGGCGGATAATACAATACAGGTAAAAGGTATATCCACGGTATGGAATAATCATCACAAAAAAAATATAGATTAGCTGTCATCATGTAGTACAATGTTTGAGAAAGCCATAACTACGAGACAGTGTCCCTCTGGTCACGGTTAGCTTATTTATCGGACCGACAGAAAAAACAAAGAATGCATCGAATATACATACACATGAATGACATGATAAAATGGTTTACATACAATTTTGTACACGTGTTTGTATTCCAGTGGCCATTTTGTTCACTCACATAATTGATTATATAAAAATAAGAAAACTCTTTCTGACGATCGTTAAATACCAAAAATTCACAGAAGAAATTTTCACCATAAAAATACATTTCTCTATAGACAAGTGTCATTTTTTCTACAAATTTTGGTCTCTACGCACTCCTCGGAACATTATCATATGAGTTTTGCTATAGGAAAAAAATTTTCAAATAAATTCCTTAAAAATTTGGAAAAAAACTATCGTTCTATTTCTAACGACGAGGATATATATCTCACCTACTCGTCTTCCAACAAAAACAAATTCAATATGACCTCTAGTCAACCTGCAGCGCCTTCTCAAACTGCTAACAACACTTCAACAGACACAACTATGGAAGAAGCAACGACTTCTTCTCCTACTCATGCTCTTTCGCACAGCGAAATTGAACTTACATCACGTGACTCACATGAACAAGATGTTCACACACAAACACCAATCACTGACAAATTGACTAATATGGATGTAGATCCCATAGATACTAACACGGATAAAGGAAAATCACCGGAAACACAATCAGCCACACAAACAAACACCCCTAATCCGTTACATATTACGGTGCTAACAGATATATTTACACATACACCACAAGTTTCAAACAAAGTTCACAAAGGATTTATTCCTAGAGATAGTTTTCAGTCAAAACTTTCTAACAACGATATTATCAATCTAATCAAAACGTCATTCATTAAAGATAGCAATGCTTTTAGATTTGACGTCAATACAACGTCCACTTATAGATACTTTACCATCCATTTCAGAACACGTGACTCGCTCGACCAATACATAGCAAATAGTCCTGACAACCTCAAAAACATAAAAATTTACGAACTCACCAATGAGGCTATTAATACGTTAATAGAACAAAAATTCTCCAACCTAGACCAGGCTGTTATAAAAATTATGGATATACCATATAATTATGATACCTCCATGCTTATTAAGCATCTCGCTGCAAAAACAGGCAGCAATATCATAGAACACAAAGAAATTAAAAAACCTCCAAGAAAAATTCCTAACCGCAATAACCGCGGTCGTCCTATTTTCATAAAACCAGCTTATAAGCAACTTATTGTCCAATTTGACAAACAAGCAGCATATGATTATTTCATGAAAGAAAACTATTGGAGCCTCGAAATAGAAAATTTCGTAGTAAGGATCTTACCTGGTAACACTGAAGACCCTGAATATAAAATACGCACCAGTAATTATTTTAAGATCACCGGACTTCCCCTTAACACCACAGCCAAGGACATTGAACCTCTTATCAAACACGTCTACGGACGAACTTGTACATTTACACAAACTACCAAATATTCAACCATGAAAAATGCTTATATTTACGTCTCACCTAACAATTATCCAGTGGACGCGTCCAATGGAGCCTCCTCACTTTTCGAAGGATACAACCTCCACGTTCTACCAGGACACCTTTCACTAAAAACATGTAATATTTGTGGTTCACCACTTCATGAGACAATTAACTGTGACGACAAAAACTTCGATACAGATCATAATAATCGGAAAATCTTCAAAAAACGATTTATTAAACGTAACGAGGAAAAAATTACAATCAACGATAACCACAGAACCAGGTTTAATCACGTCATCACTTTAAACGCAAACAAAAGATCTCCCTCAATGTCACACGACCCGAAAACCAACCATACACCACCGCATAACTACAATAACAAGAAATACCAACAAGCAGGTAGCTTATTATATCCAAGACAAACCAAACAACCAACCAATAACCATAACAATTACGACAAAAGTAACAAGGATTTCAAATATGATAATTCCTTTATCGCCCCCCACCTAGACAATCCCCAAAGGTCAGACACCAATCGTTATGAACAACGAATTACACAATTGGAATGCCAAGTTGAATCCCTCTTAAATAGTGTTAAAACACTCCAAGAAGGAAAATCTAAAGTCGATAATACTATCGCCGATATCCATCACAATCATAATTTAATGAGTTCTTCACTCAATGACATCACAATCAGACTTGACAAATACGACACAATTCTACAACAGCTCTCGACTAATATTAGTCTACTTAGTCAAGAAAAGATTACACAACATAGAGAACGTAATGCCAAACCACCAAAACGACCGGCACCATACGAGCAAACTTCGTATAAGGCAACTAAAAATAGATATAACCTAAGAGGCAATAAACAGGGAAACATATCAGCGGAAGACAGCGAACAACATCATTTGGCAACTGATGACGATACCGATGCCCCTGACGACGCCGCGATGTCAGACGGTGCCGTCTTCGAAGGAATCATTGACGAAGTGTCAAATGCTTCATCATCTGAGCCTAAATTTTCAGTTAAATCCTACAATCCCCTCAACCTCCTCCCGCAGTTTAATGCGACACGTTAATATACGTGTTTACCATTAAATCAAATATATCCCCCTTTTATTTTGGACATACTTTTTGGATTTTCCCATTTTGATTTTAACGGTTTATTATTCTTTTTTATACACATTGTTTCTTTTTATATACTTTTTTTTATGGAATACACCAATTTACAACCCCCGGCTGACCTCGAAAATCAGCCTTCAGAACCAGTTCTACAATATTCTTATAACAAATATAATAAAAACACAAAAACACAAAAAAATCATAAAAATCCCCAAAACCACAAAAATAATAATCAATACCTCCATACCCCAGATAATAATGATATACCAACAATGAGTTCACGAAATTATATTCGCGAACCTCGTAATGATGAAGACGAAAATATGTTAAACCACATTGAACACCATTTATTTGATGACCAGGATACAAGAGGGTCAACGTCGTCTACCTCTCAAACACACGACGCCCCCATATCAACATCTTCTCAATTGCGAACACAATTTATTGATTACTATAAATTTGGTACAATCAATATCCAAGGAGGATTCAATAATAAATTGAATGATATTCTCCACTTTTTTACACTTCATAATTATGATATTTTAATTTTAACCGAAACAGGTCTCCATCAACATATTAAAATAGATAGAGATCATAATAAAACAACATACTCCACGTTTCCACTCCCAACACTGAATGATGATAATACTATTCATAATATTCATCTTTATACAGATGACAAAGGCAACACCAAAGGCAGTGGCGTCTCAATGATAATCACGGATCAATTACAAAAACACATTATCAGAACCAACACTTTTTATGGCCGTATTTTAACGGTCGATCTATGTTTTAAAGGCAACCATTATATTAAATTTATATGTTGTTATTTACCTGCTAATGCCGTTGATGACAAAGATTTAATTATCAAATGTTACAAAGAAATTGAAAACATTTTGATCAAGGCTAAACACGATCATTTTGAATGTATAGTTTTAGGCGACTTTAATATTAGTTTCGACAAATTTAAAAAAGCCAATCACTATCCTATTTGGAGACGTGAAATCAAAACAATTTTAAAAAATTTTGACCTTAAAGATTTACTTAAATCCTTTCACGATCACCCGAGCCCGACTCATACTACCAAGAGAAATGAAGGTCCAGATATACAGTCTCGTATAGATTATATTTTTACCTCACCTCATATCTTTCACCATAGCTTTTATGCTTACACTCACCATATTTCAGCAGATTTTTTTACTACAGACCATCAGGCTCTTAGTTGTTATTTGACGCAGGATTATTTTAAAAATAAATTCAATAGCTCTAGGAAAAGCCTAGAAAAATCACCTACGTACAAACCTAACACAGACCCGAAAATTCATTTTAAATACCATTTAATGACCACCGAATCTTGGTCTAATTATAAAGTTACCAATGGTATTATTTATCGACAACACATTAACAAATCAATTTTACCAAATACAACACCAGAACAACAAATAGAATTATATTGGTCAAATATCAAAGATATTATTATACAAACAAAAGAGAAATGTATCCCTTATTCCTCATATAAAAAATATACGAAACAGGAGCGACCGTTATCATTACGACAAAATAATAACAAGATACTTTTACTTCGTATGATTCTACGAAAATTTTCTAATATCAAACTTAATAGAGTACAAGGTGATATGGATAAATGGAAAGATTATTGGAACACCTGGAATAATTCGCGTAAACAAATTTTTGTTATCGACGTCCATTTTAACGCCAAACGTACTATTTGGCTACCGTATACTTTGACGCCGGATAATATATCCAATGTCAAAAAAGATTTACAAAGTCTTCTACGTATATCTATTGTTTTGCATAAACAAGAAGAAGATTCATGGACTCTAAAAAATATTAACAAATACGTTAATGACAGGAATAATAATTTAATTCATAACCAAAAAAGAATGATTAATAGTATCCTTAATCGAAAACCTCAAAAGATAACATTAGATCGTTTACATTATTACGATCATGAAACTAATCAATTTCAATTTACTAACAATCCTCATATTATAGCAGAACAATCAAATTTACATTTTCAACGGTTAGGAAAAGACCTTAACGATATTAATAACGTCAAAGAATATATGACAATTCAAGACCTCCCGTTATATTGGAGATCAACTTACGAACCCATCAACAACCGTGATTGCAAACATATGACTTCGTTAGAGGACGAATTCTCAATTGAAGAATTATCCCAAGTCATCTCATCACTCCCAAACAACAAAGCCGCAGGCATTTCCGGCATCACATACGAAGACATTAAACATACACACCAAGACTTTAGAGAATATATTAATAAATTTTTCAATTATATATTGCAGGTCCAAATTTACCCACGGGACTGGTTACATGCTTTCCTTTTCCCCATACCCAAACCTAAGGCTTGGGACTGCAAAATTGAAAATACTAGACCTATAGTCTTATTGGAAACATTTAGAAAATTATTCGTTAAAATTTTGACACAAAGAATTAATATCAAACTTACAACGTAAAACCTGATTAATGAAAATAATCGGGCCGGCCTAACGGGACAATCAACGTTACAACCGCTACAAGTTATTCAACACATAATTGAATCTGCTTACAAAGATAAGAAACCATTATGGATTGGTTTACAAGACCTAAGCAAGGCTTACGATAGAGTTAATAAATCTCTAATACGACTAGCATTACAACGCCTCCATTTTCCCGATACGATTACCACTCTTTTAATTTCTCTATTTAGTAATCGGAAAAATAATGTTATTTTACCCTTTGGCTTATCCGCAGATTTTGATGTACTTCAGGGTATTGACCAAGGAAAAGTCATCAGTCCGCTATTATGGATTATTTATTATGATCCCATGTTCACACACCTTTCACAGTTAACCAATAACCTTCATATTACCAGCGTCAACAAAATTACTAATATTTACCAACCTGAATCCGACCTTCAGATTAATTACTCAGCATCTGTGGTGGGTTATCTTGATGATACCAGCTGGTTTGCATCTTCCAAATCGCAGTTGGAATCCAATCTCCAAATTGCGAATTCTTTCTATGACATGGCAAATATTACCATTAAACATGACAAATACACCATCCTTACCAACATTCCTAAATTTTGTAACAAGGAATTACAATTTCAAGTCACCCCTGACAAATCAATAACGATTAAAACAGCGTCACGGGCCTCATCTAATCGAATTCTTGGTATTTATATTAATGCATTTAACTCACACACGCCGACGCTTAAAAAGATCAAAAAAATAATTAATCATTTCGCGTATACAATGCGCTTTAAAAAGATAACTCATGATCACCTAATTTATATTATTAACAAAGTATTATTACCTAAATTAGAATATATCAATCAATTTACTATTTTTACAAGGTCACAATGTGACCTTTTATTAGCCCCTGTTAAAAAACTTTTTAAACAACATTTAAAATTACCAATTTCTACACATAATAATATTATTCATAACAAATTATTTCCTTCTATTAATAGTTTTTTTTATAACCAATTTTATTCACATATATCAATTGTTAATGTTATTTTTAACACCCCTATGTTCTCCACTATTGGTTTACAAAAAATTTTGAATACACAATATGAATTTTGGATTCCCAATTTCCCGACGTCTAAGGACTTAGTCAACCCTATTTCGTCAAATTATCAATCCCTTTTGACTCGACAATTACGTTTATTCAACACGTTTCATATAACTTTTTTACCACACTGTAATACGAGTATCACTGGTGGTGGTAATTCTATAGTTTCATATTTTAATTAATTTAATTCTCTAGATTCTTTATCCACTAAAGACCTTCAAAGTTTACAGAAAAAACGTATAATGTTTATGGATCAATTAACATCCCTTGATGGCTATTTTCTAAGTACTTGGAAAGACGTTAAAAAACAAAACCCCAAGGCCAATTTCAAAGGTCCTACGCCCAAGTGGTTTCAAAATCTTGAAAAATTTAACATTTTGGTGAACGATAGTTCACGTCGCCTCTTACGAGATTTAATGGTTTCACCCCCAGCCAGATTTGATTCTATGTCTCCTTCTATACGAAAAGCATGTAAATATCGTCCCAAAAATGAATGGACTATTTCCTGGGACGCAGTACACCAGTGTGAACTGTATGGCAAGACGATTGAACAACAAAATGATTTATACGGTACCAGCCTCACTTATCGAACACATTACCTTCCAGAGGTTAACGCTGATACTAGAATCAACTTGACACCCAAAAAAGTAACCCCTATTCTACGACCTTGTACAGGTCACTGTGGTCATAGCGTACCTTTTAGTGGAGATTTACGCCCAAAATGTGTTATTGTTTCTTTAACATCACATTTAATTCTTTTTAATGTTCACGCAAAATCTTTTATACCTAATAGACCTTTTATAAAATTAGATAAATCTTTTATTTTCCCAACTACATCTTTACACACCCTTCGTACTCAAGCTTTTACATATAACAAACATAGATTAATTGTACCTAACGTTTTACCCCCAACGATTCCTATTCTATCCTCTTTGGACTCATACTTAGAGGAGAATCTTTTGTTATTTACTAATAATTCAATCAATTTAAATTTAAATATCTCTTCCTCCCTCTTTATTAAAAATATTTTTGTAGGAAATAGAGATTTAATTATTCAACTTTTAGAAATAGCTAAACAATTTTTACTTCGAAAAAAATTTATTTTTTACACTGATGGTTCTTTTTCCCCTATAGATGTTAATTCTTCTACTCAAACTCAAATGGGTTTTGCTTGGATCGAGATTACTGATGCAACTCCTGATTCTGGACCTCCTCCACCATCTTACAAAGGCGCTTTATCTTTTAATCCGTCTTCTACTAAAGCGGAAGTGTACGCGCTTTTAACAGCTATTATTGCTGTTCCCGATGAGAGTGAATTGGATATTTTCACAGACTCGTTGAACGTCATTCATACCTTCCATGCTGTTACAAACAAATTGACTTCCATCAGAAGAAAGCTGAAATGCAATAACCATTTAGCGTGGCGTTTGATTGACACGTTAATTATGAAAAAATCATTGATCGTCCACCTACACAAAGTCAAAGCTCACTCCAATGATTTTTGGAATGATATGGCCGATAGCTTAGCTAATGCTGCACGTCAACTTGCACCTTACGAGATTAATCCTGCAACTCTACCGGGTTCTTTAATGACCCCTATTTGGGCCTCTATTGCACCAATTGACCGCGACATTAGAAAATTCTGTCATAATCTTACAGATACTTACACTTTTAGTCAATTTTTGGGTAATTCTTCACTTTCACCCATTTTCGATAGATTTCCCTTGTCCTCAATACATTGGCCTCTAACTAGAGCGTGGTTACAATTTAATCCCACGTCCGATGTATGCAGTTCTACCAAATCATCACACAACGCTTTTAAAATTAAAGCACTTAATCATATTCTTCCTTGTGGTGACGTCCTTACCAAACATTATCCTGATCTTTATCCTGACAATCATATACCTTGCCCGGTTTGTAACAACCATCAAGATACTAATGAACATTTGGGAATTTGTTCGAAACTTTTACCTATAATCAACACTACCCTATTAGAACATAAAGTCATATTACAACATCTTCTTGAGAAGCATACTTCCTCTAATCCTATCTTTATTAAACAATCCATCGATCGATTTGATCTCCTATTACCGATCTCGGAGTCAAATTCTTTCACTCATCCAATATATTTAATTATACACCAACTTGTTTCACAAGACTTTTATAATTTAGTACGATCTTTCACCTTTAATGACAAACTTACCCGTTCAATCATATGGGAATTTTTAACCTCATTTCACGAACGAATCTACCAACAAATATGGCCTAAACATTGTTCTCTGTTGAAATTGTGGGAACTGCGTAATGGAATTACGCCCAAACGCAAACGCGATTTTCGTAAGAAAAAACCTTTGAAGTCACGTGATCATAAAACATCACAACCTAATACTCGCTCTAGAGTTGCCTCTACTTCTCATAACAGATCACAAAATCTTTCTCAACCCAGAGTTAGGACGAACTTTTTACCCCCGGATGGTATTTCTCGCCGATCACTTCATCCTTGGATTTCCTCGGCCCCGTCTACTCGCCCTTCTCACTTACCGCAAGTACCGATGTGGTTGATTTTGTGCACTTGTAATTTTTTACACTCTGGTGGATGGTTATCTTCTGTCCGGCACCCTAGTAGTTTTGAGTTAGATATAGATAATTTTTCTTCTTCATGTAATTTTAATTTTAATTTTTTTAGTTCTTCATTTGCATTTGATAGTCCGTTTTAGACTCCAGGTTATGCTTGATTGTTCTATAGAATAATGGGCAAGACGACCCCTTCAGGCTTCTCCTGAGAGGTTGGGCAAAACACTAGCTTAGAATTTATTGATCTTTTAGACCATGTTTATTCCTATTTAACGTTCGACCCCAGTCGAGTCTATATCTTAAAAATAAAAATAAAATAAAATAAAAAGATTATATAAAAATAATGAACACATTTTTTGGAATCAAAAAGAAACAGTTATATAATAATCTAGAAGAACTTTCTTTATTGTTATACAATTTTTGATAATAATAGCTAATAATAGCTCTGTTCAATTTCGGTCAGTTGCATTTTTCGGTCATATGCAAAATAATCCATTCTATTGGTGAAACACATTCAACCGAAAAAACCCAAAAATTTTATGGTCAAAAATTCTCGTATGTTATAGAAAAAATCAGGTGATTGATTATAGCTGATGAAATCATTATAATTATAATAATTTTATCAAAAAAATGTCATAAGAATAATAATAAACAATTTTTTCTCCTAGTAAATAAAACAGGAAACCAGTATACATATTAAATATTTATATGGTAAATCTAGAATGATAAAGAATTCATGTTTGTTCATATTAATGATTTCATTCATAAATAATAAATCTCAATAATAAATAAATAAATATTTTATTAAGTATAAGTAAATTTATAAGTAATTTTAGTAATTTTGCATAAATAATCTTAACTGATATTTTTAAGTTATCGATTAATCAATTTCCTTTATAAAATCATATGTGTTAATTAACCACTTTAATATCATACAAAATATGATGGCATATACAATTATTTTTTGTGAAATAGTCAAGTGGTACATTTATCTGTTTAATGAATTAATCATATTAAACCTACACATCGGCTTTCCAAGTTTTTAATTCGCTTCCTGTGATGAGAGTACATCCTGTGATTGGGATAAATCTTGTGATGAGGGTACAAGCATATCTGGTCTTGATAGTCGTCTTTTCCTATAAAAGTATATAAGAAATGAAGCCCCTATCAAAGCAAGCACGATTGATAAAATTATAATTCCTATGGTAAGATTTTTGGTTTGAGTACTTAGATTTTTGTTTAGATTTTTATATATATTTAGATCTGGATCAAACTCGGTAATCCATTTGTAATTAGATTTATCGTGCGTGTCTAAAATAAATACTTCATTTGATGTTGGTAATGGTAATTTAATATCATTTTTTCCGAAAGCCACGATCATATAATAACCGACCAAAGTAGCCGTATGGTAATAACGTGAAAGTGGTGAATTTGTGGAGACATACGCTTTTGACCATGTATAATCAGCTTGTGATGTATCTAATATCACAAGATCATCTTTTGCAGGACCACCTTCCTTAGTAAGGCCTCCATACACGATAATACGACCATCTTGAGCTATATAATTTAGAGAACAATTTAATATATCATATTTACCCATTTTATTAAATTCACAAAAATAAGATTAAAGATATAATTACTCAGAACAGCAGAATGGTATGCACGAGGTGTTGGCGGATTACCGATTGCATTCTGAAATATAAATGTATTTTATAAGAGAATGAACGATTAACTTAATTTAAAAGAAACACCTTACCATTGAAGTCCATGTATTATTATTTGTATTATACAAAAGTAGCTAATTTTTTTTTTTAAAAAAAAATGATCAGTAAATATATAGTTTAGACTATCAATTAATCAATTAAACGGTGTCGATTTACCTCTGACATTTCTGCAAATCCTTTGCCATCAGGTAAGCTACCACCTATATAAATAATATTACCGTTTGGTAATAATGTACCCGTATGATCAAACCTAGCAAAATCTATACTAATATTTTGCCACACTAGCGTCGATGTATCCAAAATATTCATAAATTTATTTGTAGTATCAGGTTTTGGTCTTATGCCACCAAATATATACATTGTTCCAGTTCTAACATCACAAACGGTTTGGGTCTGGCTGTGATAATTTAATGAAGGTGGATTGGCGGTCGTAAAGCTGTTCCATTGACGTAAACTTAACTTGTAAGTGTAGACTGTTGGATCTTCAAGATTGGGGTCATTGTATTCTCCAGGAAACAAAATTAGAGTATCATCTTGTCCACAATTTGAAAACGCGCTCCATGCATGTTCTGGAAGAATTTGCGCCTCGGAATTAAGATCCACCCAAGGTAATTTATCTCCTGTTCCGACTCCAAAGGGTTTCTCAACGTCTAAATAATAAAATTCTTTGGAACGAGTTGATCCTTCAAAACCAATCGGGTTTTTGGGAATGATACCACCTGTAATATATATTCTAGAATCTGCAAATACGGCGCTGTGGCCCCAAACTGTATTGGTAGGGGTGAAAGCCAAAGTGAACTCATTAAGATACAGGCAAATAACGATCAAGCAGAGGAAAAGCATTATTAATAATCATAAAGGAGTTGAAAATTACAATAAGAGGCTAATATTTAACGATGTACAAATTGTGTACCACTTAAAGGTACCTAATGGCTAATGGTACAGTGACATTTTCGATGCTACTTAAACTTAAAATGCCAAGACATTGTTTTACGTAAATGTGTACGACATACCAATTCCGCAATCTATGCTAATTATGATCGACAAGGCAAATAACGGCATGTCACATGTAAGTAAGGCATAATTATATCATCATTTGCAAAATAAATAAATAATAATAATAATGATGATTTTCTAGATTATCTCGTCATAATATATTCGACCAATCAGTTTTTGAATTTGCTAAAAACAATTTGCACTACAAATTACTGCGCCCTTGTGATACGCGTGTCCAGGTTCGGTAATAAAGTTTAAGTTTTGAACAAATACGACCAGTCAGAGACAGAAAATTTTCGAAAGCAATATTTTGAAAGAAATTGAAATTTTTTTTATGTATATCGAAAATAATCTAAATAATAAAAATACTTTGTGTTTCTTTAAAGCAGTATTAAGAGTTTGACAAAGTTTCTTATTCGGTTAGTATGTTCAATGTGATGTGTTGAATCTACTAATAATATTAAGTTACAATTCGAAGTTTCTTTAATAAAAAAGTGGTAGTACCATTATACCAAATCGGGTATGTCCAGTGATTAATAATACGTGCCGATACAAAAATTTTACCGGGCAAAGAATTAAAATTTTTCCGGAAAAGAAATCCGGTTCAAAAAATTTTACCGGAATTTAAAGTTATCTATTAGTTATAGTGAACTTTCGGAATGGAGATTCCGATAGGTTATAGTATATACTATACCGTCTTAAGCAAAGAGAAAAAAAGAATTTTCGGAATGGAGATTCCGATAGAAGTTATAGTTTATACTATACCGTCTTAAGCAAAGAGGAAAAAAAAGAATTTTCGAAATGGGGGAATTCCCGATATAGTCACACAATTTATTGTTTAGATGATTAGGCGTAGTAATTGTGTTCAAATTTGGTGTCACATTATGAGTAAATAACATTAGTATGTTTGTGGAATTTTATACTTTGTATGTATGATTTTTTATGGTATAGTGCAATATAAAATAATATGTATGATAGTATAGGTTTAAATTTTTTTATTACGTACAAATAAATTTTGATCAATTAAACGTTTTAAACGTTCTAATTTTTTTTATCAATTCGAGATTTATTTTTTTTTTTAAAAAAAAAAAATTCTTTTATAAATATTTTATTATAAATAAATTTTACGTTAATCAAAATAATTACATCAATTAAAATATTAAAATAATTAATAAAATGGCTCAACCGGCTCTCACGTATATGAATTAGTTTGATTATGAAATTTTCAATCCGATATGTGGTTATTATTGTAGGACATGTATTTGTTGATATTTTGGATAAATGGTTTTGATACGAAATTTCGAAAATCATTTGAACGACAACAACTGTACGAAAAAAAATGAAAAATCCTGACAAGTCAAAATCCCGACAAATCATTATACCGACAAGTTGATTATCCTGACAATTTAGAACAAAATTATAAAATTATATCACATTTAAACTAAATATTACATATTGCAATCAATTATTTTATTAGAGCACACATCATTAGATATTGTCGATATAATGACTTATCAGGATTTGATTGTCGAGAACTCGAGATTTGTCGTGCAAGTGACTGTCGAGATTTTGATCGGCAAAGGTTTTTCAAGAATTATAAAGTACAACTTAAAAAATCAATTATTTTAAATTACCAGTAGCAATAAGACTAAATACTTTAATTTAATTATTGAAATAAAATTAGTAATTTGAAAAAAGTACCGATTCCGATATTTCAAAATTTTCCATTTCAAAGTGTTAAAAAACGAATATAAAAGAAAGAAAAAAAAAAAAAAATGTTTTTTTTTTAATTAAATAAATAAATATTGTAAAATATAATAATAAAAAAACTTCACTTTAAAACTTCAAGCAAATAGGACCGACCGACCGGAAATGAACAAGGGCTAGTGAGTCATGATTCTGGTTCACGTGAACATCTAAAATGAAAATTACGCCGATTACAGAATCATTTTTGTTCTTTTATCAAAAATAATTTTATTTCATGTTTTTGGATGGAGAAAAATTTTTTACTATCATGAATCAATTGAATCATGAATCATGATATAGGGGTTCTAATTAAAAATTGATCGTTCATTAATGAAAATAATAACCAAGGTACGTGATCGATAAAATGCATGATACGAAATTAAAATCTTATAAACCCTTTTTTTGATTATTTTTCGCCCATTTCCTTCTTAAAGAATTTATTTTATATTGTATAATGTTTTAAATCTGTTTGTATGATTGTTGAAACTATCAGTACACTCATAACTTTTAATATATCATCCATAAAAATATCAATAGGGAAAATCACGGGTAACAATTAGTAAACGTGGTACGAAATTAAAATATGTTATTAAAGTAATATAGATCATATTAATATAATATTCAAACGCAGATTTAAGTTAATTTTGATTGGGCTGATCAGTTTGTACAACGCAACCATTTTTATCCCAATTTTTTTTTTGGTTTTTTGGTCGAACGCCAAAAAAATAACCAACCAAAATTAGATAATTTCTGTTTACGTGACATTTAAGAAAAAAAATATATATCAATATAAGTCAATTTGCGATCGAAAATAAAAAATTTTTATTGGATAATTTTTGTACAACAAAATTCGACCGAAAAATGCAACCGACCGGAAATGAACAGGGCTACTATATCTTTTTCATGACCTCTCCTATTACATAATTTTGCGTGTGTTGACAAATCACCTTCAATAGGAATTAGCAGCTCGCAGGTTACCATTTACTACTCTTTTACTCTAATATTATATATAGTTTAAACTGTTCAAAGTAAATTGGTGTAGTGGTGCAGTGTCACGTAACGTTTTGATGATTAATTAATTACTACACCACCGCACCACCGCGTCTTAAAGACTTCCAAAGTATGATGGAAATATTCATCCAGATGAATGGATAATGCAAAATTAGAGAATGTTATTTCATTAGATGAACTTAATAATTTATTGAATTTAAAAAAATGAAAATTACTGTTAAGAATTTTATTCAATAAATATTAACTATATTGACTATTAATTTAATAATCCATTTATTAAAGAATCTAATTCTATGAATGAATTAGAAATTTTGACGATTTTTTATTGGGTTATTAAATGGTTAAAAATAATTCATGTATAGCTTTAAACTACATCAAATCCCCAATTCCTCATTCGTATTCAGTATAATTGACCTACATGCCATCCAGTAATTCTACCTCCAGTTGTAATAATTTCCAAACCGTATAATATGATGCGAATCTTGAAAATATAACGTTTAATCTTTTATCTCTGTGCCATTCAAAAAAAAAGCTCAATATGTCCTGGTGTCTCAAACACTTCAACAGAACCATCAGAAAAGTCGAACGTGATAGCTTTAATAAAGCTATCAACATAATCAGATTTGTTGAATTTGATCTTGAATTCAGTGCAATCTCTATTCATCTTGTTCATCACATCTTCAAGTGACGCCAAATCCGAATATCTAGCCAATCTGCTTATTTACTATGTTTTAATCGTTATAATAATTGTTGATGACAAATTCTGAATGCAACATAAAAAAAAAATAAAATCTACGGTGTTTAGTACTTAATTTTTAAACATAATAAAGAACAATACCGATATTCGGTATTCAATTATTAAAATTTGATATAAATTATTATAAGTTACAAATCGTGAGATATGTTTTGTACTCTGATAATTAAAAAATATATGAAGTCATTTTATTACTACCTTTTTTTTATACGCGGTATCGCGGTATTAAAATAATTCTTCCAAGTGATCTCTCTGACATGTAAAACTTATTTAAAAAATTTGGCTAGCTTTATGATTGTTAGTTCGACATTGTGGCGTAGTAAACGGATGATTGATGTACAAAATGTAACACGGAAATTAAGTTGGATATTCTGCAAATAAATGCAAATGCAGCTACTATTTTTTTCTGAGCAAAAGTTTCTATAATAATTTAACTAAATTTAGCACCATATTATTCATATATCATTGCACAACCTGGTACAGCTTCTTTTTTTTTCTAAACTTTTTCCTTCTTTCAGTTTCCAAAAAGAATGGCAACATTTTTACTTTCAGAATGTTTGGAAATTATTTTTTCAAAACTTACCGAATATCCTTCTAATGATATTAAAAAGAATGTACCTACTAAAGATTTATATTCTTGTACATTAGTATCAAGACATTGGTGTAGAGTTTCAACACCATTATTATATGCTTATCCATTTCATCATTTTCGATTTAATTATTCTCAGATAAATTATTATAAATTAATTCGTACATTATTGAGTTGTATTCCAAAAATTGAAATAAAACAAATTTATAAACAAACATTACAAATTCCTTTTTTAAAAATAAAAAATTCAAAAACAAATAATAATTTATCAACATTTAATTATATTTCTTTTATAAATGGATTTATATTTAGTGAAATGATACTTGAAACTCAAATGATATGTAATTATTATAATAAAGAAATATGGTTAATAGAATATAAACCTAAAAGGATAACAAATGAATCAACCATTACAATTATGAATTATCTTATAGAATTCATGTGTAAACATTGTAATAATAATTTGATAATTTTTGAATTTTCATCTGATATAAAATATAATATTAATGATGATATAATTAAATTATTAAATTTTAATGATTATGTTGGAAAAAGTAAATTAAGTAATTTAAAAGAATTATATTATCATTCATCATCATTGAATCGTTATGGAAATAATTTTGATTTATATTTATCAAATAATATTTGTAATTTAAATTTATTATTTATATGTTATAATGGAATCAAGTCAATTAAAATAGCAAATATATTATCTCAATTCATTTCTTCACAAAAAATGTTGAAACATTTCATATTATCAGGATTTGAAAGTAAGAATAAATCTAATTTTAATTTAATACATTTATTTTTTCATGATTATTATAATCTTGTAATTAATTCATTATCAACACAGAATCAAAGTTTACAAATATTAGAATTTAGACATTTTATTTTTGAATATTTAGATGAAAATGTTATAAATTCTTTACAATCACTTAAAAATATTAGAATATTAAAATTATTTAAGTGTGAAAATTTGGATTTTTTACATTCTTGGATAAAATATTTGGAAAATTTTGAAGTATTTGAAATTACAATGATTAATAATTTAATAATTTTAAATTCTACTATTCTAATTCAATTAATTAAATCATTTCAATCCATTCAATCAAATATTTTTACTAAATTAATTATAAATGATGATAATGAAGAAAATGATTATACTCAATTATTTCAACAAATCCCTCTTTATTTATATTCATTAACTCATTTAGAACTTCCAAAGATTTGTCCACCTGAATTAATTTCTATATTCATATCATGTACTAAGCTTGTTTATATTAGTGTATTATTATTATTGAATAATGAGTTATTAATGGAAATATTAGAAAATTTGGGTGAATCTGTTCCTAAAACTTTAAAAAGAATTCAGTTTAAAAGATTATCAGGAAATATTCATTTAACAATATCTTTAGAATTATTGACATTTTTTTTAAAAGGATATGCAAATAATGTTGGAATATTAGAATATTTGGAACTTGGAAATAAGGGAAATCCCATTAATATTATTACTAAACAATTTGGTGTTCAAATAATTGAATATTCTCATCACATTTAGTGACGTAAGCACTATATGTTAATAGTAATAGTATTACGCTGCGTCTATTGCGCAGCTTATTCTAAAATAGATTTTACAATTTACCTGTATTAGAGTATCTATCGAATTTATAAAAATTTGGGCTTATTTTTATTGTTGTTGTTACTATATATATTATATATTTTAGTCAATAATAAAGGGTAGGGTTGATTAATTGGTTCAAATTTAATTTTATTAGCCATTTAAAATTTAGAAACTACTTCCAATACTTACTTTTCGTTCAATTTCTAAGTAGTAACTGTTTGATATGCATGATATAATTTCTTCAGAGTTAACTTTTAATTTTAAACAGGTAAGGCTAAAACCCATTAGATAACATCGCGCTACGTTTCGTTCAAATAAAACAAACACGCTACAATTATTTTCTAGGGTAAATGGAAAAGTTACAAAAGTTCTCATCATTTGTCATTAACTTTGATTACCATCTAATTATTTAGTTCTCACAAAAAAAATAAAAAAAAATAAACATTTTATTTTTACAAAAAAAGATAATAATAATTATTTACTCAAATTCTAAAACATGTTACATTTTTTTCATTGGCTTAACTTATGATTACATATGTATTTACGTGATTGCATCCGCATTAGCATATCAAACAAGTTGATTCAACATAACAATTCCCATTCCTTCTGAACTAAAGTTAAATATTTCGAGAGTAACTAATGAAAATTATTGTCCTTCGCTTCGCTCCGCATAATGATTCCTGTTTAATAATCGAACTAAAATTAAAGTTTTGGGGAAATTAATGTGAATTATCACCCAGAGTGAACTCTAAAAGTGACCCATTCATCCAGTAAAGTAGGTACATAATATAAGTGAACGTGCATAAAACTATTTATATTTCGTTAATAATGTTATAATCATCAGAGTTAATTCCTTGGTCACAAATCAGAGTAATTAATATCTCTAAAATGGTCAACAAAATTCCAGTGTGTGAATATTTGAATACGCAATTTTTTTTTTCCAATAATAAGAACAATAAGCTCATTATAAAGCATATCCAAACTATCATTTTCAGTCGTAGCAGCTTTGATTGATGATGCGTAAAATATCTACATAGCCTTCGCACTTGCCCTAATCAATTCACTTGTTTTGATATTGGAAAAGAATTAAACTTCTTGTGTATGATCAAAAATTCTGCTAGTGCTAATCAACCTCAATTGCCGACCAACGTTACGTTGAATATTTTGCATCCATTTTCCGGTTCATAAAAATTGAAAAATTTCACGATATTTTTGGCAATATTGATAATTTTCGACAATCTTTGATTAAAGCAACGATATTAGTATAATTCTCATAATTCTACACATAATTCTTACATTTATAACCTTTACTGAACACCCTCTGCAACAATATTATTCCAATGGTAATGAAGCGGCTTTTAAAGGTACAAATTTAAATACAGTTCAGGATGGTACGCTTCAACCTGCAAATTATTTTAATGCTAATGGTACCTAAACTGTTGCTGATATATGCCCCAATTATGATTTAATTGGGAATGATGTAGCGTTTCTAAAGTGCGCAATAATGAACTTCCAATAATCTCATTTTCCAGGCTGCCTAGGTTTAAGATTTTCCATGTTTAATATTGTATTGATATCCTGAAATCACAGACGGAGTGCCTTCAAATGATAAATCTATCAAGTGATTATGGTCAACCGTCACCAAACCGAACTTTTGGATGCGTTCGAATCTCTCACACCAGAAAAATATCTAAAAATCTTATATTTTTGGCCATGTTTCCTACTCTTTACATTCAAGATTTTCGCAAATTCTTAGTATTCTTTTCAAGAATTCCCACGATCTCTTATAGAGAAGGATCATCTAAAAAGTTATGTAAATATATCAAACTGAATAATGAGAGTTCTAAAATTATATTATTATAATATAACTTAAATTTTACCTTCGTCACTGCTTTTGAAGATATAGAAAGAGAAAACATTATGTAGTTTCATAGAGTTGCCAGCGACCGAAAAGTTTGATGTGTCCTTAAATTTCCAGATACTTTGTTATTGTTACCAAGTAGAATATGCTCTCCATAAATTAATTATTTATTTTCAATACTATTAGGCCATCACCATCTCAACTATTAAATGAATCTCCAGACTTGACATATTCAACGCATGAAAGTGTGAAATAGAATTTTTACCGGGATAATATCAGCATTTATTATAAAAAATGACTTCCAATATCTTTATAAAATAATGAGAATACGGGAAAGAGTTAATACAAATAAATGAAACATCAGTTGATTATATGAGTAGCAAAGGAAACCTTACGTGAAATTTTCGTTATTCGTCGCAACTATATAGTTATATACGGATCGGATTTCTGATTGTGTCTCTATTCTTGAACTCATTGAACAACCAATTGTTTCCTTGAAGAACTACGCTGACAAACTGAAGCGGATACCGTCATTGGTTGTTTTGCAATTGCCACCAATACATTTCTATGTCAGTCGAAATATGCACATCGGACCTATTGGTTGCAACCATCTATTTGCCGCTAAAATTAACATTTTTTGTTGAAGCTTTTAAATTTCAAAGTTCATATTCTGCAACATAAGTTTCTTTTAGCTTCGATCGTTTTATCGCTATTGTTGCTGAAAATGTTCCTGGCAAATGGTTATTGATGCCCGCGCCTTGCAAGTTTTCAGCTTGAGCTGCAGTATTTGGCACGCGAAGCAATTTTGGCTTGCGGAATTTGAGAAAACTATGATGGAAGTTTTGAAGATTGCTATTGTTATTAGCGGCGCGCTTCTTGATCAAAGTTCTGTGATGATGAAGAGAAAAAGGTTATATTGCTTTGATTTTCTAACTCTAATTCACTTAGTAAACTCTGAAGTTCTTCTGGTCATAGAAGCTATTATATTAGAGGATTATTTAGTTGCAAATAATAATAGATACTCACGGTATTTAATTCGGCAGAAAGAATCACAAGCGTAAGGGTCTGTATTTTGAAATAGGGTCGGAATTCCTATAAAATATAAAGAAATTAAATTCTTTTTCATGCTTTTAAGAAAGTAAAAGGGAAACGTTTGGTAAATGTTCCAAAAAAAAATAATGGTGTTGAATTTTCAACTTCGAAACTTACCATTTAAAAGAAGAATAAATAAAGTTTTGATTTAAACTTTTATATTAAATGTCATAGGAAATAGGAAATATGAATTTCGATTTCTACCTTTCTTCAGACTTAATACAAGACATTATGTGCTTCAAAGGAGAATGAATAAACCTAATTAGCACCGTTAATTTGTAATTAAACATAATCGTTTTCGTAACCTTGCTTCTGAAAGAAAAATGTACGTTGTAACATTATGTAAGTACTAAACTAACCTTTACCAAACAATAAATTTTTAGACAGCTCGGTAAATATTTGAACTTACGATATCATTAGTTATTTTCACAAGATACATTCTTGAAAGAAAATTTTTTTTTTTTTTTTTTCTTGTTGATGCAATAATTTACCTGAAATGGAAATTGTATACTTTGCTAGTTCTAACTAAAAAAGGGTATGAAAATAAACACTGCGCCACAAACTGAAAACCGTTTTTAGTAACGTAATGTTTGACGAATTTATTTAAAGTTTTTGGTAATTTTTTTTTTTTTTAAAAAAAAAAAAAATTTTTTAAAAAAAAATGGAGGATATGAAAGATACAACTATTGTTTTTCATGTTCATATACCAACTGGTATAGAAAATCTCGGCGGATATCCAGTTGTTATTGGCGATGGTAGCGAGTTAGGAGATTGGGAACATAATACCGTAAAACTTTATAAACCTTCTAATAATAACCCTACTTACTGGAGATCTAAGGATACTAAGATAACATTCTCAAAAAAGTCGAAAATTCAATATAATTATGCTATTTATATTCCTGCTGCAATTTTTCGTAGACCCAAAAAAATAATTTATGAAGGACAAAATAGCTCAGATGAAAGTTTACCAGATTCGGGTAAACGTTTATTAAATTTAAATTTGAAGCACCAGTTTGATAAATGGATCAATGGAAATTGTACTGAATTAGAACAATATCAAATTGGTGAAGATATACCCGATTACGCTTTTGTAGATTATATTTATAATAATGTCACATCTGACAATCTGAAAGAAAGCGTTTTAGAATATCAATCATTATTAACCCTTCATACGGATCTCACAATCAAATTTTCTGATTACGAGTATATAATTAATAATATTAATGAAAATTCAAAAAGAGAGCAAAAGCTGTTCTTATGTCTTCTTTTAGGATATCACATTTCAAGACAAGATTCTTTTATATTAACAGAAGATTTTAAGTCAGAAATACTAATTGATGTACTTACGGATTTTCAAAAAAATATTCTACCTTTAAATGTCAACAAATTTATGTTTGAAGCTATTTTACGTTTGGCCCAACACAATGCTTTTCAATATAAATTTGGTTGGCTCGTGATTTTTAAAATCTCAAAAGAAATTGATCCAACTTACTCATTCTTGGAAATTTTAAAAGATCTTAAATATGCTCGTCTAAACTTACAAAAGTTTTCAGAAGAGGTGAAAAAAATGGAGCCTTGTATTAATGATATTGGATATGAAAATACAGTAAAAATTGCAAAATGGTTGGTAAAATTATGCAAAGATATAGAATCGCTTATTGAAGCTTGGAATAATCCTCTTATTATAAGCAAACAGCTTGATAACCAAATCTTACAATGCTTCATTGAACGAATTCAAGAACTTATTTCTAAGGATGATGTAAATGTATTGACGAGTCGTTCTCAAGAACTTCAAGAATTTAAAGGGAGTGTTTCTATAGCAGTTCGAAACCAAGCTTTATCCTTACTTAAAGATCCAATGAGAGTATGGTCACGTTTAAATGCTTATGGTATCCTAAAACTTCTTCAAGATGATAGTCTTAACTGGAGTAGTGATGATGTCATAATCTCATTAGAACTTCTGTCTCAGTCTCATAGTTTGGAGTTATTAACCATATTTCCAGTACTTTTGGATTATTGGTTCAATCGAGGATTCTCAGATTCTAAAGGAAAAAATATATCAAATATTTCTAAAAACTGGTTCGTAAAACTTTTAAGTAGGGATGGCGGTAATTTAAATGAAATATTTGTAATATTTCGAAAATTAAATGCTATTTATCCTTTACTTGGATGCCGGAAAAATATCTGGAAGAATCTAATAAATATTGTCGCGGAGAAAATGGAGACATATTCAGAATTTCAAATAATTAATGCAATAAAATTTGTATCCCAAATAGAAACACAAGAAGTAAAAGAATTATATTCAAATATTATTAAAGAAATATTGAGTGAAACGGTTCAGCAAATTGACGACCAATTGATAAATAAAATATTAATGATTTGCTTTTGCGAAAGTAAATCATCATTAGTGATTCCAAATACGTAAGTAGTATATCTTCTCATTATTATAGTTTTCTGAATTTCAATTTTAACGAATAAGAAATTAATTAAATATTTAATACTTAGAATGTGCGAGGATATTGTAAACTATATTATTACTAGATTGCAAGACCAATCATTATTACTTGAATCTGGTGATTCAGAACAGTACCTAAATGTTATACAATCCATAGGACATAGTAAATTTTGGTTCCTTATCTTAAATGCTACTGGAAGTGTTGAAAAGCTCTTCGCAAACTCATATGTTCAAGGCCTTCATATTCCTAATTTAAAATTTAATGGATTACTTTTAACGAAAACAATTAATATGCGATTATTACAACAACTTTTAAAATACTCTGACGACAAAATATTTCAGTTTTTTTATAATACTATAGACAGAGAATCCACTTTAGTTGTTTCTCTAGAGATAATTGTAGAAATTAGAAAATTATATGACGACCATAATAATAAGCTTGATATACTACTTAGGTTTTATAATGAATTTGGTTCAACTTCTAAGGTATCAGATGTAAATAATTATATTCATGACATACAACAGCGTAAGGAAAATTTAGATGAAGTAAAATTAAATCAAGTATTGTTACCAAATTATTGGGCATATCATGAAGAAACCTTGGACATTGCGAAACAGTATCGTAAATTTATTAAATTTCAAACTTTTCGGAATATCTTTGAAATCAATTTTCAAAAAGATTCTGATGCAACGACAGTAAAATACATAACACAAAAATTGTTACCAGCCATTTTCAAAAATTATGGTAGCATGTGTAAAAAGTATGAGGCTTGGGAAAAAATTAGTCGTTCAGAAGCATTATTATTTTGGAAGAACGTTAAAAATATTAATGCGGAATTTGATTTAATCGAAGAACTTGGCTCTTGTAAAAGAAATCAAAGGTTAATACAAACTCTTGAATGTTTATTGAAATTTCCTCAATGGTCGAAAAGACTTGGGTATTTAGAAACACTATTAAAGGTTTTTCAAATAGAATGTAACGAAAGTGATCAATTATTAAAATGTATTTATATCATAAAGGATGATTCCTTAATGCTTGATCAAGTAATTCCCTTTATTAAGAATCTTGAGGAGAATTTTTCTGATAATGAAAATTATTGGAATTTAATAAAAGAATTATCGAATACTGAAGATTTAATGAGAAGGATTTCTAAACATAATATTGAAAATTTGTATTATGTCAATGATGATGACTTGTCGAATGGAATATCAGATCAATATATAACAAATTTACCATTTATTCAAGTTAAACAAGCCTTATATCCACTTATAAATAAGCATGATGTTATGAATGCTGATGATTTTATGAAAGAATTATCGACTATTATCGAAAAGAATTCTGCATTATCGGACAATATTATATTTTGTAATAGTAACAATATTGTATTACAAGACCTGTGTTATAAGATTATAAATCGTGAGCAAGACACAAAGGAGAAAATTAAGAATGCTATTGATAATGGAACATATATTTTTGTATGTGATGAGGAAAAGGATGAGTGTATGTTTACACTAAAATATGCTTCATATATATACAATCTTAACGATGTTCTTGACTTACACAAGAAAGCTTCCTTAATTACCACGGATTATATAAATGATTTCGTTGAGTTTGTTGATAACACTCAAAAAATAGTAAATATTTTGACTAAATTGATGCAAAGAGGCCATTTTGATTATCAAAAGTTCGAAATAAAAATAAAAGGAGTAGAAAATATGAAAGAATTTCTTATATCATTAAATGATGATTTGGAAAAATGGTAAATATCATGTTAATAAATCAATTTGGTTTATAATTTTTAATTACACTTAACTTCAATAAGCGATTAATATCTGTGAATTTTATATAGGGATAATATAAAGAATCAAGTCCAAGAAAATTGTTATCACTTAACATTCTTCACTGCTCATCATATTTTTGCATTCTATAACTATTTTACATCAGAAGTCGTTGATGAAAAGAATAAAGATGTATGTAAGACGCTTATTAAATTTGTAAACAGCAATGCTCAATTACCATCTCATAGGAAAGTCGAAGAAATATCGTGTGATTCTTACGATTATTTTAGTAAAATTGGTACCAAATTAGAAAATATATTTAGAAATCCAAAACAAAGGCGTAAGATAAAAATAATTCAGCAACAAGTAATTACTGATGATGATGTTATAAGTGATGGATCGTTTGTTGTCGCTTATGATAACAAATTGTTAGTTCCAAATATAATAATGTCACTATACGTTAATAATGGATATTATCCAGAATCATGGCAACTTTTATTATGTACATCATCAACTACGATGGAAGAACTTACAACCTTTATTAAAAGATGCTTTTTTGCTTCAGATAATGGATATGATAATAATTTATTCTGTATTGTAAATTTAGAACTATTAAACTTTGAATTACAATATATCATAGTAAACCATATTAAAGAAATACAATTGAAAAATTCGAACAAAAATTATCTATTAGCACTTCTGTGCCATAGGGAATTAGAAATTTCCCAATATATTTTAGATCAGCATATCTTAGATGTTCGAGAGATTAGTGGCTTGAATGCCGAAACGATGCAAGAAATTTATCAAGAATTATGTCCAAATGTATTGTGTGTTACTTCAGATTTATCTGGTCAAGGAAAAACTGAATGGATTAAAGAATCTAGTTTCTCTAAACAAAAAATTCCGCACAGCTTCTTAATTAGTGATGATATGAGTTTTGAATATCTTATGAATAAGCTTAAAGAATGCAAGCTCAAAGAAATAGAAAGTCTTCATATTACTATTTTACCAATTGATTATCCAGAAAGCGTGAATCTATTTTTATTTGAGTTATTGACTTTTAAGATTGTCTCATATAAAGAGTTGATCGTTTCTATTCCACAAACTTTCATTTATATTGAAATAGCATCATCTGTAAAACAGAATTGTCTTCCTATGTTGAGATTCTTACCTTTCAAACATTTATCTTGGAATATTGAAAATTTTAAAGCCTCACAGGAAATATTTAGTCCACTTCAAATTGTATGTCATTATTTGAAATTATATGATTATAGAAAAATTGATAAAAAAGAAATTTTATTTAATACATCAGATGTTATCAAATACCCTATATCAACAGAACTTTGTCAAAATCTAATTATTAGATATTTTTTTAATGGTGAAATTATTTCATCATTTAGGAATATTGAAATATTTATTAATGTTTTAGCCGATCAATTAATTAGATTATCATCAAATGATTATTTTACAATAAATAATCTAGGAGAAGAATCAAATGTTAGATCAATTATAGTTAAATCATTAATTCAAGTTTCAAAAGATTTTGCAACTAAATTCAAGGCAGATCAAACAGATGACAAAAGCGTCCACTTTGATATAATTTCTCAATGCAATAATTTAAGTAATATTAATATAATGTTTTTTAATCCTCTGGAATCAAATTCCTTCACTATCTTATATCAAGATAAGGATAAAATTCCTGATAGTATTAAACTATTATTAAATATTCAAGCAATCAGTGGGGCGATGGATGATTATAATACGATGTTTACAAATGAATTCTTAACGAGATTAGAAGGAATGACTTGTAAGAATTCAACACAAAAATCAGAATACGTCTTATCAAGTGATAATTTGATAAAGATGGCGCTAATACTCTTAAGAGTAAATGCGAACGTTCCAGTGGTTATTTGTGGTGAAGCGGGATGTGGAAAGGTAAATATTAATTCTTATAATAATTTTTTTTAGAATTTATTAATTTATTAAACTATCATGCTTATTTCTGTTTAATTTAGACAAGTTTAATTGCACATTTGGCTCTGATGATAAAAGTTCAATACCAATCTCTTAATCTTTATGATGGAATTGAAGAAGAAACTATAATGAAATTTATGTTAGAAGCTTTAAATAAGTCAGAAAAAGAAGAAATTTGGTTATTATTCGATGAAATTAACACATGTAATCACCTAGGTTTACTTGCAGATTTAATATCTAATAGAATGTTCCAGGGTAAACCTATAAGTTCAAATATTCGATTATTTGCTACTTGTAATCCATACCGTTCTCGCGTTCAAAATGAAGATGGCCGTGTAAAAAACGTTAAAAAATACAAAGAAAGAGGAGATCTTATTTATCAAGTCAAACCACTTCCCGAACAAATCTCAGACTATATATGGAATTATGATGTCTTGAAACCAAAAGACGAATATAAATATATTCAAATTATGGTTAAAAATGAGTTAAAGGAATTGGCACAACCTGTACTTGTCGAATTAATATTCGCTTCTCAAAACTTCATACGAAAAATTGAAGAACCGTATAGTGTTAGTTTACGTGATGTGAAACGAGTTATAACATTAGTAAAATTCTTCTATAATTCTCTAAATAATCGCCCAGCCTACAAAATAGAACATAAATACCCATCAGAAAATCCCGCTTTAATATATAGATCCTATGTTTTAGCACTTAGTATTTGTTATCATTCTAGATTATGTGAACAAGATTTGCGCAAGCAATATTGTTACGAAACAGGTCAAATAATCCAAACTCATAAAAATTTTATGGGAGAAAAAATTTTTATTAAAATCATTCGGGAAGAACAAGAACATTATATTAATAGGATGCAAATTCCGAATAATATAGTCAAAAATGAAGCTTTACTGGAGAATATTTTAGTTATGACTGTTTGCATATTAACTAAAATTCCTATCTTCGTTATTGGAGAAACGGGGTATGCATTAAAAAAAATAAATCACGGTTTTTTTTAATTTCGTCAGATTTAATAATATTCTAATTTAATTTAAATAATAAGGTCCTCTAAATCTTTGGCTCTTCATTTAATAAGTTCGAATTTACGTGGATCAGAATCAGATGATGATTACTTTAAATCTTTGCCAAAGGTATATATAAAGTTTAAGGTCATTTTTTATGATAATAAATAATTTATTACTTTTATGAATAGGTTCATATTGTTCCATATTTATGTTCTTCGAGTTCCACTTCAGATGGAATTACTAAGATATTTGACAAAGCTAATAAATACCAGGAAACAAGTTCTGATGTTATTAACGTAGCCTTGTTCGATCATGGTAAATATTTATAAAAATTAAAATTTATTAAATTTATTTAAATAATATATTTTTAATATTTATTATTATTTTTTGCCAGTTGGATTTGCGGAGTCAAATTCTTCGAATCCATTAAAGTTACTTCATACTTTACTTGAACCAATTTATCCGGCAACCGGGCCAACTGTTTCGTTTGTTGGATTGTCCAATTGGCGTTTGGATATCAGTAAGAGTAGTAGAGCAATACTTGTACAAAGGTATTTATTAAAGGAATTTTATTTTATATAGATAAAATATATTAATTTAATTACTATTATTTTATAGGCCAAAATTTGATTTAAATGACTTAGTTAATATAAACACTAAGTTTATTAAATTCAATGAAGCAGAAGCTTCAAAATCTTTAGCTGAAGCATACTTGGAATATAAACAACATAATCAAACCTTGTCTAATTTTTATGGCCTTCGAGATTATTATGCATCGTTAAAAATGCTTTCATTGACACCAGCAGAAAATATTCAAATAGCGTTGGCCCGTAATTTTGGAGGAATTGAAAATAATGTCAAATTATACAAATTATGGGAAAAATACTTTGGAAATTTTATCAAAGCGTTTACCAATAATAGTTCGTGGCAATTACCAATTACACAATTAATTGAATCGAATTTAAATGATTCTAATGCACGTAATTTAATGGTCATCGGTAAAAGTGGAACAATTCTAAATTTATTAACCGATCAATTAAAAAGAAGAAATATAGATCCTATTGTAATTTTAGGTTCTTATTTTCCTGATGATCAAGACGATTATTCTTCTAAAGTATTAAGTAAAATTATGGTAAATAATTAATGTTTTTAATGTTTTTTATTTCTTTTTATTAGTAATAGTATATTTACTAGTGTAACCATTAAATAATTTTATTTCTAGACATGTATCAGTACAGGCAAACCATTGATTCTTACAAATTTAGAGAAGATTTATGGTAAATTATATAACCTATGGAATCAAAATAATATTGTAGAAAATACTGAACAAAAAGTATATGAAGAAAACTCTAATTTCGCGTAGTAAGTTATTATATTTAATGAAAGATTATTCACTTTGCTAAACTAATTATTTTTTTTATATATATATTTCATGCAGTCATATTTCATTAAAATGTGAATGTATCGTAGTTCTAGACGAAAAGAATTTATGCTCAGCTGATCCATCTTTTCTTAATCGTTTTGAAAAACAAAAATTATTTATTGGTGATCTTCTTAATGAGAAACAACAATCTTTTGTTCAACAGCTAAATGATTGGGCAGAAAGAATTTCCACTTTTGAAGATGGTTCATATAAATTTGTACAAAAAGATCTTTTTATAGGATTTGATAGTGATGAAACATTACAGAGTTTAGTATTAGATATTACGAATAATTATGCTTATACTGATGATAATGAGATTCTCGAAAACTGCAAGAAAAGATTAATTACATTGGCAACATCAGATGGAATCGTAAGAGCTGAACGACTTATTTTAAATCCAAGTGAAATTGATCAATTAAAGTGTATTTATTATATTCAACATCATGAAAGTATTTATGATTATTTTGAAAATTTATTCGATCAAGAAGATTCATCGGAATATTCTAAAGAAAGTTTAATGATTATCAATACTTTCTCTCATATTAGTACAGATATTAAATCTTGTTTAAGTAATCTTACAACATGTCAAGCTTATAAATTATCAAATCTTAAAAGCGAAGCTCAGCTTTCAAATTTAGTGAAAAAATTTTATCTGAAATCCAATGATCAAATATTAATCCTCCAGTGTGATAAATTTGTTAGTATTGAATGTATTAATTTGGCTAAATTTATCATTGAACAATTTCAAAATGAAAATTTAGATAAAAAAGAACAAATTGAAACAAACATGCCCATAAAATATGTATGTATAATAAATCACATTCAACGAGGTTGTGATCAAAATTTAATACTGTCTAATTTTATTCATGAATGGAAACAAATTACAATTGAATCTTTAGAACAACAAAATATTTCATTAAATCAACTTTTGAATAAATCTTTATATGATATCGTAAATTCGGATCTTTTTAGTAAAATAATTTGTTCTAGTACACCATTTGAAAAAATTTTGGAGGATGAATTATTATGGTGCTTATCTTGTATAGGATATCAAATTTCCAATGAATCATGTTATAATGATTATATTAGGTATGTTGATTTTTTATTAAAGTTATCTATTTATATTAAAAAAAAAATAATAATTTAATTTATTTCTGCAGAACGTTAAATAAAGAAATTTTGGACAATGCACATTTCATCCAATGTATAAAGGAAAAAGTTTATAAATGGATTTTTGAAAATTGTAATGATTGGCAGTTTGAAGTAGCTAAAAATCAAGATTATTTAAGCCAATTTACAAGTCTTTTACTAGCTTTACAAAACTATGTGAAAATGATCGTTAAGCATACCATAGCAAAAATCTTATATTCACTTGAAAAATTATTAGTAACAAAAACATATTTTACTTTCGAAAAAATTGATGATGATGAAATAAAAGCAGAACTATCAGGCTTATGGAAACGATGTTTTATGGATAATACAATTATTAATATTAATAATTTACCCGAGCCAAAAACTTCTAAATACATAATGTCATATTATGTAATTGATGAACTTAAATTTCCTTTTTCATATTATTTTTTTAATCAAATTAATTCCTACAAGTTATATTATGATGAAGAATTAGATATTTTAAAACAAGATTTAAATAATATTGATGAGAAATCTAATGAATTACATATTGATTTGATTGAAAATCATATTGAAAAATTTAAGAATAAGTTGTTGTCTACTAAATCAAATTTTAGAATATTACAAAAATATTCAGAATTATATTATAATGATTTTATTAGGATATTATCTCAGAGAATTAAAAAATTAAATCATGTGAAAGAGTTGGATTTTATTATTAAACATATAATCGGAGATAAAATAGTTTCTAGTCCATTCCTTCTTCATATTTATTGGTGGAATCATGCAGAAAGTATTTTAATTCAGTTACAGTTAATTGAAATGTTTCCAACTACTTTTGAAAAAGCTCAAAAAGATTTTATCATTTATGGTAATCTTGATCAACTCCTTTTTAATGAAGCAATTAATTTTATTTTACAAAAAATTTATTATAATGAGGAATGTGAAAAAGAAATGGATATTGTTTTATCCTTAGTTAATAGGATGAATTATACAAAAAAACTTACAAATCTTCCTTTGTTACAGATATGTAATGAATTGTTAAAAATCAAATTAATTCCTCTGGAAAAAATAAAAGAAATGATTAATTTAGGAAGAGCTAGAAGACAAGAATTTATTACTATAGAAATAATTGAATTAGTATTATACATTTTAGATAATAATAATGATTTAACAGTAACTAATATAAGATCCTTTATTATGAAATGTTTAGAAATTATTCCACTTGAATCTGAAGTTCGGTTAACTCTTTACAGAAATTTATTTTTACAAAAATCTTTTAATTTAACTAATGAAATTATTGAAAAAATGTTTATTGATGAAATTCAACAAAATGATGAAATATTTTTTACGCTGATTAATAGTTCCAAACAAGTATTACAACATTCAATTAGATTAAATGTTATTAATAATTGTTTGGATGATAATAACTTGAATACAAATATAGGAGAACTCTGCTGTGAAATAATTCAAGCAATTTTCGGTAGATTTGAATTGAAAAAATTAATTTCTTATTTCCCTAATTTTATTGAAGATACAGAAAATTCAGCTTTACAACATATAACCGTAATTGCATTTTTAAAGGAATTTACAGTTAAATTCTGGAAGGACTATATGCAAGATGAAAGTTCATTACCTGAATCATCAATCAAAATGGTTAATGAATATGTGAAAATTAATCATCCCTTAGTTCAATCGTTCAAATCGTATTTTTTATTTAAACAAAAAGGATTTTCAGTAAACAAAAACCAATTGAAAATAATTTCAAATGAATTTCCATGGATTGAAAATGATTCTAACGAAAAAATACCTTATTATTCAATATTTTGGAAAGTGATTAGACAAGTGAATTTTGAAGATTTTCACACTTTTTACAATAATAATTTAGATAGTTGTATTAACTATCCATTTTTGCTGGTATATATTAAATATTATGAAAGATTAAAATTAGTTAAATATCTTTATCCAATTGTTAAGTTTATAAAAATTTTAAACTCAAAACTTGAGTATCGTAAATCTAGAAAATCAGCTCAAATGATGACATTTCATGAATTTATTGAAGAGGAATCTAAAGATAATACTGTAAATGGAGATTATTTGAAATCTTTATTTGAAGGATTTGCATTAAGTTGGAATTCTGTAATTAATTATATTGATCAATATCGATCTAAAGAATTGTCTAACAAACCATTTATGAATCTCAAATGTTCTGTTATTTATGGTTTAATTGAACAAAAAGATGCAGGAGTTTATCTATGCGCAATTTTAGAATTTTTGATTAAAATGCATAATGAATTTTTGGATAATGTTTTTTCTATTCCAGTAGAACAATGTAAAAGTCTTAAATTTTTAGAACATTTATTACCTTGCAATAATCCGGCTTATTTCACTAAATCAATTATGATAACTCAAGCACAAGAGATTAATTTTATTAATTATGAATTAGATGAAAAATTTTTAAAATATAGTCAAAGAAATCTTGATCAAAAAGATGAAATATCATTTAATTTTAATTTACAACAGATTGAAATGCTGCTTATGAGAGAATTAGTTATTGACAAAGTTTATTTTGAAAAAGGAAATAATCAATTTTATTTCGAAGATTTTTCATTCAAACATGAAATATTTCATAATACACCTAGAATTTTCTTTAATGTAAGAGAAGTATTACAACAAGAGCCTATTCAAACTGACAAAATTAAATCATTTTTGGTAGCTTTACAACCCTCAAATTCTTTTATTTCAGAATTGCTCTTGATTTTTGAAATAATTCTTTGTTTTATAAAAGAGTTAGCAATTAACAATAATGAAATACTTATTGAAGATTTTATTAGGCAATGGTCAAAATTATCAAGATATAATATGATGCTAACTGATATATGTGAAGAGTTTTCTGAATTTTCTCTAAAACATATTATAGAATTATATGAATTGATCGAACAACAAGATGCTGATTTATTTAATAATACAATAATTGATGATAAATTTAAAATTCCATTAGAAGAACAGATGAAGAAATCAATTAATGACTGTATAGATTATTATAATCAATCAGAGTCGAAAATTTCTGCTAAAGTATTTGCTCTTGCTTTAAAGAGGTTTATTTATAGATTTTTATCAATTGATTCTAATATTGAAAATTTAAATTTAACTAATTACTTTTTGGATTTTACGTTAAATTTATGGCCAAATTATATTAAGGAAGAATTGGTTGAAAAATTGTTTCCAACTTGTTTACTTGTATCACATGCTTATAGTTGTTATATTTTTATTAATGAAGAAATTGAGGTATGTATATTAATAGGTTTATTATTTATTTTATAATTATATGATACTAATTTGATAATTCTGTTAACAGAAAATAAAGGAAAAACAAAATAAAGAAAAGAAATTAAAATTCAAATTATAATAAAATTGTTAGCTATAGCACATCCTCATCCTCACATTCAAAGTTCACGTTCTCGCATTCGCTCTTCTCCCTCCCACTCTTCCCATTTCTATTTTTGTTCTCAAACTCAAGTTCACATTTGTATATTTTTTACGAAGTTAGGAATTGAGGAACGCGCTGAGGATACCGTATAAATAATAGGTTACAACTTAAGTAGTTCCAGTTTTAAAATTTTGCAATAATTTGATTAAAGTGCAACTTTATTAGTTTTATTAGTTATAATGATTCATTTTTTATTCTTAAATGTATATTATAAATAATAAATAATTAACTTATAAAAATTTTGTTAATCAAAATGCGCATTAATCAATATTTTTATTATTTTTAAATTTTTGTACGTTAAATTACATCGCAAAAAAGACAAGAATACAGACGGAATCATCACACTACTGCAGATTAAATTATTAAAATATAAATACTGTAAAGTGTTAACGTTGATTTTATTCTCCAATTTTTTATTTTTATTTTTATTTTTATTATATAGACATGGTGCCGGGACTACAAGCACACGCTAGCAGATCGAATTGCAAAAACGATAACAAAACTAATCTAATGCGAGTTCGTCCAACCCCCAGGCAGGCGCTGGAGAGGAGTCGTCCTGCCCATTATTCACGTGAACCCTAGGCATACCGAGCTAAGAAGGCGCAGAAAAAAAAAGAAAAATTAAATGAAGTAATAGTATAAACTGAAATCTGTTATAATAATTAATAATAAAGAAAAATATGTAATAAAATTTGAATGATTTCTATAAAATTGTCTATCCTGACAATCATGAATAAAAAACTATTCCAACCACCCGCGTGTAAATAATTTGACGTTATTAGGATGATCCACTGTGGAATACAATGGTCGTCTGTGTTCTGGCATTGATAATGGTTAATCCGAAGACGATCATCGTATCAGTTGTTTTGGTCGTAAGATCTGGTTGTAAAGTTGTTGGCTTGGCGTACGGAATCCGTATTTGATGTTTGAACTGTCGCGCGAGCGAGCGTTCCATTTGCTAATTAATCTCACTGTGCTTAGCTCCCCATAAGAGTTTTTTGTTCACATGCTACTATTCTCATACATAAATCAATGTAATTAGTACTTACCCCCCTAAATTTGATAATAAGTCAATAAGACCAAAAGCTGATAGAAGAGTTGACTTCATTTTTCAAGTAACTGTATGCTCTCTTTCATGACGTCGTTCGAAATTCATCGGTAATCGGCTCATCTGATGTAATCAACTATTAATAGTTCGTTTGATGTAATTTACCCATCACATACACTCGAGTCAACTCGACCCGAGCCCAAAATATACTTTCTTTTTTTTTAAAAAAAAATTCATTTTCATCAAATAAAAAATAGGATTTGCTACACTTTTATTTTCATTGGCTAGACACTTCATATACAGCTTAAAGATTACATAAAGATTTAAAATTTTTACTCCTTATATAGCATTAGCAAATTAACAAGCTAATCTAACTATCCCAATTTCTCGTCAGAATACTAACTACCTTACTTAATTTCTTGAACTATAGTACAACAAATAGAATATTATTTTATTTTTAGTGATAGGCTATATAAGTAGTAATAATAACGAAAGAGAAATGCTAATTCAATAAATAGAATATACAAATTTTAGTAACTCACAAATCAGAGTGGACTCCAGCATGTGGATATATGAGTACAACACAAAATATCTACGGTCTTTGAACCTGCTTAGCCTTCCTCTTGTTTTTTGACGTTGAAAAACGAAAACGCCTTTTTGCACATACTGCAAAATTTCTACCGGCAATAATCCCTGAAATCGACAACTGTAAGGCATGTGGCATGCAAGGAAGCCGCTGAATATTTCGCATCCATTTCTGGTTCAAAAAGAATAAATTTTGATTGTTTGCCTTATGCAACATCGGTTTAAGTTAGTTACTACACACTTTTTGAGCTTGAATGACACTTTGTGTAGAAGCGGTAAATTTTGACTTTATGGATAAAAAGAAAAAATGTTAGTAAATTCCCACAATTTACAAATAATATTTTACATTTATCATACCTTTTCTTAAAACGGCCATACCATCCTCCGTAACAATGTGATGCACAAATACTTTTTATTCTTGGTATGCACATTTTTTACGACTTTACATTTAAGATTTTGCAAACTCGCGTCTCATCACCACCTGTGATTTTACGTTTGTATCAAGGAGAAGGCATAAGTTCTCTCCTAAGGTAAAAAATTTAGAGGAATATTAATAAATGTGCAAATAAGTTTAATTGAGAACTCATAAAATTATAATCAACTTTAGCTTTACCTTTTGTTACTGCTGAAGTAGTAAGACGTAGCACAGTTCAATAAGCGCCAGGATATAAATTCTTAGTGAAATATAGAGAGAAGTGCTTGGAACTGTTATCTCAAATTCAAAGTTTATCAGGATAATAATCAAATTTGCCATAGAAAAGAACTTTCATCATTTTTGGAAACGGGAAAGGATTAAATTACAAAGATATAAATAAATGAAACATGATTGATTAAGTGAACATAAAGGTAAAAGTAACGTAAAAATAAACCCCATAAAAATCGTGAAAATTGAAAAAAAATTTTTTTTTTTTATTGAAGTTAATTGATGTTTTTGATGATGTTATAATTCTGATGGCCCGTTACCCAGCGCATTTACGGATTCTTGAATTGGCCGTGTCTCTATTCTTGAGCTCTTCAAATGACCAATTGTTCTTGGTGTCAACGAACTGAAGCGGATATAACAGTTGTAATTCAGCTTCTTGTTGATTTAAACAATCCTGTGATGAAGTACGCACTTGATTCAATTTTTGAATTTGTTGCAATCACCAACTATGTAATTTAGATTAGATGGTGAAAGTTTAACAGAATACTCTATCTCAGTGAATTTATAACAAGCAGATTTCAATAAAATTGAATAATTCTTTTTAATTCAATTATTACATAAGACCTGATTCGGTATATCTGCGACCATATATTTGTTGCTGAAACTGTCACTCCTAAAACTGAAGCTATTGAACCTCTAAGTTCGTGATTGCGTAACGCAACACGGGCTCTAAAATTTGGTTGTTTAATTGTTATGCTGAAAAGATTCCTAACACATTGATCGCCCGCGCTTGAAGTTCCCAATATGTCTTTGCTGTAATATATGGCATATAAAGCAACTTTAGTATGAAAATTTTGAAATTATGCGGATATAGGTATTGTTCTTACCAATGAAGTTCGACAATTGTTGTTTGTTGTCGACGCTTCTTTATTAAAAGCTCTATGGCGTCGAAGAAAAATTAGATTGCTTTAATTTCATTAAACTCTAGATTATAATTCACTTTGAGATTAAATTGTAAATTTTTCTGGTGACAGCACTTCATATTAAACGATTGTAACATTTCCTGATTCTAAAAAAAAAAAAAATTTTGTTTGATTATATATTCGTAGTTTCGAATAATTAGTTTGAAAATACGAGTAAATGTGAAATAAATGAATAATCTTGTTTACCTTTCAATAGACTTTTACGAGAACTTACGCGCCTCAAGAGAAAAATTGAAAAAATTAACGAGATTAAATAAACTTAACGGCGAAAGCATTTTTTTTTTACTCGTGACTCTTAAATCTCTAATTGTGTAATTATTATGCAAATCTTTGCCAAATGTATTTGAAGAGAAAATTACCATTGAAACCATTGCACTAAATAGAAATAGTAAAATTGATAACCCTTACATATCTTCTAACTAAAAAAGGTTAAAATAAATACTGCGCCCACAAAATTAAAACGTATTTAGACATGAATCAGTAAATAACGACGCTTGACAAATTTTGTTAATTCTCTTAACGAAAAGTATGGAACACACGAAATATATAATTACGAGTTTTCATATACATTTACCTGCTAATATAGAAAAACTCGGCGGATATCCAGTTGTTATTGGAGATGGTAGCGAGTTAGGAGATTGGGAACATAATACCGTAAAACTTTATAAACCTTCTAATAATAACCCTACTTACTGGAGATCTAAGGATACTAAGATAACATTCTCAAAAAAGTCGAAAATTCAATATAATTATGCTATTTATATTCCTGCTGCAATTTTTCGTAGACCCAAAAAAATAATTTATGAAGGACAAAATAGCTCAGATGAAAGTTTACCAGATTCGGGTAAACGTTTATTAAATTTAAATTTGAAGCACCAGTTTGATAAATGGATCAATGGAAATTGTACTGAATTAGAACAATATCAAATTGGTGAAGATATACCCGATTACGCTTTTGTAGATTATATTTATAATAATGTCACATCTGACAATCTGAAAGAAAGCGTTTTAGAATATCAATCATTATTAACCCTTCATACGGATCTCACAATCAAATTTTCTGATTACGAGTATATAATTAATAATATTAATGAAAATTCAAAAAGAGAGCAAAAGCTGTTCTTATGTCTTCTTTTAGGATATCACATTTCAAGACAAGATTCTTTTATATTAACAGAAGATTTTAAGTCAGAAATACTAATTGATGTACTTACGGATTTTCAAAAAAATATTCTACCTTTAAATGTCAACAAATTTATGTTTGAAGCTATTTTACGTTTGGCCCAACACAATGCTTTTCAATATAAATTTGGTTGGCTCGTGATTTTTAAAATCTCAAAAGAAATTGATCCAACTTACTCATTCTTGGAAATTTTAAAAGATCTTAAATATGCTCGTCTAAACTTACAAAAGTTTTCAGAAGAGGTGAAAAAAATGGAGCCTTGTATTAATGATATTGGATATGAAAATACAGTAAAAATTGCAAAATGGTTGGTAAAATTATGCAAAGATATAGAATCGCTTATTGAAGCTTGGAATAATCCTCTTATTATAAGCAAACAGCTTGATAACCAAATCTTACAATGCTTCATTGAACGAATTCAAGAACTTATTTCTAAGGATGATGTAAATGTATTGACGAGTCGTTCTCAAGAACTTCAAGAATTTAAAGGGAGTGTTTCTATAGCAGTTCGAAACCAAGCTTTATCCTTACTTAAAGATCCAATGAGAGTATGGTCACCCCTAAATGCCCGTGGTATTGTAAAACTTCTTCAAGATGATAGTCTGAACTGGAGTAGTGAAGATATTATAACCTCCTTAGAGCTAGTATCTCAGTCTCGTAACTTGGATCTATTAGATATATTTCCCGAACTTTTAGATTATTGGTTCAATCAAGGATTTTCAGATTCTAAGGAAAAAAAGATATCAGATGTTTCTAAAACCTGGTTCACACAACATTTAAATATAGTAAATGGTGGTAATTTAAACGAAATATTCGTGATATTTCTACAATTAGAATCTATTCATCCTTCGCTTGGATGTCGGGAAAATGTCTGGAAGAACCTAACAAATATCGTCGTGGATAAGATGAAGACATATTCAGAATTTCAAATAATTAATGCAATAAAAATTGTATCCCAAATAAAAGTGCTAGAAGTAAAAGAATTATTTTCAAATATCATTAAAGATATCATTAAAGAAATATTGAATAAAACTATTCAGCAAATTAATGATCAATTGATCAATAAAATATTAATGATTTGCGATTGCAAAAGTAAATCATTGGTGATTCCAAACACGTAAGTATACCTTATCATTATTTTCATTATTTGGACAACTTAAATTTATATTTTATATTAATGTTAAATGTTAATAATGTTTAGAGTGTGCGAGGATATTATATGCTATATTATTACTAGATTGCAAGGCCAGCTATTACCTGAATCTGTTGACTCAGAACCGTATTTAAATGTTATACAATCTATAAGATATAATGAATTCTGGTTTCTCATCTTAAATGCTACTGGAAGTGTCGAAAAACTTTGTGCAAACTCGTGTATTCAAAGCCTTCAAATGTCCATTATTAAACTTAATGGATCACTTTTAGAAAAGATGGTTGATATGCAATTACTACAACGACTATTAGAAAATACTGACGAAAGACTGTTTCAGTACTTTAATAATACTATAGGAAGAAATTCTACATTAGTTGTCTCTCAAGACAAAATTGCAGAAATTAGAAAATTATATCTTGACCATATAAATCAACTTGGACAACTTCTCAAGTTTTATAGTAAATTTTGTTCAGCTTCTCACGTAACAGATGTAAATAATTATATTCATGACATACAACAGCGTATGGAGAATTTTGATAAAATAAATTTAAATCAAGTATTATTACCAGATTATTGGACACTTCATAAGGAAGCCTTGGACAATATACAACATATCTATAAACTTATTCAATCTCAAAGTTTTCAAAATATCTTTGAAGTTAATTTTCAAAAAGATTCTGATGCAACGACAGTAAAATACATAACACAAAAATTGTTACCAGTCGTTTTTAAAAATTATAGTAACATGTGTAAAAAATACGAGGCTTGGGAAAATATTAGTTGTTCAGAAGCATTATTATTTTGGAAGAACGTTAAAAATATTAATGCGGAATTTGATATTATCGAAGAACTTGGCTCTTGCAAAAGAAATCCAAAATTAATACAAACTTTTGAATGTTTATTGAAATTTCCTCAATGGGCCGAAAGACTTGGGTACTTAGAAAAACTATTGAAGATTTTTCAAATTAAACATAACGAAAGTGATCAGTTATTGAAATCTATTTGTACCATAAATGATGATTCCATAATGCTTGATCAAGTAATTCAATTTATTGAGAATCTTGAGAATAATTTCTCTAACAATGAAGATTATTGGAATTTAATAAAAGAATTATCTAATGTTGAAGATTTAATAAGGAACGTTTCTGAATACAATGCAACAAATTTGTTTGACGTTATTGATGACTATCCGGACGGAAATTTGGCTCAATATATTACAATTTTATCATTTGCCCAAGTTAAACAAATTTTATTGCCACTTATCAATAAGCAATATAAAATGAGCATTGATGATTTTATGAAAGAATTATCGACTATTACCGAAAGGAGTCCAGCATTATCGAATAATATTATTTTATGTAATAATAATAATATGGTATTACAAAATATGTATTATAAGATTATGAATCTTGGGCAAGATATAAAAGAGAAAATTAAGAATGTTAAGAATGCTATCGATAATGGAACTTATATTTTTGTATGTGATGAGAAAAAGGATGAGTGTATGATTACACTAAAATATGTCTCATATATGTACAATCTTAACGATATTCTTGATTTATACAAGAAAGCATTCTTAATCACCACGGATTATATTAATGATTTTGTTGAATTTGTTGATAATATTCAAAAAATAATAGAGATTTTGACTAAATTGATGAAAAGTGGCCATTCTGATTATCAAAAGTTCGAAACAGAAATAAAGGGAGTAGAAAATATAAAAGAATTTCTTATATCCTTAAATAATGATTTGGAAAAATGGTAAGTATATTAATAAATCAATTTGATTTAGAATTTTTAATCACATTTAAGATTAATATCTGTGAACTTTATATAGGGATAATTTAAAAAATCAAGTCCAAGAAAATTGTTATCACTTAACATTCTTCACTGTTCGTCATATTTTTGCGTTCTATGACTATTTCACATCAGAGGTCATCGATGAAAAGAATAAAGATGTATGTAAGATGCTCATTAAATTTGTAAACAGCAATGCTCAATTACCACCTCATAAGAAAATCAAAGAAATATCTTGTGACTCTCCCGATTATTTTAGTAAAGTTGGTAATAAATTGGAAAATATTTTTAGAAATATTCCAAAGAGACGTAAGACTAAAGTAATTCATCAGGAAGTAATTCTTGACGATGTACCATGTGATGGATCATTTGTTGTCGCTTATGATAATAAATTGTTAGTTCCAAACATAATAATGTCACTATACGTTAATAATGGATATTATCCCGAATCATGGCAACTTTTATTATGTACATCATCAACTACGATGGAAGAGCTTTTAATCTTTATTAAAAGATGCTTTTTTGCTTCAGATAATGGATATGATAATAATTTATTCTGTATTGTAAATTTAGAATTATTAAACTTTGAATTACAATATAGCTTAGTAAACCATATTAAAGAAATGCAATTGAAAAATTCGAACAAAAATTATCTATTAGCGCTTCTGTGCCATAGGGATTTAGGAATATCTCAATATATTTTAGATCAACATACCTTAGATGTTCGAGAAATTAGCGGTTTGAATACCGAAATAATGCAAGAAATTTATCAAGAATTATGTCCAAATGTATTATGTGTTACTTCAAATTTATCTGGTCAAGGAAAAACTGAATGGATTAAAGAATCTAGTTTCTCTAAACAAAAAATTCCGCACAGCTTCTTAATTAGTGATGATATGAGTTTTGAATATCTTATGAATAAGCTTAAAGAATGCAAGCTCAAGGAATTAGAAAGTCTTCATATCACTATTTCACCAATTGATTATCCAGAAAATGTGAATCTATTCCTATTTGAACTATTAACTTTTAAGATTGTTTCATATAAAGAGTTGATTATTTCTATTCCACAAACTTTCATTTATATTGAAATAGCATCATCTGTAAAACAGAATTGTCTTCCTAGTATGTTGAGATTCTTACCTTCCAAACATCTATCTTGGAATATCGAAAATTTTAAAGCCTCACAGGAAATATTTAGTCCAATTCAAGTCGTATGTAATTATTTGAACTTATATGATTGTGAAGAAAATGATGATGAAGGAAGTTTATTTAATATATCGGATGTTATCAAACATCCTTTACCAGCTGAATTTTGTCGAAATCTTATTATGAGATATTTTTTCAAGGGTAATAAAAATATCTTATCATTTAGAAGCATTGAAATGTTCGTTGATGTCTCGGCTGATCAATTGATTAGATTATCATCAAATGATTATTTTACAATAAATAATATGGAATCAAACTTAAAGGATCCAGCTGATATTAAGCCAATTACAATTAAATCGCTAATAGAAATCTCAAAAGTTTATGCAGCTAAACTCATTAAAACAAAAGCGGATCTATTAGAATCCACAAAAGATTGCTCCAATACAATTTCTCAATGGGACAATATGAGCCATAATGTCATATTTTTTAATTCTCAAGTATCAAATTTCTTAACTAACGTATATCAAGATGGTAAAGTCTCTGATATTATTGAATTATTATTAAAAAGTCAAATAACCACTGATTCAAAAAGTTGGGATATGGATAATTATAATATAATGTCCGCAAATAAACTTTATATTGAATCGGAAGAAATGGCTAACGAGTTAATGCAGGAATCAATGTTACGAGAATATGCTTTGTCTATCGATAATTTAGTAAAGATGGCATTAATTCTTTTAAGAGTGCGCGCAAATATCCCAGTTGTCATCTGTGGTGAAACAGGATGTGGAAAGGTAAATATTAATTTGTAAAGATTTTTTTAGAATTATTTATTAAAAAATTTTTTTTTATCGTATTATATAGACAAGTTTAATTACATACTTGGCTTTAATATCAAAAGTTCAATATCAAATACTTAATCTTCATGATGGAATTGATGAAGAAACTATAATGAAATTTATGTCAGAAGCTTTAAATAAATCAGAAAAAGGCGAAATTTGGATATTATTCGATGAGATCAACACATGCAATCATTTGAATTTACTTGCAAATTTAATATCTAATAGAATTTTCAAAAATAACCCTATACATTCAAATATTAAGTTATTCGCTACTTGTAATCCATATCGTATTTGTGATGATACACAAAATGCTAAAAAATATGAAGAACGAAATAATCTTATATATCAAGTCAAACCATTACCTGATCAGATTTTCGATTATGTATGGAATTATGGTATTATAAAATCAAAAGATGAATGTCAATATATTCAAATCATGATGGAAAAAGAATTAGAAAAATTAGCACATCCTGTATTTGCAGAATTATTATCTGCTTCTCAAGGTTTTATTCGAAAAGTTGAAAAACCATATAGTGTTAGTTTACGTGATATAAGACGAGTTATGAAATTAGTAAAATTCTTTTATAAATCTTTCAAAAATCGTCCAGCTTACAAAACTGATTATAAATATCCATTACCTGGAGAAGTATCCATAATAGTTAGAACTTATATTTTGGCACTTAGTTTTTGTTATTATTTTAGATTATATGAACGAGAGTTGCGTGATCAATATTGTAATGAAATGGAACGAATTTTACACAATTTTGAAATCGATATAGAAGACCATATATTTTCTAGAGTCATTCATGAAGAGCAAGAAGATTATATTAATAGGATGTACATCCCTTCCAATATAGTCATAAATGATGCTTTATTAGAAAATGTTTTAGCCATGGTTGTTTGTATTATAACTAAAATTCCTATTTTTATTATCGGAGAAACAGGGTACGCATCAAAAAAGAAATGATGATGATTTTCTTGATTATATCTTATCAGTATTACTAAATTTTTACTTCAATTAAAATATAAGGTCCGCTAAATCTTCAGCTCTTCAATTAATAAATTTAAATTTACGTGGCTCGGAATCAAATGATGATTATTTTAAATCATTGCCAAAGGTATATATAAAGGTTGTTTTTTTTTGAAGATTTTAAAATTATTTTATAATAATAAATGATTTTTATATTTATAAACAGGTTCATGTTGTTTCATATTTATATTCTTCGAATTCCACTTCAGATGGCATTGCAGAAATTTTCGAAAAAGCTAATAAATATCAAGAGATAAACTCTGACATTATTAATGTAATTTTGCTTGATAACGGTAAATATTTATATATTTAAAATTTAAGTACCTTAAATTTATTTATAATATTCTTATATTTTTTTGTTATTTTCTTTTATCAGTTGGGTTAAATTCTTCGAATTCATTAAAATTACTTCATACTTTACTTGAACCAATTTATCCGGCAACCGGACCTACTGTATCATTTGTTGGATTATCCAATTGGCATTTGGATATCAGTAAGAGCAATAGAGCAATACTTGTACGAAGGTATTTATTAAAAGTATTTTGTTCTATACGTATAAAATATTTTAAATTAATTACTGTTATTTATAGGCCTAAATTTGATTTAAATGACTTGGTTAATATAAACACAAAGATTATTAAATTTAATCATGCAGAGGCTTCAAATTCTTTAGCAAAAGCATATTTAGAATATAAACAACATAATCAAGCTTTGCCTAATTTTTATGGTCTTCGGGATTATTACGAATTGCTAAGAATGCTTTCGTTGGATAAATTGACGCCAGAAAATATTCAAATAGCGTTGGCCCGTAATTTTGGAGGAATAGAAAATGATGTCAAATTATACAAATTATGGGAAAGATACTTTGGAAATTTTCTTAAAACGCTTACCGATAATAATTCATGGTTATATAAACAAATACCAATTACACAATTAATTGAATCGAATTTAAATGATTCTAATGCACGTAATTTAATGGTCATTGGTAAAAGTGGAACAATTATAAATTTATTAACCGATAAATTAAAAAGAAGAAATTTGGATCCTATTGTAATTTTAGGATCTCATTTTCCCGATGATCAAGATGATTACTACTCTTCTAAAGTATTAAGTAAAATTATGGTAAGTAATTAATGCTTTTTATTAGTCATATATATATAGTTTAATCATTAAATAATTTATTTTTTTTAGACGTATATCGGTACAGGCAGACCATTGATTCTTACAAATTTAGAGATGATTTATGGTAAATTATATTTATTAATCGTTTGTTGGTGTTAAAATTTATTATATTAATTATTTTTCCTTTAAATATTTGTCGTACTTAATACTACTAGTAAACCTTTATAATTTGTGGAACCAAAATAATATTGTAATAGGAAATAAAAAAAATATTAAACAAAAAGCACATGTAGAAAACTCTAATTTTGCGAAGTAAGTTGTTATATTGAATGAAAATTATTTACTTGGCTTAAACTAATTTTTTTTTAATATATTTATGAGCAGTCATATTTCATTAAAATGTGAATGCATCGTGGTTCTAGATGAGAAGAATTTATGTTCAGCTGATCCATCTCTTCTCGATCGTTTTGAAAAGCAAAAATTATCTATTAGTGATTTTCTTAATGAGAAACAACGATCATTTGTTCAACAGCTAAATGATTGGGCAGAAAGAATTTCTACTTTTGAAGATGGTTCATATAAATTTGTACAAAAAGATTTTTTTATAGGATTTGATAGTGAAGAAACACTACAAAGTTTAGTATTGGACATTACAAATAATCACGCTTATACTGATGATAATGAGATTCTAGAAAAATGTAAGCAAAAATTAATTGCATTGACAACATCAGATGGTATTTTAAGAGCTGAACGACTTATTTTGGATTCAGATGAAATTAATCAACTTAAATATATTTATTTTAATCAACATCGTGATAGTATTTATGATTATTTTGAAACTTTATTCAATCAAGAAAATCTGTTGGCAAGTTCTAAAGAACATTTAATAATTATCAATACTTTCTCTCATGTCAATACCGACGTTAAGTCTTGTCTAAGAGATCTTTTAACGTGCCAAGCTTATAAATTATCAAACTTTAAAAGTGAAATTCAGCTTTCAAATTTGGTGGAAAATTTCTTTTTGAAATCAACTGATCAAATGTTAATCCTTCAATGTGATACGATCATTAGTATTGAATGTATTAATTTGGCCAAGTTTATTATTGAAAAATTTCAAAGTGAAATTTCAGATAAAAAAGATGAAGCAAATACGCTTATAAAATATGTGTGCATAATAAATCATATTCAACGAGATTATAAGCAAAATTTAATATTATCTGGATGGAAACAAATTACAATTGAATTTTTAGAACCACAAAATATTTCATTAAATCAACTTTTGGATAAATCCTTATATGATATAGTAAATTCGGAACTTTTTAGTATAATAGTTGGTTCTATTACACCGTTTGAAAAAATTTTGGAGGATGAATTATTATGGTGCTTATCTTGTATAGAATATCAAATTTCCAATGAAAGCTATAATAATTACATTAGGTAAGTTGATTTTAAAAAGTTATTTATATAAAAGTACTAAATTAATAATACTTGTTTTATTTTTACAGAACGTTAAGTAAAGAAATTTTGGATAATGCAAACCTCATTCAATGTATAAAAGAAAAAACTTTTGAATCAATTTTTGGAAATTATAATGATTGGCAATTTGAAGTAGCTAAAAATAAAGATTATTTAAGCCAATTTGCAAGTCTTTTACTAGCTTTACAAAACTATGTGAAAATGATCATTAAACAAACCATAGCGAAAATTCTATATTCACTTGAAAAATTATCAGCAACAAAATCATACTTTACTATTGAAAAAATTGAAGAAAATGAAATGAAGATAGATTTATCTGATTTATGGAAACAATGTTTTATGGATAATACAATTATTAATATTAATAGTTTACCTGAGCCAAAACCTTCTAAATATATAATGCCATATTCAGTAATTGACGAACTTGAATTTCCTTTTTCATATTATTTTTTTAATCAAATTAAATTTTATGAGTTATATTATGATGAAGAATTAGATATTTTAAGACAAGATTTAAATAATATTGATGAGGAATATAATGAATTACATATCAATTTGATTGAAAGTCATATTGAAGATTTTAAGAATAAATTATTGTCTATTCAATCAAATTTTAGAATATTACAAAAATATTCAGAATTATATTATAATGATTTTATTAAAATATTATCTCATACCATTAATAAACATAATAATATAAAAGAATTGGATTTTATTATGAAGAATATAAATGGAAATAAAATAATTTCTAGTCCATTACTTCTTCATATTTATTGGTGGAGATATACGGAAAGTATTTTAATTCAATCACAATTAGTTGAAAATTTTCCAACTATTCTTGCAAATATTCAAAAAGATTCTAATATTCATGGTAAACTTGAAGAATCACTTTTGAAAGAAGCAATTAGTCTTATTTTACAAAAAATTTATTATAATGAGGAATGTAAAAAAGAAATGGATATTATTTTATCTTTCGTTAAAAGGATGAATTATACGAAAGAGCTGACAAACCTTCCTATATTAAATGTATGTAATAATTTATTGAAAATCAAGTCAATTCCATTAAAAAATATCCAAGAAATGATTGATTTAGGAAAAGCTACAAACAAACAAGAATTAATTACTACAGAAATAATTGAACTAGTATTTAACTCTTTAGACTATAATAATGAAATCATTGTTGCTAGTATAAGATCTTTTATATTAAGTAGTCTTGAAATTATTCCATTAGAATCCAAAGTTCGTCTAATTCTTTACAAAAATTTATTTTCACAAAAACCTTTTAAGTTGATTAATAATATAATTGAAAAAATATTTGATGATGAACATCAGCAAAATGACGGAATATTTTTTACGCTAATTAATAATCTAAAACAAGCATTACAATATTCAATTAGATTAAATGTTATTAATGATTGTCTTAGTAGTAAAAATTTGGATACAAATATCAAAGAGATCTGTTGTGAAATGATTCAAGCAATTTTCAGTGAATTTGAATTAAAGGAATTAATTTCTTATTTTCCTAATTTTGTTGAAAATATCACAGAGAATTCGGTCTTACAACATATAACTGTAATTGCATTTTTAAGGGAGTTTACAGTTAAATTCTGGAAAGATTATATACAAGATGAAAATTTATTATCTGAATCATCAATCAAAATGATTAATGAATATGTGAAAATTAAACATCCATTAGTTCAATCGTTCAAATCATATTTTTTATTTGAACAAAAAAGATTTTCAGTAAGCACAAACCAAATTAAAATAATGTCAAATAAATTTCCATGGATTGAAAATAATTCTAATGAAGAAATAACTTATTATTCGAAATTTTGGGGAATGATTAGACAAGTGAATTTTGAAGATTTCCGCGCTTTCAAGTTGAATAATGATAATAATTGTCCATTTTTATTAGTTTATTTTAACCATTATGAAAAATTAAAACTAATTAAGTATCTTTACCCAATTGTAAAATTTGTAAAGATTTTAAATTCAAAACTTGAATATCAAAAATCTAGGAAATCAGCTCAGATGATGACATTTCATGAATTTATTGAAGAGGAATCTAAAGATAATACTGTAAATGGAGATTATTTGAAATCTTTATTTGAAGGATTTGCATTAAGTTGGAATTCTGTAATTAATTATATTGATCAATATCAATCTAAAGAATTGCCTAACAAACCATTTATGAATCTCGAATGTTCTGTTATTTATGGTTTAATTGAACAAAAAGATGCGGGAGTTTATTTATGCGCAATTTTGGAATTTTTGATCAAAATGCATAATGAATTTTTGGATAGTGTTTTTTCTATTCCAGTAGAGCAATGTAAAGGTCTTAAATTCCTAGAATATTTATCTTGGAATAATTCAACTTATTTCACTAAATCAATTATGATAACACAAGCAAAAGAAGTTAATTTTATTAATTACGAATTAGACGAAAAAATTTTAAAATACAGTCAAAGAAATCTCGTGCAAGGTGAAATGCCATTTATTTTTGATTTGCAAAAAATTGAGACGATACTTATTGAAGAGTTAGTAATCAACAAAGTTTATTTTAAAATGGGTGATAATCAATTTTATTTAAAACATTTTCCATTTAAGCACGAAATTTTTCATAATTCTCCAAGAATTCTCTTCAATATAAAAAATGTATTGCAACAGGAGCCTATTCAGAATGATAAAAGAAAATTATTTTTAGCAGCATTACAATATTCACCTTTTATTTCGGAATTACTTTTTCTTTTTAAAACAATTCTTTGTTTTATAAGAGAGTTAGCAATTAACAATAATGAAATACTTATTGAAGATTTTGTTAAACAATGGTTAAAATTATCACGATATAATATGATGCTAACTGATATGTGTGAAGAATTTTCTCAATTTTCTCTTAAACATATCGTAGAAATATATGAATTAATTGAAGAACAAGATGCTAATTCAATAATTTATAAAATTGAAGACAAATTTAAAATTCCATTATTAGAAGAACAGATGAAGAAATCAATTAATGATTGTATAGATTATCACAATCACGAAGGATTATTAATTTCCGCTGAAATATTTGCTCTTGCTTTAAAGAAATTTATTTATAGATTTTTATTAATTGATTCTAATATAAAAAACTTAAATTTAACAGAATATTTTTTGGATTTTACTTTGAATTTATGGCCAAGTCATATTAACGAAGAATTGGTAGAAAAATTATTTCCAAAATATTTATTAGTATCACATGCTTATAATTGTTATATCTTTATTTATGATGAAATTGAGGTATGTATCTTAATAGGCTTATTACTGTTTATCTTATAATTATATAATGCTAATTTGTTAATTTTGTTAACTGTTAATAGAAAATAAAGGAAAAACAGAATAAAGAATTGAAAGCAAGGTTCAATATTAAACTTAAAAGTTAATATAAATGATAATAGGTTGCAATCTAGTAGTTCTATATTTTTTAAGTTTGGATAGATTATATTGAAGTTGTATGTTTGTTAGTTTTATTAATTATAGCAAATAACTTGTATACTTGTATATTTTTTTATATCTTAAATATTTATTAAAATAAAGAGTATATGCTTTTTCCGGTGGAGTATTTAAATAATCAAACTTAAAATCTTTAATGAAACCACAGAAACGCGGACGTGTTAACTCCGTCTTCCATAATGAATGTCGAAATTGTGAAAAAAAGGTTATCAGACAACTCAAGGTTACACAAACTGATCACAAAAGTCATACTGACCGGAGAAAAAAAATACCGATCAGAATTTGTGGAAGAAACTACTAGTTAATCGCCCTATGATACTACACATTACGCGATTACGCTCTGTTCGTCCTTTTTTTATTAAGAGAAGAGTCAGGCTTGTGTTTCGTGAACTCCGTTTCGTCCTTTTACAATATATTTGATTGTACCACAGATACTTGTTTTTGTGAGCATAAACTACTCTCAGATCCTATATTGTTTAACGTAGTAATATCTGTACCTACTGATAAATCCATATTTACATCTATGGTTTCTTCCGAAATTTCCCCACATATGCTCTTCTTTCTCGTCAATAATCTTCAAAAAATCACTTGCGTTATATTTTGTGTTGGCATGAAAATTTAAATTTATACTCCAAATATGTTGCCTTTTAGAACGGAAATCTTTATTAATAATTTTTTCGTGATAAAAGAATAACAAGCCAAGCAACATTTGCCTTCATATTTCTGTAAATATCTATTAACTAATTTGTTTCTATCACAATTATCGCTAACTACAAGACTCATATACCCTGAAATAATCTGTCCGACTTATATTAACAAAAACGGGTAATAAAAAATTTCCGTTTATTCTGTGGGTCGATCTGTTAACAGACTATTCTAGCATCATGAACTTCGGCACTCAGGGACACTGGATCAACCATCGCAAATCATTAATTCATGAAAAGCTGTTATATGAATTATTTGCTAGAACTTTCGGGAAAAAAATACATGACGAAAGCGCTTATATACACGGTTTATTAATTGAACATTAAAAATAGATGCACTGCGGTTAGCATTAGTTCAACACAAAGGCGTAGCCAATTTTTAAATAAATTCAAATCGGGTGATGCCCGTGATACACTGTATAATGTTTCATACTAATGGCTACTTTATTTTTTCATGCAATAATAACCCTCTATTCTAACATGTTTACGCGAAGAAATTATAACATCGGTTTTAAAAAAATTGCGTACGACGCAGTCCAGGCAAGAATATCAACTGCACATCGTTTTCACATGACCGATCTAGGCTACAATCACGAACTTGAATTTATTGCTTGAAGAATTACAACTAAGACAATATTGTTTCTTCTTACTCTTCTTGCTCTAAACTTTTCTTTTAAAATATGGGTCAGTGAAAAAAAAATACGTTATACAAAATTTACCTTTTAAATGGTTCAAATTTTAAGAGAAATATTCTAGAGTTGCCAATGAATGCCAGATCCTTTTTAGACTATGTCGGCTGAATTAGTATTGCCATCGATCATTTTTCTATTGGAGAAAACTTTGATTTTAATTTTTAATTGTTTTTGTAATGATAGACTTTTTTTGTTTATATGATTTTACATTGAAATATTTAATAAATTATAATTTAGAAATAAATATAATTAATGAATGACATTGTTAAATATATTTTTTATATTTTTTGGCATATTTTCAGTTCGTTGAAATGCGAAATATTTCTTGCACTGTAAATTTCGTGTAACGTCAGAGTAATATACAAGTATTGCTAAATATCACCGCTGGTGATTGTCAACTTACCAGAATTAGGGTAGAATTTTGGGCGAAATTAAAAAAATCATGAAACTCCGCCCATTAATATTTGCTAATGCTGGTGCGGTGAAAATCACGTCCCTATAATTATTACTCATATCGTCATACGAAAAAATTTGCGCATTAGTAATTAATTATATTCGCATGAGTCATTAGGTTTACTAATTTTTTTCTTTAGATCTTTCTCACTCTCTCGCAAAAATTTCAGCCTTCATGGATTAATCGCTTACTAATCTTTTCTTTCTCTATCTCCATTTCCCTTTTCCCGTTTGTGTGTATTTTTTTTTGTTTAAGTATGTGGTGTGTATGGGAATGTGAGTGGGTGAGTGTGTATTTCGTTTCTCTTTCGTCCTTTCTCTTTCCCTTTCCCTTCTCTTTCGTTTATCTCTCGTCCTTTCCCTTTCCCTTTCCCCTGATCAATGTTGCTGCACCTTAACGTTGGTGATCAGGTGACAACAAGTTTTTGAAAAACTTGGCTAAGTCAGCAACAATAAATAAATTGGTATAAGCAGTAAATCAATTTACTTTTATTAATTTATTAAATTGTTCTTCATACATATAGTACTAGAGCGAGCTGAGGTATGTATATCTATGACTAAACTACCGTATTTAATAGTTATAATAATGAGATAATGAATATATCAAGTTTAAAAAATGAAAAATCATGAAATATTTATGTTTACTGCAGACCCCCGGGCTCTTTCAAGAGCAATTTCGTCTCATTATTTCAAAATAAATTCAAATTACTACTTAAATTATCATTTGTTTACTATCTACTCATTTGTTAATTAATTTTATGAGATTGGAATATTTCCCTTTTTCTTTTTCTTTTTCCTTTCTTTCTCTTCTTTTTTCATTTTAGTGATATCAGCAATTGTAACCTATGTAATATTTCTTACTCTTCTTTCAACAGTTGTATGCCTTTCTGTTAAAAAAAATTCTTGATTTGCTATTATTTGTAATCTCTTAATTAATAGTACAGTTACTCGTTATTTTCAGTCATGATAATTAGAATCCTATCCACAGTTATAATATTGCGTCACATGTCATATGACATACGTCATGACATAAAGAGTGACTTATGACGTAACTAAGTATTAACTATCTAACCAATCAAAATTAAAGTCTTTAGTCACATATTCAAAATTGAAGATACAGTATACATGTAACAATTGTAACATATATTTATTTACGTCATACATCTTAAGTTACGTTATACGACTTACGTCTTAAGTAGTTATGAGTCATACGTCTATGACGTGACTTAACTTAGTATTACGTCGTTACGACTCCAAAATTTCATAATTAGTTAATAGTCTGAGACAATGCTGAAATTGTTTTCGTTACGTCTTATATCGGTTAAAATATTATTTCAGCAGTCCACGAATTTCGCGTACTACTGTTCGGTTTTAAATTTTAAGCTTAAACCTTTAAAAAAGATATTAGGCTCAAATTAAGGAATTAAAGAAACTAACAGAAGTTTACGATCTGAACTCAAATAACTGCATGCTCTTATTCATGGTACTGTCTCTTTTATCACCAAATTTATTAATGTCTTAATATTTCCAGATAAAAAAGGTGAATTCGTCCTCGTGATAATCAACAGTTCAATAATAAAAAATTAGCCTATAATTTTTCACCAATATACTGTATAAGTTTTCATATGAATAAAAAAAGAAATAAAATTTAGTAATTTTGTAATATTATTAATTGATCAAGGTTTTTATGGTCGATTCCTTTTGATTTACTTTGGTGATCTAATTGCCATGAATTTGGAATTAGATCACAATGCATTTAATGTAACGAGTTGCAAAAATTCTAATTGTTATTAAGTTTTATAATTGAGAATAATTACAATATTTTCAATTCATTTTGAGATATATATTTTATTATCGATTCGTATTTTATGATCTAAGTTACACAAGATTAATAATTGTTCTAATAAATTTTACTAAATCATTTAGTAAAAGTGGTATTATCTGTTATATCCATAATAATTAATATTGTTAAATATATTGATCACGAAAAGAAATATTCTAATGTTATCCTTTGTTTATCATATGTTCTAAATTCATATAAAAGAAATTAAATTAATTAATAATACTAGTTATTGGATGGTGAGGGCAACGGGCTTACCACAAAATCCAGACAACTATAATATCAACAGCCTACGTACAATCCCGATCGACACCAAGATCAAATCCCGATTGAAACAAAATATAAATCCTGACAGTTAAAAATCTTGACAGTCAAAATCCAAAATTTTTTTTTAAAAAAATAAATTATATAAATTTTCCAACTAAGCATTAAGCGTATAATTTTAAAAATGATGTGGCGCAGTAACGGGTCTTAATTATATATATTATTTCATAAATTATATAAATGGTTAATGGAAATTTTACTTGTTTACCATAATGGAATACTGATGAATTCTTAAAATTTTAAATTCTCATAATTTATAATATTTTGTACTATTTTGTACTATGGCATTTTAACATTTTAACTTTATTTATCTCATAATTTAACGTCTTTTTAAAATTGATTTTTTTTTTGCGCACGGTTTTTTTGTAGTATTGACTGTTAACGCAAAACGCAAAACGCTACTATATTATGAATTCTTTTTTTATTTTAATTAAAAGGACTATATACAGTATATTACTAGGTTATTAATATATTCCTTGTCTTCTAAAATTAGAAACTATTGCATTAAAAATTCTCAAATTCATCTGATTTGAATCTTAGTAAGGATTTTGGCTGTCAAAATTTTAGATTATCAGGATTCTCAATCAGAATTTGCATTTATCGCATTATCGGTGGACTGTCGATATTATGGTTGTCAGGATTTTTGGAACGGCTAACTTTAAGAGAATGTGATTATAAATGATGTCAAATTACGACAACGGCTGCGGAAATATATATACGGCACTATAATAATGTTATTATGCAGTGCGTCCAAGATCATGTTTCATATAAATATACTCAATATTAACATAGTATTCCCGTAAAATTTAATATAATCTAAATGACGTAATACGTCAAAAATATATCATATGTCAAATCCTGTTTGGCTGCATAATAAACTAAATTAAGTAACCATTAAAATTGCAGCGCCTATTATCTTTGACGCTAACTCTGTTTAGCCTTGAAATTAAAATGATTTCTGTGACTAAATTTTGTGACCATCATTTTTACTATTTTGGAATAATTATATTAACTCTGTATACTAAAACGTTTAAAAGTTTCAAATTAGTTTCAAAATATTCGACTTAGCCATCCATCACTTTTTATTTCAGTGCATTTTTTTTTTCACTCCCCCGCTGGTTATCGGGCAAAAATGAATCATTTCATTCGACTTTTATTTGTCTTAACTCCCTTGTTCTTCTTCGTCTATTATACTCACGCTTGCCTATGTACTAAAAATTTAGGCGTAGGAAAATACTGTGGTGGCGAATTGTCTTTTACCGGCGGTGGTAAATAATAATAATTTTTACTTTCATATGCATTTAAAATACGTTTTTACTTTATAATTATTCGGTTCTTAGGTAGTGATTGTGGTTCGGAAACCTTATGGAATTGTACTGGTAGAGGCAAAGTAGCCGAGGCATTGTCTCCTTGCGTGTTTGGCTGTTGTGGGATTACTGGTAAACCTAGTGCCTGTTGTAGTGAAACTGGATGTCCTGGATGTTCTGAGCCATACCCACCATACTCTCCTCAAATTCCTACATCAACCATATCAAACACTTCAAATATACCTATCCCTTCAATATCATCAACAATACCTAAAACCTCATCACCACCAGCCAAAACGTTACCACCTTCTGAAACACTGAAAATTGTAATTGGTGCTGTTAGTGGCATTGCGGGTACCGCACTTATTATAGTGATTGGAATTTTTGGTTATAAATGGAATCAAAGAAGAAGACAAAACCAGGATGACATTATGAGAATTCCCGGTAATAATATACAAAGCCAAAATGAAATCTTGAGAATCCCTGGCAATAACACTAAAACCAGGATAGTATAATAAGAATTTCTGAAAAAATTTCTATGATTGGAAACTTTATAATTTATTAAATACTGTAAATAAAATTTCGGATAATATCATTAGCGGAATTCGTATTAGGGTTAAATGCAAACGGAAGCGTTAAATTTATTAGAATGCTTCCATTGTATATTATGTCTTAGCATTGCCTTAGTGCGTCTTTTCTTTGGTCGAGCGAGAGATTTTGAGAAAATCCTTATGTGCGTTATGTGCGTTAAGTTTCGCGTGTGTGGGGCCAGTTATTGTATATACGACAGTACACGTAATTCACAAGATTCACATAATTCGTTTATTCTGTTTTTAATGCTATTAAAACAAAAAGTTTCTAGGTTTTTTAATTAATTAATATTTTAAATCTAATACTTGTAATACTTGTATAATAAAGATCTAATTACATGGTTTTATGGGCAAAAATTCAAGTGATTATGTTAAAAAGTGATAGAATTATATTTCTCAACCTCCTTACAGATGTAATCCTGAGCATAAAAGTTTCCTTTAAGAAGAAATTACTAGAATGGAAAAACAAGGACTTATACGAAAATCAGCAAGCCCCCGGACCTCACCGCACCGGTAGTTATTGTAGACAATAAAGGAAGCGACAAACGCTTATCGTTATGTGTAGATTATCGCAAATTAAATGATTACGAATTTTTTGCGGATTTGTAAAGATTTTGGATTTTATAAAAATATTTTAAAATATTTGGACAAAAGGTTTAATCTTAAATTTTTAGTAAAAGGCGAATTAGGCGATATTGACGAAGGAAATAAAGACTTTGATAAGTAACCAAATTTCTATCTATAATGTTCGGAACGACCGTTGAGATAAAAAGTCTTTTTGATTTCTTTGCCATTTGATAGATTTTTGACGTATTCTAACCTTTTTTTAAAAAAATTTGCATCAACGTCTCGCTTGAATTTATATTGTTTGTGCTATATTAATTCTAATCAGTTGCATTAATAGGAATGCGTTACGTTACGTTACGTAACTTACAGTACACTGCAAGGTACATATTAAATGCTTACCAGAATTAAGATAATTTGATGACCAGCATTTTAATCTTGGCTGACTTTATAATTTATAATTTTATATGGTATTACTATAATTATCATAATCAATTGCGCAGTCATTCATAAGAATTTACATTATATATAAATTAAACTCATTTTCTTTAAACTTAAGCTTTAATTCTATAAACTTGAATATTACAATAAAATACAGTAGTGTAACGTAACTTTTAGAAAATTAGAAAATTACTGTAATGTAACGATAAAATTTATAAATTACGGTAATACTCTTTTTGGCAAAATAACAATTATGCCTGTGGGGCGTCCTTAACGTACAGTGGGGTGTACGATATTAACGTACGAACTGGCCCGAGTTTGGGAGTTATGCACTTACACGCGATAGCGTTAAGGTTAATTCCGGCCAGTTCGTAATATCGTACACCCTCACTGTACATTAAGGAACCCCATGCCTGTGTACCAAAAGTTTTTTAAATTAATTTCAAAAAGAATATTAAGAATATTTGATTTAACCATTTCTATCTGTCAAGTGCATTTTTTTTTTCTCATTCCCGCTGATTTAATATCGTGAAACTGAATCATTTCGTTCGACTTTTATTTATCTTAGCCCCCTTGTTTACCTCTTACGCTTGTAGATGCACTAAGAAAAATGGATTTGGATTATACTGTGGTGGCGGATTGTCATTAACCGGCGGTGGGTATTGATTGTGTTATTGTGGTACGGATGGGATTGTAATGGTCTTGTGCTTCTTGTGTGTTTGGCTGTTGTGGGATCTGTTGTAGTGAAATTGGATGTCCCGGGTGCTCTGAACCATACCTATCGAAATTTCCTCAAAATCAAATACCAATCACATCAACCACTTTAATATACCTCCACCTTCAATTCCAACCAAATCAACCATTTTAATTATACCTCTACCTTCAATACCTACACCTTCAAAATCTACACCTTCAACGTCTACATCATCAACAATACCTGCAACCTACCAACTACAACTCCATTACCTTCAGAAGCACTGAATATTGTACCGTATTTTGCGGTATATAAGCACCCTCTTTTTGGCCAAGATCCTCATAATTCTGACCGTGGTGCTTATTTTCGGGGGTGTTTACTTACCGCAAAATACGGTAATCGGAACAGTTAGTGGTATTGTGGGTACCGCACTTATTATTATGGATTTGAATTTTTGGTTATATACGAAATCAAAGAAGACAAAATTATGAGAATTCTCGTTAATAATATACAAAACCAAGATGGCATTTTGAGAATTCCCAGTGATATCATATTATTACTGAAGGAAGAAAAACCAGGATATTATGATAAGAATTTCTGAAAAAAATTAGAAACTTTACAACTTATTAAACAAATAGAATTTTCAATATAAAAAGTTAGGTTTTTAGCGAAATGCGAATTAGGCTTTTAAAAGTATAAAGTTCCATGATGTATTATGATGTGTTGTGCCTTAACATGGCCTTAGCACGTTAAGTGCGTTAAATGCGTTAGGTTTCGCGTGTATGGGGCTAGTTACTGTATATACGATAGTTCACATACAGTAATTCGCATAATTCGTTTATCCAAAAGAATTATCCAAAATATCATCGGTGGTGATGATCACCACTACCAAAATTAGGGTGGAATTCCGGGCAGGGTTGAATGAAATTCTGCCTGAAATTTCTCCCTAATGCTGAGCGTATAGTGACGATCACGACTGGTCGACACGACTGGTGGGATGAACGATAAGACCTTAATAATTTGAAATAAACACTTTATGAGTTGCAATAACGACAAAATTCTTGTACGCAATAAAAATTAACTGGTAGAATTTCTTAAAAATGATACTTAATCGAATACACTTTATACATTTTATAAAATACAAAATATAGAAAACGTTTATTTATTTATTTATATATATATATGTATACATGAAATAATAGATATTTGAAAAAAAAACATAAAAAAAAAATAATAATAAACTAAATGAATCAACTATTTAAATTTTTTAACATTTATCTTCTTTATTTCCAATTAATTAAGTAGATACAGCCTTCTATTAAAAATAAATAAATAAATAAAAGTTAATAAAATTATAATCAATTATTTATTATATATAATGTCAAAAAAAATATACATTACCTCAATTTCATTAATAATATAAATATAACAATTATAAGTATGAGATACCAATAAACAATTTGGAAATAAATTTTCAATCAAATCTTTCTTAATATAATCTGGCCATAAATTTAAAGTAAAATCTAAGAAAAAAATATTTAAATTTATATTTTCAATATTTGTTGTTGTATCAATTGATAAAAATCTATAAATAAATCTTTTTAAAGCAAGTAAAAATTCTGTAGCAGGAATTAAATCATCATCTTGATCAAAGTAATCTATAAAATTATTAATAGATTTCTTCATTTGTTGAGATAAAGTAACTTTAAATTTATCATTAATATTATGAATTATTGAATTATTAACATTTTGTTCTTCAATTAATTCATATAATTCTACAATATGTTTTAATGAAAAATCACTAAATATTTTATATTTTGAAGTATCAAGTTTCGCTAATTTTAACCATTGATTAACAAAATCCATTATAAGCATATCACTATGACTAATAGATAATTCTTTTATAAAACTAAGAATTATATCAAAGATTGAAAGTAATTCAAATAAATCAATTGAATTTCCAGGATTTAAAGTAAGAATTGGTTGAAACATTGTTAAAACTAAGGTCGTTTTTTCCACGATAGGTTCTTGTGGTAATGATTTTTTCACATCAAAAAGAATTCTTGGAGAATTATAAAATAATTCATTTTTAAAAGTAAAATTTTTCAAATAAAATTGATTCTCTTCTAATCTTTCAAAATGAACCTTATTATTAACTAATTCTTTAATAAGTAACATTTCAATTTGTTGTAAATCAAAGAAAAATTTTGTTTCATCTTCAAAAATTCTTTGACTATATCGTGAAATAATCTTTTCGTCCCCTTCAAAATTAATAAAATTAATATCTTGAGCTTGACTAACTTTAATTGATTTAGAATCAAATAAATTTGGAATATTAATAACATTATCCAAAAATTCATTTTGTAATCTTAATAAAGATTCCAAAATCGTACATAAATAAATTCCTAAATTTTTTTGTTCAATTAAACCGAAAATAATAGGTCTTTTAATATCCATTAATGGTTTATCATGAGATAATTCTTTAGAATCAATTATATGATTAATTACAATATTCCAACTTAATTCAAATTCATCATATAAAGATTTTAAATTTAAAGTATCACCAGAAGATTCTTTTTCAATAAATTCACGAAATGTCATTGTATGAGCCAATTTTCTTGTTAAATTATATTCAAGTTTTGAATTTAAAATCATTACGAATTTAATGATTGGTTGGAGATGTTTGAGAAGTTTTAATTTTTCACAATGATTAAAATATATCGATAAGAATGGATGATTGTCTAAATTATATTTGAATTCACTATAATAAAAAGAACGAAAATCTTCAAATTTCACTTTTCTAATCGGGTTATAATATTTTGGAATATTAATAATTAATTCATCATCAATATCATCTTCAATCCATGGAAAAATATTTCTTAATACTTTGATTTGATTCAAACTTATTGTAACTCGTGATTTTTGAATTAAAAAACAATGTTGAAGTTTTCTAATATTTGGATGTTTGATTTTTAAACAATTATTAATATCATTAATTAATGATTTTGATAAAATATTTTCTTCCTTCTTACAATAATCCAATAATTTAAATGAAAATTCTTTAAGAAATGCTACTGAAATCATACGTTGAAAATTTGAATTTTTTATAAAAATTTCAACCGAATTTTTAAAATAAGGAATCAATTTTTTTAATTCAAAATCATTAAAAATTTCTTGAATTATTTCACAACAAATTTCAATCATATTATTATCAAAATTTTGAATTTCAAAAAATTCATTAATTGCATTTAATCTAATTGATTTTTTTAATCCTTGTTTAGGATTATTAATTAAATTGAAAAATATTCCTTCTTCCACTTGATTTTCTGTAATGAATATTTTTTCTATTATTTCTTTAATTAATTTAAAAGGTTTTCTTATAAATAAATTTTTATAAAGATTTAATCGAACTTTTGATTCTAATGGAATAATTTCAAGACTTCTTAATATAAAAGATCTTATATTATTTATAATTATTTCATTATTATAATTATAATCTAAATGATTAAATATCAAATCAATTATTTCTGTTGTAATAAATTCTTGTTTTTTCCCTTTTCCTAAATAAATTATTTCTTTGATTTTATCCAATGGAATTAATTTGATTTTTAATAAATCATTACATATATATAATAAAGGAAGTCTTGATAATTTTTTCGTATTATTTAATTTTTTAATTAAAGTTAATAAGATATCAATCTCTTTTTCACATTTCTCTTTATAACAAATTTTTTGTAATATAAGATTAATCGATTCTTTAAAAAGAAATTCTTCAAGTTCACCGTATTTTATAAAATCTTCTTTAGCTTTTTTAAATATTATTGGAAAATTTTCAATTAATTTTAATTGAATTAAAATACTTTCTGAATGTTTCCACCAATAAATATGAAGTAAGAATGGATTAGAACTTATTTCTTCCCCATTTATATTTTCAATAATAAAATCTAATTCTTCTTTTTTAATCAATTTTTTTATATTATGAGATATTATTTTAATAAAATCATTATAATATAATTCTGAATATTTTTGTAATGTTATAAAATTTGGTTTGATTGATAATAAATTATTCTTAAATTCTTCTATATGATCATCTTCTAATTTTGTACGTAATTCTCCAGTTTCTTCATCAATATTATCTAAATCTTGTTTTAATATATTTAATTCTTCTTCATAATAAATTTTATAAAAATTAATTTGATTAAAAAAATTATAAGAAAATGGAAATTCAAGTTCTTTAATCATTGATGTTATTATATATTTATTAGAATTTGGTTCCGATAAATTATTAATATTTATAATTGTATTATCCAAAAAACATTGTTTCCATAATTCTAATAATTCCATTTTCTTTTCATGTTCTAAACAATTTTCAAGATTGAAAAAAGTTTTTGTTGCTGATAATTTTTCAATTGAATATAATATTTTTGTTATGGTATTTTTAAGAATTATCATCACATAATTTTGTAATGCAAGTGAAAAACATGTGAATTGATTTATATAATCTTGATTTTTGGCTACTTCATATTTCCAATCATTACAATTTTCTGAAATCCAATTAAAGGTTTTTGTTTTGATGTATTGACTTAAATTTTCATTACGTAAAATTTCTTTGCTTATCACGCTAAAAAGTTATATATAATTTTAGTAAACATAATAAAAATATAATTAATTATAAAATTAAATTATCATTCTTACCTGATATAATTTTCGTTAGAGGTCGGATACTTGATACAAGAAAAACACCATCCTAATTTATCTTTTAAAAATTTTTCAAATGGCATACTAGAAGTAATTAATTTTCTAAATATTTTTGAATTTAATATATCATATAATGATTTATCATAAAGTTTATTTAATTTTATATCACATTGTTCCAATGATTCAATCGTAATTTGTTTCCATCCAGGTATGAAATTTGATATTAAATTTCGTTCATAATCTCTTCTAATATGATTTATTAAACATACAATTTTCGTAGGTCCTCTATTAATTAAATATTCATTATGATACTTTTCAATAATAGATTTTGTTAATTTAATATATCTTGAATTTGTTAATGTTGTTGCTTCACATTGAATAATTAATATTTGATCGTCCGATTTGAAAAAGAAATCTTTCACTCGTTCTGAAAGTCGTGCTTCGGTCTTGAAAATTGATAATTTATATATTTGACAACTTGCAATTTCTCCTAAACAAGATTCGATATCCACGTTTAAATCAGAGAATGTATTGACAATTACTAAATCTCCTCCAATAGTATTTTTTATATTAAATAAAGATTCGAAATAATCACAAAGATCATCATGAAATTGTTGACAAAAATAAATGTCCTTTAGCGTGGTAATTTCGTCCCTTTCTAAAGCTGATCGTTCAATCCTTAAAACTCCATCCGAAGATAATACTGAAATTAACCTTTCCTTGCACTTCATTAAAATCTCATCCCGATTAGTGTAACGATTGTCTTTTGTATTTTCTAATACTAAAGTTTGTAACGATTCATCCTTATCAAAACCGAAGAAAAGTGCAAATTTACTAGTATGTAATTGAATCGTAGGATCATTTCTAAAAGTATACATTTGCCCTATCCAATCTTTCAATTCCCGAATAAGTGATTGTTGTTTTTCGTCAAGAACATCGTTAAATGATAATGTATGTTTTTCAAATCGGTTGAGAAGTGATGGATCAGTTGAAGATAGATTTTTCTCGTCCATTACAATAATGCATTTAAATTTTGATGGAACGTAACTAATACAATTACGAAATAATTATTATTAAAATCACTTGAATCACTTGAATCACTTGATACAATAATAAATTCTTATACTTACAACATAGAGTTGGAACATGCCCCTAGTCCGACACGTGACAAATGTTTATCGTTTACCTCGATATAATTCTTATCCCATAAGGCATAAAGACTTGCTATTAAATATGTAAAATAAAGACGGTAAGTATATGTTAGTAGTATTCCAGATGTAGTAGTATGTAGTAGTTACGCCAGACGTAGTAGGATTGTGCCAGATCAATTAAAAGGTATTCGTATCATAATTGCACGTTGACTCGGAGCATATACTATATACCCGACCCGACCCGACCTGGTCCGACCCGAAAAAAATTTCGCCCGAACTCGCCTCGGATCACGATCAAATACATCTCAACTCCGGTCACCTTTGAATATATCGCGTAATTTCGAACGGTCGAACCATTCCTTATTATAGTTTATTCCATCTTCCAATCTCTCAATTCTCTTAATTGATCTGGCATTATCTCTTATCCCTTATCCTGTTATCCCTTCCCTTATCCTAGTTAATAAAAAAAAAATAATAAAAGTTACCGTAAACCATTTCCAAATCTGTAAGAATTAATGGGTTTCCTGTTTCAACACACGCCTAAAAAGAAAAAGAGATAAAAAAATAAGTATCGTTTCTTCCATAATTGAATAATAATGAAAATTTTACTTTTACTTACAATGATTTTTTTCAAAACATCACAATAATAATCTTTACTATCATCAGGGAATTGTGAACCTATAATTACAAGTGGATTCATTCCGCTTTTTTGTAGTTGATTAACCAATAAACTTAGGGTTGCTTCACTTTTACCGATAATCATCAAATGACGTGAATCAGGATCATTCAAATTTGACTTAATTAATTGTATCGGTTTAAAAGACCATGAATAATTCTTATCATCATCAAATAATATTTTAACGATATTTTTAAAATATTTTTCCCATAATTTGATATTATTTTCTAATCCACCAAAATTACGAGCCAATGCCATTTGAGTATCCGCTAACGTAAATTCATTTGATGAAAGTCTTTTAATTAACGAGTAATAATCTCGAAGACCGTAGAAATTGGGTAAAGCTTGACATTGTTGTTCATAATCCGAACATGATTTAGCCAAGGTTTCTATAATTCCAATTTTACTGGATTCAATGTTATTGGTATTTAAAAAGTGTTCAGATATATCTACTAAATCATCTAGATCGAACCGAGGACTGTAAAAATAAAATAATTATATTGAGTATTAAAAGTTAAGGGATAAAAATTTATATGTGACAAAAAGAATTCACCTTTGTACAAGTAACGCTCGACTACTTTTAACGATATTTAAACGCCAATTGGATAACCCAACAAATGATACAGTTGGTCCCGTTGCTGGATAATTTGGTTCGAGTAAAGTATGAAGTAACCTTAATGGATCCGAAGAACTTGATTCAGCAAATCCAACTATAAAAAATATTGGAGAGTATTAAATAAACCATTACATGTTGCATATGTTGCATACGCGAAATAATGAAATATTTACCATTATCGAGCAATACTACGTTAATAACATCGGAACTTGTTTCTTGGTATTTATTAGCTTTTTCAAAAATCTTGGAAATTCCATCCATAGTGGAACTCGAAGAACATAGATATGGGTTAATATGAACCTAATTATAAATACAATTTAATATAAAAGTTATAAAAATGACGTTTTAAAAAAAAATTCTTTAATATATACTTTCGGTAAAGATTTAAAGTAATCATCATTAGACTCTGATCCACGTAAATTCGAACTTATTAAACGAAGAGCCAAAGATTTAGAGGACCTTTTATTTTAAATTAAAATGTTAATGAAACCGACAAAACATTAGTGAACCGACAACACATTAGCGAAACCGACAAAACATTAGTGAAACCGACAAAACATAATTAAAAAAAAAAAAAATTGCGATTTTTTTTTTGATACATACCCCGTTTCTCCAATAACAAAGATAGGAATTTTATTTAATATGCAAACAGTCATAACCAAAATATTCTCTAGTAAAGCTTCATTTTTAACTATATTATTTGAAATTTGCATCCTATTAATATAATCTTCTTGTTCTTCCCGAATGATTTTAGTAAAAAGTTTTTCTCCCATATAAATATTATGATTTTGAAATATTTGACCTATTTCGTAACGATATTGTTTACGTAAATCTTGTTCACATAATCTAGAATGATAACAAATACTCAATGCTAAAACATAGGATCTATATATTAAAATAGGACCTTCATTTGATGGGTATTTATGTCCTTTTTTATATGTTGGACGATTATTAAGGGATTTATAAAAGAATTTTACTAATGTTATAACTCGTTTCACATCACGTAAACTAACACTATATGGTTCTTCAACTTTTCGTATAAAATTTTGAGAAGTGGATATTAAATCGACAAGTATAGGTTGTGATAATTCTTTTAACTCATTTTTAACCATAATTTGAATATATCTACATTCATCTTTTGGTTTCAGGATATCATAATTCCATAAATAATCTGAGATTTGTTCGGGAAGTGGTTTGACCTGATAAATAAGATCGCCTCTTTCTTTGTACTTTTTAACGTTTGTTACACGACCATCTTCATTTTGAACGCGAGGACGGTATGGATTACAGGAAGCGAATAATCGAATATTTGAACTTATCGGTTTACCCCGAAACATTCTATTAGATATTAAATCCGCAAGTAAACCTAAATAATTACATGTGTTAAATTCATCAAATAATAACCAAATTTCTTCTTTTTCTGATTTTTTCAAAGCTTCCGATATAAAGTTTACTATAGTTTCTTCTTCGATTCCATCATAAAGATTAAGAGATCGATATTGAACTTTTATCATCAAAGCCAAATGTGCAATTAAACTTGTCTAAAAATTAAAAAAAATTGAACGTAAATTAACAAAATTGAACGTAATTAACAAAATTGAACGTAAATTAAACAAAATTGAACGTAAATTAAATAAATTGAACGTAAATTAAACAAAATTGAACGTAATTAAACAAAATTAAACGAAATTGAACGTAAAATAAACAAAATTGAACGTAAACAAAATTGAACGTAAATTAAATGAAATTGAACGTAAACAAAATTGAACGTAAATTAAACAAATTGAACGTAAATTAAACGAAATTGAACGCAAACAAAATTGAACGTAAATTGAACGTAAATAAACAAAATTAAACGAAATTTAACGTAAATTAAACAAAATTAACGAAATTGAAATAATAAAAATTTACTTTACCTTTCCACATCCCGCTTCACCACAGATAACAACCGGAACGTTCGCATTTACTCTTAAAAGTATTACCGCCATCTTTATCAAATTATCACTAGATAAGACGTATTCCGATTTCATTCCTTCTAATTTCGTTAAAATATCATTTGAAAACATAGTATTATAATCATCAAAATCTCCACTAATTGCTTGACTCTTTAATAATAATTTAATATTATCAGGAATTTTATTCTTATCTTGATATAAAATAGTAAAAGAATTAAATTCTCGAGAATTAAAAAACATTATTTTATGATCCGCGTGATCAAGATGAGCGCTTTTATCTTCGTCCATTATAGATGTCTCCTTGAATTTAGTTGCAAAATCCTTTGAAACTTTTATTAATGATTTAACTATGATTGATCTAATATTTGATGTTCCTCTTGTTCCTCTCACGCTCGCGTTTGAATTGTTTGATTCGTTTGATTCGCTCAATTTTAGATTATTCATTGTACTTGATGAAAATCTAATTAATTGATCAGCCAAGACGTTAACAAAAATCTCAATATTTCTAAATGAAGTAATATTATTATCATCTTTGAAAAAATATCTCATAATAAGATTTCGACAAATTTCTTCCGATAAAGGATTTAAATTATTAAATATGATCTCTTTCTTATCAATTTCCCCAAAATCACATGAATTTAAATAATGACATACAATTTGAATTGGACTTGATATTTCTTGTGAAATTTTAAAATTTTCTATATTCCAAGATAAATGTTTAAAAGGTAAGAATTTTAAAATAGGAAGACAATTAAGTAATTTTTGTTTTACTGATGATGCTATTTCAATATAAATAAAAGTTTCCGGAATAGAAACGATCAAATTTTTATAAGAAACAATCTTAAAAGTTAATAATTCGAATAAGAATAAATTCACATCATCCGGATAATCAGTTGATAAAATATTAATATGTAAACTTTCTATATCTTTAAGATTATATTCTTTAAGATTATTTAAAAGATATTCAAAATTCATATTATCACTAATTAAGAAATTACGAGAAAATTTTTGTTTAGAAAAACTATTATCTTTAATCCATTCAGTTTTTCCTTGACCGGATAAATCTGAAGAAACGCATAAAACTTTTGGACATAATTCTCGATAAATATCTTGCATCATTTCAATATTCAACCCATTTATCTCATTTATCTCCAAAATTTCCAAAGAATGTTGATCCAAAATATATTGAGATTTTCCTGATTCTCGATGACATAAAAGTACTAATTGATAATTTTCATTTCTATATTCCAATTCTTTAATATAATTTATTAAATTATATTGTGAATCAAAATCCAAAGATTCTATATTAACAATACAGAATAAATTATTACTATAACCATTATCTGAAGCGAAGAAACATCTTTTAATAAAAATTCCAATCTCCTCAATTGTAGTTGAAGAAGTACATAATAAAAGTTGCCATGGTTCAGGATAATAACCATTATTAACATATAATGACATTATTATACTTGGAATTAAAGATTTATCATCATAAACGGTAATAAATAATCTATTATCTTTAATAATATCATCAGGAATTACTTCTTGTTGAATTATTTGCCATTGTTTTGGAAGATTTTTAAAAATATTTTCCAATCTATAACCAATTTCACAAAGTAGACCAAAATAATCGTTCGATACACGTGAGATTCTTTTTATTTCCTTACGAGATGGTAATTGAGCGTTACTATTTACGAATTTAATCAACGCCTTGCATCTTTGTTCATTTTCTTTATCCAAGTTTTCCGACGAGAAATAATCGTAAAATTCCAAGATTTGATTAGGAGAAAAGAGCGTTAAATAATAACAATTTTTTTGAACTTTATTCACTATATTATTCCTAAGAAATAATAAAAAAAAACTGATCAATATATGGGTAAAGTCTACGTTAACAAGTAAATTAATAAATTATAGTTACCATTTTTCTAAATCGTCATTTAAGAATATAAGAAATCCTTTAATATTTTCCGCTCCTTTTATTTTCTTTTCAAACTTTTGATAATTAAAATGACCATTTCGTATTAATTTAGTGGTAACATTGATGATTTTTTGAATAATATCAATTAAATCAATGAAATCATTTGTAACTTTTGATTTTTTCATTAAACCAACTTTTTCTCTTAATTTCAAAATATAATATAGATCGTAAGTATTATTAAGTATAATTGAACATTTATGATTTTTCTCATCATAAAAAAATAGAAAAATTCCATCAGAAATGATCTTTTTAATCTTTCTCGTATTAATTTCCTCAATATTTGAAACGTTATGATAAAAATTTTGTAATTCATCATTATTATTACACAAAATGAACTTATTAATTAAACTAGGATCCTTGTTAATAATAATTGATAATTCTTCCAAAAATTCAACAACATTTTTCATTTTCTTGTTAATGATTGGATAAAAAATTTGTTTAATTTGAATTAAAGAAAAAATCATATCCTCTTGAATAAGAATTTGATCGTCATCATCGTTAATATTATTAATCAAATTTTTAATTTCATCTTCAGAAATTATTGTTAAAAAATCCAAGAAATTCTTTGAATTCATTGATAATTCTTTTATTAAAATCCAACAATTTTCATTAATTTTATTAAAATTCTTTTCAAGATGATCAATAAATGAATTAACATTTTCAAGTAATAAAGAATTATCTTTTAAATTCTTAATAGATTTTGATATCCAATTATTTTCCATTCGTTTTAATTGTAAAATTTTTTCAATTTTTTCCAATAATTCAAATCTTTCCAACATTTTAGGAAATTTTAAAAGATTTTCTATAATTTGTAAAAGTTTTAAATTTTTTTGAGGATAAAGTTCCTTATTTAAATCAAATTCTTCATTAATATTCTTAATATTTTTCCAAAATAATAAAGCATCATAACTTCCAATTTTTTCATAATTCTTAAATTTTTTACACATAGAAGTATAATAATTAAAAACTGAAGGAATTAATTTTAATGCTATATATTCAACATTTATAATAGTATTATTATCTTTTTGTAAATAAATTTCAAAAACATTTTTAAAAGTTTGAAAATTAATAAATTCATAACATCTTTCAGCGCTTAATAAAATTTTATCATGAAATTTCCAATAATTTGATTTAATTATTTGATATAATTTTACTTTATCTAATTGTAATTCTTGTTGTTGTATATCTTTAATATAATCATTTACGTCATTTACTTTTTTTGACGTACAAAATGTTTGATAAAATTTTTTTAATTGTTCCAATCTAATTAAATGATCATCATATAATATTCTAATAACAAGAATTTCATCTTTTATCATATTAAAATGATTTGATAAATATTCATCTGAATATTTTAAAATTTCTTTTAATAATTTTATATTTATCTTTTTTTCCAATAATAAATTATAAAGTTCATAAATAGACATTTTAATATGTTGAATATATGAATTTTGTTCAAGTTTTTCAACGTTCCCGGTAGCGGTTAAAATAATTTTCCAAAATTTACTATATTTAAGAATGAACAAATATTCTTCAGATTCAGTAGATGCGGTCGTAGATGTAGATGCGGTCGTTGATGTAGATGCGGTCGTTAATGCGGTCGTTGATGTAGATGCGGTCGTTGATGCGGTCGATGCGGTCATTGATGTTGATGCGGTCGTTGATGCAGTCGATGCGGTCATTGATGTAGATGCGGTCGTATATGCGGTCGTAGACGTAGATGCGGTCGTTGACGCGGTTGACTGATTATTAGACAATACGGTCGACAATACGGTCGACGATACGGTCGACGATACGGTCGGCGATACGGTAGACGATACGTTCGACTGATTGTTCGACTGATTTTGTAATAAGAACATGATATAACATAAAATATCTTCACACATCCTAATCAACGAAACAAAAAATATTAATATTAGATATTAGCGAAACCAAATTTTAACGTAAAATCAAATTATATAACCGTAAATCGTAAAACTTACGTATTTGGAATATCCAATGGAAATTTAAATGTTTCAATTTCATAACCACAAATTATAATTATCATATCCATTAATTGATCATTAACTTTTTTAACCGATTTGTTTAATCTTTCTTTGGAAATTTCGATAAATAATCTTTTAATATCTTGTTCTTTTAATTTCATCATAGATTTCGTCGCACCCAAAATACAATAATCTGAATAATCTTTCATCTTATCTAATATAATGGATGATATATCATTCCAAATATCAATTCTTTTACAAATAAAAGGATAAATATAATCTAATAATTGAAATATGCTGATCGCGTGTCTACTTTCTTCTTCCGGAGTATTTTTAATACCTAATTTAAGTAATAATAATTTTATCCAATTTCTACAAATTGTTGGAACACTTTTATCGTAAAAACCTTTATGTAACCAATAATATAAAATTCTTGGAAAATTTTCTAATAATAATTTATTATGAGAATTTGAAATTGATTCTAAACAAGTTAAAATATCATCATCATTCCATTTTAAATCATCAAATTTAAAAATTTCCATTAAAGCGATAAGATTTGGATTTTCCCAAGATTTATCCTTTTTACTAAGTAAGTTTAAAATTCTTTTTCTAAAAAGATAAGAAACACGATCATGAAAATCTTTTGGTATATTTGTATGATGATATAATAAAGTAATCGTATCACTATTAGAAATAAGTTCTTGAATTCTATTAATAAAATATTGAGTAATTTGTTTATTTCTAATAAGTAAAATATTCCAAACTTGAAAAATGGATTCCATATTTTTACATAATTTTAATAACCATTGAAGAATTTTTAATTTATTTTCAAATAATTCTACATCATTATTAATATGAGATTTGATTTCTTTCAAATATTTTTCATCAAATTTAACTTCTTTTAAATTATTTAAAAAATTATAATTCGGATCAAATTCTTTTATAATATTAAAAATTATGAGCCAATCCAATTTTGTTTGTGAAGAATTATGTTGAATTAAACATAATAAAGCCTTATTTATAATGTGATGATCATCATCTTCATCATCATCATTCGATAAAATATCTTTTTTATAATTTTTAAAAGATTGAATTAATAAATTTGATTGAAAATTTATAGGTAATTTAAATTGAGATTTTGAATTTTCTTTTTTAATATGATAACCTAAAAGTAATGATAAAAAAATTCTTTGTTCTTTAAAAGTATTTTCTTTAATACTTTCTTTAATTATATAATTTAAATCTGAAAATTTAATTGTAAGATCCTTATATAATAATAATAATCTTTTATATTCTAAAATACTTTGTTTTAAATTATGATTTCTTATATTATTATAAATATAATCAACGAAAACATAATCTTCAATATTATTATTATCAATTTGATATTTTTTTAAATCAGGATTATTTCCATTAATCCAAATATCATAATGATTTTTTTCATTAATATTTAATTTACGTCTTTTACCATCATTATAACAACCTTCACTTATAATTTTAGATTCTTCTAAAAATAAAAGAGTGGAAGGAATATTAATTGAATAAGTATAACTTCTTTCTAAAATTTGTGTATTAGAAAAATCGATAGGGTCAGATTGCCAATAAGTAGGATGATTAATATATGGTTTATGAAGTTTTACTATAGGTTTCTTCCATTCTCCTAATTCTGGTCCATCCCCAAGAATAATAGGATTTCCAAGTTTATCTATATTTGTTGGTAGATGAACGTGAAATGTTATTGGATTATTTTCCATGATAACAAAAAAAATGTATCAGAATATCAAAATGTCGATATCAGGTAAAAATTTTTTAAAATTTTTTTTAAAAAAAAAAATCAAAAAAATTATGAGAAATAAGATTTTACAAATTCAGACACTTTTTTATTCTTGTCGTTAATCAATTCCTAAAAATAATAATAAATGGTTCAAAGTTTGCCAATTGATGAAAAAACATTTATCTTTTTTGAACGCAGCTGCATAATCCATTATCGGTAAGTTAAGAATCAAAAAAAACTAAAAAAGATGTGCACAAAAAAATAAATAATCACATGAACATCCAAAATGACCAAAATAACAGGTTTTTTTAAAAATATAGTCTAGTTATTTTTTATGGCTTTGCTATTATATAAACTAGTATATATATATATAATATATACAAAGTTTTTAAGGCCTTCGTATATGTCTATATAATGCAATAGCTTTCCTATTTGGTGTATTTGAAAGTAATAAGTTATTAGAATTATTAAAATAATAATTACAAACTAAGGAAACATAAACATATATACTCTACTAGTCTACTCTGATGACTTTTCTCCATTTTTCGGGAATAACCGAGAATTCCTTCATATTAAAACGAGATCATCCATTATAATCGTGAGAATTTTTAATAAGTCTATTTATATACTCTCTGATGTTTTGAAACGGATTTTCCCAGTGGGCGTTAATGTGTTAATGTCAAAAATCATTTCACATGATAAAATGATAAACCTCGGCCATTTATACGTTTCAACGATCTTGCCTTATGGGTTTTACTGAAAATTAAATCTAATGTCACACGACATGTTTTAAATGTTTCTTTTCAATGAAGACATATGAGACATATGGGAACCTATTGATAATGTACTCTATTATATTATGTAATATCTGTTATTACTATCTATCGAAACTGTCTGCATTATCATTATTAAAAAAAATATTTACTTTTTTTATTAATAGATTAAATAATAACAAATATCTATATTTATATATATTGATTTTGCGGCGTTCATTTGTTATTGAAAGTCCGTTTGTTCGTATTCGTATTCGCTGTTCATTTGTTTGATATTATATTCGGTCTCCAGATCGTTACCTGATTACTTTTTATTAATATTATGATAAAATGTCATTCTGTCATTATAATATACTTTTATTATATGAGAAAACTTCATTATTGTAATCATGGCTTTCTATCATTGGCTATGTTCCTACGCCATCAACAGTCATAACTTTGGTCATACCCACCTGCTGCAGCAGCTTACGATGATCTTTCAACATGTGATTCCTCTTTTTGGTTGATTGAGATACGATATGATTAATAATTGTGTTTTTTTATAGATTACCGTGGTATCTTCAATCCATATGCATTCTTTGTTTTTCTATCAAAGATATTCAGTAATACTAACTTGGTGTAATTAAATGTAAAACTACAAATTAAAAATCATTTGTCATTATGACCATTCCAAGAACGACAACTAAAAGAAATATACAAGAAAATTCCGGAATTAAAACAGCCGATAATCATGACCATTCAAAGAATGACATGTAAGAACTTGGCGTGGGTTTGAAGGTAAAGCTACTAATTAAAAAATGACCATTCAAAGAATGACATGTAAGAACTTGGCGTGGTTGAAGGTAATGCTACTAATTAAAAAATGACCATTCTAAGAATGACATGTAAGAACTTGGCGTGGGTTTGAAGGTAAAGCTACTAATTAAAAAATGACCATTCTAAGAATGACATGTAAGAACTTGGCGTGGTTGAAGGTAAAGCTACTAATTAAAAAATGACCATTCTAAGAATGACATGTAAGAACTTGGCGTGGTTGAAGGTAAAGCTACTAATTAAAAAACACATATCATTCTAAAAATGACAACTAAAAGAAACATACAGGAAAATTCCGGAATTAAAACAGCCGATAATCATGTCCATTCAAGAATGACATGTAAGAACTTGACGTGATTGAAGGTAAAGTTACTAATTAAAAAATGACCATTCTAAGAATGACATGTAAGAACTTGGCGTGGTTGAAGGTAAAGCTACTAATTAAAAAATGACCATTCTAAGAATGACATGTAAGAACTTGGCGTGGTTGAAGGTAAAGCTACTAATTAAAAAACACATATCATTCTAAAAATGACAACTAAAAGAAACATACAGGAAAATTCCGGAATTAAAACAGCCGATAATCATGTCCATTCAAGAATGACATGTAAGAACTTGACGTGATTGAAGGTAAAGTTACTAATTAAAAAATGACCATTCTAAGAATGACATGTAAGAACTTGGCGTGGTTGAAGGTAAAGCTACTAATTAAAAAGCACAACCATTCTAAAAATGACAACTAAAAGAACATAAACACATACCATTACAAGAACGACAACTAAACGAAACATACAAGAAAATTCCGGAATTAAAACAGCCGATAATCATGTCCATTCAAGAATGACATGTAAAAACTTGATGTGATTTGAAGGTAAAGCTACTAATTAAAAATGACCATTCCAAGAATGACATGTAAGAACTTGGCGTAATTAAAGGTAAAACTACTAATTAAAAAACACATGTACCATGATCATTCCAAGAACGACAACTAAAAGAAACATACAGCTGATAATCATGATCATTCACATGTAAGAACTTGACGTGGTTGAAGGTAAAGCTACTAATTAAAAAATGACCATTCTAAGAATGACAACTAAAAGAAACATACAAGAAAATTCCGGAATTAAAACAGCCGATAATCATGATCATTCAATAATGACGTTAAGAAATGCACAAGAAAATTACGAAAATAAACAACCGATCAATAATTTTTTTCAACCAATCAATTAATAGTAGTTTTAGTTCCGTTCTTTCAAAGAAAAAATGCAGTTCTATCTTTACCACCTTCAAGTGGATCAGTTGCTAAAACTGTATAAACCTTCTATAGGATCAGATCAAAAGATAAGATATGAAAGAACATCGTATAATTTGATATAATGTATGCACGATTTGCAACTTCTGGGCTCCACACGATATTTTTCAATGATTTTCATATGGGCCCCAAGTTCCCAACATATTCGTCATATCGGAGTTTGAAATAATTTTTAATTTTAATTTTCCGATTTGAGACCAATCATAACCAACTTTTGTTATATTTACAAATATTAAACATCCTTAAGGGGTCAAGCGTTATCACTTTATCACTACATACTTCAATACTCTTAATTTGTCCTTTGAAAAAAAAAATTATAATATCTTGGCCATTTTGTTCATTTGCAAGTGCTTGAAGATCCAAACCAAGCTTTAATAAACCATTTGTAACGTCAGATTGCCATAGCGCCTGTTAAATGAGGGGCCATAGTCTAATAAGTAATAACGTTCAAGTATCCCCACACTTAATGATTTATTATCATATCCGCCACTAAAAAAAAATAGAAAATATTGCTAAAAAAATAAGATTGCTAAAATAAAAATAAGAAAATTTGATATAAGCAAGATTGATCCATACAATATCCACACAATATCCACACAAAATCCACGCAATATCCACACTCTGATATTCCCAAAAATGATGAGAATAACAAAATGCATAACATTTCATTTTGACGCAGTATAATCCATTATAGGTAAGTCAAAATCAAAAAAAAAAATCTATATTTTTTTTGTACGTCCATAAATAAAAAAAAAAAATAATCACATGAACAACCAAAAATAACAGGTTTTTTCATAGTAAGTCCAAATCAAGAAAAGTTCATTTTTTATGGCTTGGCTATTTTTACAATCAAGTTTGAATCAACTAATATAAAAATAAACTTTATGATCAACAACTTATATAGAAATCGTGTCATAAAAAAAATCTTGATTCTATGGCTTTGCTAAATTTTATGGCTATGCTATACTTTAAATTATATAATATATGAAAAAATGGTTATTTCATAGACTTTTTTTTTTTTTTTTTTTGTTTGGTTGGATACACTTGGATTAATATATTAAAGTTTCATACATACATACATATTATATATTGTATTAAATCGCCAATTTATCGATTAATTATTTCATTATTTCATGTCTCAAGAGATCGATGGTGATTTTCTTATTAGTGAGCATAATTATTATTATTCGATTTATTCGATTTTTAGGTTCTTCTATAATGTATATAATTTAAAAAATAGGGTACCAGTAATTAATTTTAAAGCAAATAAGATACTGCATAAAATTTTTTATAAAGATAATCAGGAGAATCTTTTTATTAAGTCTTTAGTCTACTAGCAAGTTCCATAACAATATGTTTCTAATATTTTTTTTGAAACGGATTTTCCAATGGGGAATAAATTGAATCCCGAATTTTTTTTTACCGAAAATTAAACATAATGTCGCACGACATACGTTTTATTTACGTTTATTTTATTTTATTTACTAATTTAACAATAATAATAATAATAAAAAAAAAAAAAATTTTCTTGGCAGATTATTCCAAAGAGTAAAAAAAGTAATATTACAAAAATAATGTTAAAAAAGGGAAAAAATCAAAAATACTTCCAGGTATAATTGAATTTTGTTTGATTGGGAAAAAAACTAATTATCTATACAATAAAAAAAATGAAATTTTTTTTTTTTTTAAACCCGTCTTTGATAATAATCTTGATCATATTGTCCTCTTCCTTGATTATGTTGATATTGCCCTTGATTATGTTGATATTGCCCTTGATTATGTTGTCCTTGATCGTATTGCTCTTGATCATATTGTCCTTGATCATATGGCACTTGATCATATTGCACTTGATCATACTGATTATTATTATATTGTTCTTGATCGTATCTTTCTTGATTTTGACCATATTGTCCTCTTTCAGGATAATAATATTCTTCTTGTGGAGCGGCACCTTTATTATACTGTGGATAGGGTTCATATTGTTGTTGTTGTTGTGATCGAGAATTATTACTATAATCAAAATATTGTTGTCCTCCATCTGGAGAAGAAATGTTTGATGCAGTTTCATAATCATCTATTACATGATTTGATGGAGCAGTTTTATATTGCATTTGTCTTTGTTTTTCTTGACGTTTTTTACTTTTTATTCTTCCACGTTCCCAATCTTCCCAACGTTTAAATGGAATTTTTGATGGATCAAATTGTCCTTCTTTTTTACTATGATCATCTCCTTTAGCTTCACCTTCAACTTTTCTAGTTTCTCCCCATGAGAAATCATCAAAATGCCAATAAGCGTATGTTGGTAAAATAAAATTCCATACAGGTAATGCTAATAAATAAATAAACATCCAAGTGATATAAACAAGTTTTCTTGTGGTAATTAAAATTAAAATTCCTGGTAATCCAAGTACTAATACTAACATCAATACAGGAACTGCTGCTGAAAAATCTTTAGGTGGATTTAATATTATGGATACGATTAACGCATAAGTTAATAAGATAGCAACTGGAAGAACTACGGTACCAATTAATTCCATAAAAATAACAAATTGCATAGAGAAGCAAAATGTTCCACAAAGATTTCTAACTAATACTAATTCCAATAAATTATGAATAGTTGAATTAATCCATCGTCGACGTTGAGAAAGTAAAACATTAAAATCATCAGGTACTACAGTTTTACAAATTGCTTGTGGACAAAACATCATTTTTCTGTTTGGAAAGTTTCTTAACATAAGTGTGGTCAAAAATCGATCCTCTCCAAGAAGTAATAAATTCTTTTGATGTAAAGTAGTAACAACATTTTGAGAATATTCTTGAACGATTTCAGGTTTGGTAATAATTGGAACCCAATCATCATCTCCTTTACGAGCTTTGAGACGATACATACAGAAACAACCAGGTAAACAAGTAACACCACCAAATACGGATTCAAATCCTTTACCCAAATGATGAGAAATATAATATTCAAAAACTTGAATGGAAGTAACCCAAGAATCTCTTTTGTTTGCAATTTTTGTTTCTCCACAAAGTCCCATAATTAAAGGATCATTGCACATACAATTAATAAGTATTCTCAATGAATCAGGATAAACTTTTGTATCAGCATCAACCATAAGAACGATCTCAAAGAAATCAGGTGTAACACCCATAAGATGATGAACTTTACGGAATAAATCATAATCCAAAGGACTCATACGATCATTATAAGTAATACGACTAAAGAAATTCATCAAAATCAATTGAGAATCACGTTTTCCACGATTACCTGGTTTTGGTTTTCCTTGTTCTTCTGGTGTACCACATTTAACAACACAAACCATTGGAACTCGACTATCTTTCCAAGGGAAATATCCTGCATAAACTTTGGCCATATTATGTCTTTTTGAACCATCAGCGATAGCAACATAACTTCTTGGTTGAGGATCTTTGAATTCAGGTGAAACTTCCATAAGATCAATACAAATATCAGGTGTACTTTTATCATTACCAGAACCTGTGATTATACCATCACATATCAAGAATAACAGTTTACGATCATTTGGATAATCGGTAGCAGCCATTGATTCACAAGTACAACGTAAACCAGCTTCATCTTCAGAATAACAAGTAACAAGTAAAACGGTATATAAATCATTGCCTACGTCTTCCATACTCATGACTTTAGTCATACCACCAGTAGTAGCAGCAGTACCGTATGGTGAACCACCTGGAACAACTTGTGATACTGAAGGTGAATTTGTAGCACCTTTTGGTTGATTAGCGAGACGATGTGAAATGAACCAATTGAAAACACAAGCCATGATGAATCTTGTCATAACAATTCCAAGAATGACGGTTAAAGAAACGTATAAGAAAATTACGGAAATAAAACAACCGATAGTTTCTTTATCAATATTTCCAGCATAAAATTTTTCAACCAAACAATTAATAGTAGCTTTTGTTTCTGGTCTTCCAAAGAAAAGAGCGGTTCCATCTTTACCACCTTCAAGATGGTCAGTTCCTAAAACTGTACGAATAGTTTTATCCAACATATCATCTTCTATAGGATCAGGAAATTTATTAATATAAGGATCAAGATTTAAAACATTTCCACTTATAACCAAATAATTTTTTAATTGTCCAATTTGAACCCAATCGTAACCGACTTTTGTTGAACTATTTACAATATTTAATTGATCAAAAGTTGATTGTTTAATAAATACATCTTTAAGAGGACAAGCATCATCACTACAAACTTCTAAATTAACAGCAGCGAATTTTTGTATATCTGGTCTTAAACAATCAGGAGCTTGCTGATTTGTCCTTTGAAAAAAAACCGTAATATCTTGACCATTTTGTTCTTGTTCAAGAGCTTGAAAATCCAAACCAGGTCTTGATAAACCATTTGTAACGTCAAATTGCCATCCATTAATTCCAAGATGACCGGGTGAATCACCATAACGTTTAAATTTAGAAGGATTATCAGCTTCAGAAGGAGGACAAAGTATATTAGAAAAACCAACGGTCAAAAATGCAACGATTCCACCCATAATAACAGCGATAAAACATAAAGCAATTTTTTCACGCCATGCTTGTTGAGATTGTTTATCATTGAGACCACCAACCGATGATAGTAAAGAAGCTGGTGCCCAAAATGTGACGACTTTTGAAAAAATTACCCAGACATCACAATTATTATCTTTAGCATCCCTAGCACCTGTTAAGAGAGGGGCCGCAGGTTGATAACGTTCAGGTCTATTCAAAGTTCTTCCACGCCTTAGCACACTCAGTGGCCTATTATCATTTGAATAATATCCACCATCCATATGTTATTATTGATTGTAGATATATATATATATATATATAACGCGGTTGTAAAAAAAAAAAAAAAAAAAAGAAGAAAAAATCTATTTTATTATATGTTTTATTGAGTTAAGTATAATGTAGAAATCTATTCTACAATACGACGAGAGAGAAGGATAATGAGGAGGAAGAGGGAATTGAATTACGGAGAATGAGAAAATGAAAGTGAGGAGGAGGAGGGAGGGAGAGAGTGTACGTATAATAAAAAAAAAGACTCTCTTTTTGAAACAGGGTAAACAAAGAGAAAATGGAAAATGAATTAATAATCTCAAATTTTTATAATAATTTTAGAGTAACGTACCCATAATATAAATAATTTCCAAGTTCGTTTTACAAATTTCCACATTTGTGTGGCAAGATTATAAATTAGGTTTTTTGTCCCTCAATTTGTAAAACGACCTCGGTTTTACATGCCTTTTTTTTTTTATGTAAGTTAAACTATAAATGTATTATAAAGGTAATATAGCTTATTTATAGATTGCTTACATCATTTATCGGTTGAAACATTAAATAGTATAAATAACACAAAAAATGCATAATATAAAATTTTCAACGAATGAATTTTATTTTAATTGATTAAAGAGCATAAACTGTTTTTGTGTAACTATTTAAAAACAAATAGGTTAATGCAATCCTGCAATCCTCAAGTAATTTTACGAATCTCGCATTCTTTCATTATAAATTTCATTATCATTATTAATGTTTATATTCAATAACTGAGAGAATGGAAGTTACCGGTTGTACTCTATAATATAATAACGACTCTTTTTCCTTGTAATAAATTTTTATTTAATTTATATTTAATAAATAATTTAAAAATTTAGAAAAAGATCCAAACTAAACTTATTTCAATATTATCATCCTTTTTAGAATTATAGAATTTTTTTCATTCGGCCTTTACTTTGATCATTACTATTAAATAAATTAATAAATTGAAATTGTAAATCCGAATTGTCGCCAATTTTGTAACACAACGATCCCTTCTTTAGTTCTTTTAAATAATTAATTTCCATTTTTGTGTTTGAGCGTATTAAAATGGTTAAACACGTTTTATAATATAAATAAAATTTGAAACATAGGAAATTTCTGTTGAAGTTTCTCTGAAAAGACTGTGTAACGTGTTCTTTAATTCGAACAATGATGATTTCTTTGTAAATAGAACAAGGTCTAAAAATACAATAATAAGGAACTATTTTATTATATATATATTAAAAAAAAATAATAATAAAATCTATTGTTGTCAAAAAAAATATATATTTCACTTTATTTGTTTAAAAAGGTATGAATGTGTATTTCCAGATTAATTGTGTCAAAATTTTCCCAACTCCTTTACTCCGATTCATTTAGTCATATAAATATAAGCATATATATATACCGTATACAAAAGTCAAACCTAAAAATTTATTTTTATTCCTAATTTTCTTTTTTAAAAAAAAAAAATGCTGCGCCACGGTCCGATATATTCACGTGATTGAGAATAGTGAGTTTTTTTTTACGATCGAGAGAAAGAAACGTAATCATTCCACAGTTTCTACGTAAGAAAGAAAAAAATTGACATATGTTATTCAAATATCCAAATCCAACTAATTGAATTTTTTTTTTGTTTCTATTCCAAATGCGACTTTAATCTTTAAATTACTAGCTTTATATAAACTAACAATGTTAATCCCTACGTCAATATGATAAAGGTTATCTATAGTAAATATTTAATCATAATTTCATCATTTACGTATAATACATTTTTTAAATAAATACCACCGTTCAAATTTCAAAAAGATTCAAAAGATTCAATTACTCTCTCTGTTTTAATTCATTTATTAAAGAAATTCAAAAGTAATTCTTCATTATTAAAAAAATTTGAAAAATATGGCATCAGGACCTGTAGGAAGAGTTACGAGATCTCGCTCATTATGGAGATTCGTTTCAGTTGATCCAGAAATTTATCCTTTAATGGGAGTTTTAGCCGCAACTTTTGGTTTTTCTGGATACATGTTGGGACATAAAGCTACGATCCGTAATCCAGAAGATAGCGTAAAATTAGCTAAGGATCAAACATTTCCTTGGCTCGCTAATAAAAATGAACAAGGTGGTGATTACAAATATAAATATCATAAATCGGGCGATCCTGATAAAGAAGTCATTAAAGCTCCAGCTGCCGACATTGCGCATACTGCTCTAGTCGATTTGCCAAAAGAAGCTGCTCAAAAAGTTGGTGAAAAGTTTGGTGGATCAAAATCATGAACATGTACTTTACTATATACATATTTTTATGTAAGAAAATTTTAATGTAAGAAAAAATTTAGTTGTCACACTTTGTAGTATTAAGAACTATTTAGCCTACATATCACAAAAGAATTAATTTTATGAAACTATATTAATTTTTGATGATTCACAACGTGATCAATTCTGCATTAATAAAATACCGCAAGAACATTTCTTTTTCTTTATACTGTATATATAAGCTTTATCTTGATTGACAATTGCACGTGAAATAATGTACTTCTTAAAATAGTAATAGCACCCCAAATTTTATATTATTACCGAATATTAAAAGAATCAATTATTTCTGATGGCACGTTCTCTACACCCACATCTCACTTTTTAGTTACATCATCAGAATAAAATAAACCCAAGTGAACTTATATTATTATTGTGATCAGGGATGGAAATTTCCGCGCATGTGATTGAAAGTCAATAGGCGCGATATTTCATAATGGCGCTTATATAAGGGTGCATATGACTTCATATGTTGCGTGCTCTGCACGTGTAAACATAATCTCAATTTCCTTGTGATCACTATAATAAAAAATTGACCCAAATTAAAAATCGTAAATAGACTAACGTGTTAAATCATGAGGACCAATTTTTTTTATTAAATTTACCTATTAGTATTGTTTCTGAATCAATATTTCAGCAGTCACCCAATATGGCCGAGAACATTCTCTACTATTTTTTTTCGACTAACTCTGGATCTGACATCCAAAATTTTGTATTTTCATTTTCTCTAGCTCAGCATTCCATGAAATCCCATCTCCCCGTATATGCCACAATACCATACGTTATTGGTAAATTCTTTATTCTCTGAATAATTTTGCGTTGTCGAACTGTCAAAGATTCCAGCTGAACATTATCTTGCAGATATCTCATCTATAATTTATCCCTGACCTTAGTAATAATAGCCCTGCTATTTGAACATAAAATCATTACGAAGTCGATAGTTAATTGAAATGGACTAGAAAATTTATCAGAAAAGACATACACATATAAATACAAGAAATGTGTTACTTTGCCTGACTAATCAATAAGATACTTCAAGTGCGCGAGCTCAGCTCGTATATATGTGGATGTAATTATTTCAGATAATTCAGCATTAAGGCAGCGTAATGGTGAAATGGTAAAATATATTATCATATACAAAATTTTGTCCAAATAGTATTACGCCAGTATTACACCGGTGTGATGCCGAATTGTTGTAAATGTGCCGTAATATTTTGGCATGGCTTGAGCCTAATTCACCCTCATGTATACAGTCAGCTCGTCAATGAAAAACCGTACCATCCATTTCTTTTCTATAAAACTTAAAAAATAAATTAGCGCCCACACAAAAAATTCTCAAAATCTAGATCTATGCCAAAATCCATAGAGTTGACACACGGACAAAGATTTTGACAGAGTTTCTATAGACAGCTAGGAATTTTTTCTGCAATGAAGGAGAATATCACATTGTAAAACATCTCGAAGGTTGAACTCGACGTAGTAGTAAGATATGCTAATTCCTCCCCGTATCTCAAACACCACTAGTTGGCATGTTATTTGAGATTGTCCCTATTTGAATTCCAATAATTTTACCATACCAGTAAGACTGAATTTTAATGTTTATGCGAGCAATGGAGAAACTCTTGAATAATAAACGAAATACAAACCAGATTCAGGGAACAGCACTTTTATAGCGGTTTCTTCCGGACATTATGTATTAGTTTGTTCATTAACTGCAGAAATAGCGATAAAAGTAGTCGAAAAACTTTTAGAAGTAACAATAATACTTGTAGACCTTTCGAATTAAAAATTATAAAAGCAAGAAAAAAAAAAAAAATCGGTATACTGTATATACTGTATATAATATGTGAGAAATCTATTGTCGCACAAATTGATTAACACGTTTAACACGTGTCACTTAATAATCAATCAACACAATGCGATCAAAAAGAATGCACCCCACATCAAAGGTTATAACCTATTCACTTGTGACATAAATAGTAAGGTTATAACCTTTGATGATCCTACTTTGGGTTAGAAGTACCTGTAGATAATCCAACCGAGCCATTGTACCCATCAAAATAACAGACAGGCCAACTTCTTGTTGGCGTGAGATTAGTTTAGATTAATGTCGTCCAGTTATATCTAACTCATTCTTATCATAACAAAAATAAAAAAAAATCAAATCAACACAATGCGGGCAAGATTATTCTAAAAGTAATGTGGGAGATATTAATAATTAAGCAAACACCATTTAACCAAAGATTATCATTCTCAAAAGACATTCTTTTGCATTAATTTGTTTGTTAAAAATCTATAGTCGAAATCGGTTACAAATTACAATACAACTCACGGTAAAATATTCCATCGACACCGAAATTCTTTTTTTATATCGTAAATTCCATTTCATCTCATTCTAACTGCTAATATTATTAAATAAATTATTTATTTTCTACATTATACAAATACATATAGTTCAAAAAAGAACCTTAATGCATAGACAGTACAGTGGAAACTGTGCCGAGGTATTTATGGTTTTGTGTTTACGTTTAATAAAAGATAATATACATCTAAAAAAACTGGGAAATTTACACGATTAATGTTTGCTCTATTAAAATACCTTAGCAGTTAGCTCTCTGAGTGCATCATCCAAATTCACATTTTCACTAAATAACACGGGAAGAAACTTTGGCAGATTATGATCGGATTCGGAAGTTGCTTAGCGTAAAGGAATCATCCAAAAATCAATCTTCTTCAACGTATATCAGCAGCAATGTTCTCGTTTTTTGTCGCTTTTGTTAATCGAACGCGCTTCGCGATGTCATTAGTTTCTAACTATCTATTTTCTTGATCAAGTGGATGAGGTTTGGTCTGGAGTTTCAATTTCTTTTCTTTTACGCATTTTTTTGCATACCGACTATCACAATGTAATCGATCATGTGCTTAATCAACAATTAGTTTAATAAATTTGGTAATTTCGGCCGGTATTAGGAAAACCGTTGATCGATCATGATTGGCTCGATCAAATTCGTGGGTTTCCATTCGTTATATGTGGAGTATATTTTCATTAACCCTCCTCCAGGCAAGCCAGTTCTCTTTAATGACTTTGTCACTAGTTCCCCGTTACTAATCCTTTACTAAATAAAAAAACAAAATGAAGACAAAAAAAACATGAATAAAGAAAAAAAAATTATTTATTATGCCGTTATAGAAGTTATACTGTATACAACGTATGTTAACCACGCCTTATTTCACCCGATGTCGAAAAGTCAATGATAAGATGAAGAAAATATTTAATTAAATGGTAGACAACACGAATTTTATTGGTAGTTTGAATATACTGTACGTACTGTATGTACGACTAAGGTAATATACAGTATGTATTTATCCTATCACAATCAATTGTTAATAAATTATAATAATAGAATAATTAAATATGTTGTAAAAAAGATTATACTAAATCTTTTCTGTTTCATGACTGCTTGATTTCCTGATTTTTTTGCTTTTTTTTATAATAAAAAATAATTGAAATGCATATAAGAACAATTATTACAAATAAGACTATAATAGCCACACGTGTTCTTGACACATCTTCATAAAAAGATGAACTAGTAGCAGCTGATACTTTCGTTTGAATAGAAGCAAAACTGTTATTACCACCAAACATCGTTGGTGTAATTCCAATTGTGCTATTATTGTAATTAAACTTAGCTAATAATGACCATTTATATTTCAATGGATCTGTCACATTTAATTTATATAAATCTTCACTGTAAGTCGGATCTTTATTTGATTCATTTCTACCTTTAAAATTTAAACAATTATTAGTATTAGTAAATTTTAAAATTTCATCTTAAAAACAAGCAAATCATATATACCAAATGCAGAAATCATATAATTTTTAACCATTACTGATGTGTGTCCACTAAAAGCTCCAATAGGATTTTCTACTGTTGGTGTTGACCATTCATATGGTATTTTTGAGGTATCCAAGACCGACAAATGTGGTAAAGCTGGTACTGATGGTTTTGATACTCCACCGAATACAATAACACGTCCATCTGAAGCTATAAAAATCAAAAATAAAATTTAGTAATTATAAATAAAATTTACAAGGATGTTCAGGTATGACGCTTACTTGAAACAGCTGTATGATCGGTACGTACTTCAGGTGTTTTACCAGTCGTGTTCTATTATGTTCACAAGAAAAAGATCAATTACGGAGACAATTTAATCATCAATAAATAATTAGTATCTTAAATACCACAATTTTCCACGTATCATTTATAGTGTCATAAATTAATAAATTATTCATTGGCTTCATTGACACAATTTCATTATCGATTTGTCCACCAATAAATAAAATTTGACCATTTGGGACTAAAACTTGCGCATATTTATTATAGAAACTAAGAGAACCCTGGAAAGGATTTGAAGCAATATAATTGATCACCATGTTAATTGTATCGAAAATTACCACATTATCATCAAGAGAATAGGATTTGCCAGTTTTCTCATCAAAAGTCCATATTTCTGTAAATACAGTAATAGATTTCATGGGTTGTAAAATTTTGACATTTTCGTTTATATTCCATTTTTTTAATGTAGTATCAAATGTATTAACATAGAAATTACTAGCGAATTCTTCCAAAAACATTATTTTATTACCACCCGGAATTGGACTATCGAATGCAAGGTTATCTGGTTTAGGTTTAATATTCGTAAGGTCTATCCATTTGGATTCTTTAACAAGTTCGTCAGTATCTAATGATATTCCTGCTAAGTCTACATAAAAAAATTGCAATGAACCTAGACAATACAATTTATCTTCAATAAAAATTGTTTTAACATCATCAAATATTTCACAATTAGATGATATCTGATTAAAAATTATTAGAGCTATCGAAATTATTAATTTTGATAATAAGAAAACACGCATTTTTTATATACGATTGTTATTAAAGGATTAATTAATAAAATGTTAAAAGAACAGGATTAAAAGAGTTGAAATGATTAAAGAAATCCCCTTTTAAAAGGAAATTGAAATTATCGCTTAAATCACTGTGATAAACGTGATAAACGTGATAAGTGTGATACGATAGGGTATTCTTATTTCGGATTCATTGCATCAAATCTTGACTATAAAGATCTAATTAAATAAAAATTTTAACGTTCTTTAGGATGTGGATTGTACAATAATAATTTAAATGTAACAATTTTTTTGTGCTGCTCTTTTTCTAATTTATCCATTTTCATTTATGGAATTTTAAACAAAGCGAAAAAAAGGATTTTCCAATTTTCATGTGAACATAATGTGTCACGCGTTTTTTTTGAGTTTTCACGGTATAATGTTATCAACATTCTTGTAAAAAAATTATCCGAAGCGTAACATTTGTCTGCCGCTATACATAGTTTGCCAATCAAAATCCTAGAACAAGTATAATAGATGTAACGCTCCGGATACAAATATTAAGTCTTTTTTTAATTTATTTAACATTAATTACTTTATCAATTATTTCAGTTATAATATACTTATATTTTTAATATAATAGACAAAATGATAGTGTCGTTGTGTTTCAAAAATAAATAGGAAGAAAATGTTTAGAATCTAGTAAATCTCTTAAAAATTAATACTATCGAAATAATTCTCTTTAAGTCATGCTTTTTTCCAGTTCTTCATTAATAGATATATTTTCATTATTAGATATATTTTGGTGATAAGTATTCATCTTATTCTTAATCTTACGTCTATATTGCCTTGCTTTATAAAAAATGAGTACCGATATGCATATAAAGACCATCACTGCATATACGATTATAACAGTATTACGTGTTCCTAATCTAGAAGCTGAATCAACACTAGCTTTAATCGGAGTAGAATTCGTTGGCTTAAAAACGTCAAGAGAGCTATCAAAATTATCAGAACTATCAAAACCGGAAAGAAAAGACCATTTATATTTTAACGGATCTCTTATATCTAATTTATAAATATTATTATTGTCTATTAGCGTAGGTATTGTTTCCCTTGTATTTATACCTTTTAAAAAAAATGAAAAATAATATTTAATTACTAAATATTATTATGGAATTTTTTTTAAAAAAAAAGATCGGACAAGTTAATAATTACCAAATGCAACAATCATATAATTATTAACCATGACTGCTGCGTGATCACTAAGAGTAAAAGGATTTTCTATCATTGGTGTTGACCACTCATATGGTGTTTTTGAGGTATCCAAAATTGATAATTGTGGTGAAGCTGGTAATGAATTTGATATTCCTCCAAATACAATAATACGTCCATCTGAAGCTAAAAAAAAATTAAATTAGCAATAAAATTAATGTATATACAATATATGTTTTTATTTTTAGTTGGTTTAATGCTTACTTGAGACAGCTGTATGCTTGATGCGTCCTTCAGGCGTTTCACCTACTGTATTCTATTATATTAACGTACATATTAAATTAATGTACAAAAAAAAAATTGGTTAATCGATCGGATTTATTTATCATTTCATTAGGAGATTAAACAAGTACCATCATTTGCCATGTATCTGTTCTGGTATTATACATTAATATACTGCTCATTGGATTTTTAAAACTACTAAATCCTCCGCCAATAAACAAAATTTGACCATTCAACAAAACCTGTGCAGAATCTTCAAAAATACGTATATCTGCAGAAAGATTTTCCGGAGTTGAAACACCTTTCGTCAATGTCAAATTAATTGAATCAAATATTGACATGGTGCTATCAAGGAATGAGTATGATATCCCAGTATTTTCATCTGAAACCCACTCTCCAAGGCCAACAAACTCTTTCTTTTTAATAACTTTAGTTGGGTTCACTTCCCACTGGTTTGATGTAGTGTGAAATGTGTAAGCATTTACATCATCGTCGGTATTATCAAGTATAATTAATTTTTCATTATCCTTACTCAAAAGTGGGATATTGGAGTCAATACCAGGTTGAGGTTTAATCTCAGTGAGATCAACCCATTTGGATTTGTCAATAATAGTATCAGTATCTAATGATACACCAGCTAAATCCACATAAAAAAAATTGAATTCGAAAAATCCAACATAATATAATTTATTTCCGGTAAACAACGAATAAAGCCCATTTCCTCCGAATGTTCCACATTTTGTAAAAATAACGTGATTAAAAATTATTAACACAGTTGAAAAAATAAATTTCGATAATTGCATTTTTTTATTTTATTTAGCGCTCATTTAAAGTAAGAAAGAACAAAACAAAAGAGATGAAACGTAGAGAATTCCCCTTCATTATATAGTTAGATAATGATATCACAGTGATAAAAAAAATTGTTAGTATATTTGCAAATAAGGCCTTCACGTGAATATGGTAGAATTTTCCGGCAAATCGTGTGACGAATAGTGTTTTACAGAGAGTGACATTGAAAGCTAAAATATTGTTTAATTTAAATTATTTCTGTCCAGTCAATGTCTTTTGTATCTGATAGACCCATATACAGTAATTAATGCGATTCTCATCACCAGATAACCGATATTTAAAGGATTAAATGCAAAAGTATTTATTTTATCTTGAAAGGTAAATTGGATATACTAAAAAAAAAAATATTTAAGAAACAGGAAACCAAAGATCTATGATTCTACTATAATTATCAGAGGGTAATAACGGATTATTTCTTTCAAAAGCTTTTTTCTAATTCATTATTGCTTGATTATAATTGGTTTATTAATTTACTTCTATATTGCTTTATTTTGTAAAAACTAAATATTGTTACGCCTATAATGACCACTACTATAACTGTGATTATAATAATCAAACGTAACTTTAACGCAAATACTGAGTCAGATATATTCGTTGTAATAGGATTAGAACCTGTTGGTGTAGGGGTATCGGCATCATTTTTAATAAATAATGACCATTTATACTTAAGTGGATCCGACACATCTAATTTATAGACATTTTTATTTTCAGATGTTGTAAATATTTCAGTTATTGGTTCTGATGATTCTGATGCATTTATTCCTTCAAAATTAAAAAAAATTAATAGTTAATTACTAACCTTATATTATGTACAATTTTTTAAAAAAAAGTTAACGAAGTTATATTTACCAAATGCAGAAACCATAAAATTTTTAACCATGATTGATGTATGTCCACCAAGAATTAAAGATCCAAAAGGATTTTCTACTGTTGGTGTTGACCACTCATATGGTGATTTTGAAATGTCCAAGACTGACAAGTCTGGCGAAGCTGGTAATAAATTTGATACCCCACCAAATACAATAATACGTCCATCCGTAGCTAAAAAAAAAATTGAGTTTTAATAATAGTAAATTAATATATATATATAATATTTTTTTAATCTTACTTAGAACAGCTGTATGCTTGGTACGTTCTCCTGGCATTTCACCTACCGTATTCTATATATTTATATACAAAGAAAAAAAAATTATATTAATCATCAATTGACGCATTTTATTATCAGACATTTTCATACCGTTATTTGCCATGTATTTGTTATGGTGTTATAAATTAATATGTTGTCCATCGATTGTGCTTTATTATCAATTTTTCCACCAATAAACAGAATTTGTCCATTTGGCAACAAAACTTGTGCAAAGTCAGTATACGAACTAGCGAATTCACCAAAAAGATTCTTCGGACTTGAAGTGTTCTGTGTCAATTCTAAATTAACTGAATCAAATATTGACAGACCTGCTGAAATTGATTGAAATGTATAGGATTTGCCAATCTTTTTATCTGAAACCCATTCACTAGAAACACTCCAAAAATTAGGAATTTGCATGCGTTTTAAGAAAACTTTGGAATCTTGGTCTATTGTTTCCCATTTATTTAATTTAGTATCAAATACACTAATGCGGAAATTATCGTCTGTATTAAAGAAAAATATTTTATCATTATCTTTACCACTCAAAAGTGGGTAACGGGAAATAGAGTTAGTTGGTTGGGGTCTAATAACGGTAAGGTCAATCCACTTAGTTCGATCAATAACGGTATTAGTATCTAATGATACGTCTGTTAAGTCTACATAGAAAAAATTACCTATATAATTGAAATAATATAATTTATCCCCAGCTAATAAACTACTATATCCATCTCCACCAAAAATTATTGCGCAATTTGCCAAAATAATATGATTTAAAATTCTTAGCACCATTGAAATAATTAATTTTGATAAATGCATTTTTTATTAGCGTTTATTTAAATAATATATTAATAAATTAAATGTAAAAAAGAATAAGACGAAAGATTTGAGATAATGAAAAAGCCCTCCCCCTTTTTTATTAATTAGAAAAAATAATTATCCCCAACGTGATTTCTTTGAAAATGATAAATATTAATGTGATTCATTTTTTTATCCGCCGATCATATCTTTTTCAAAAAAAACTTGAAACAAAATAAATAATTAAAATGTCAAGCTTTTCATTTGTGTTAAATGTGTTAAAATTCTGATTGTTCACTGACCATAATAAGAAATCAATTTTTTTTTTAAATCAAATAGAAATAAAACTTTCCGGTATCAACTCATGGAATTTTATTTTTAATAAAAATTACACGATTTTTTTTTTTTCTTAAAAAAAGAAACATAATAAGTAAATATATACAAATACCTATAAGCTCTTAGTTTATACTTTATAGAATGTCACCAAGAAATCTTCAGGATGTGCCACTTGCAACTTGGCAATGGCGAGATACATTAATAAGATTGTTCTTAATTACAATAATATTTATATGGGGTTTTTTGCTCGAGGGTTGTGGAGAACAGCCTAATTATTCTCCTGAGCTTCAGTATCTGATGAGTTTCGGATCATTTATTGTGGCCATTATACTTGGAGCACTAGCTCAAGCGACACTTGCCCATATGTTTGCCTACATCCAGGGTTATTTTTTACTTAAAAGTCATGGAATTCCTCTTCATGCAATCATGAGCGGAGAACAAACTCCAGTACGAATTTTATCAGCATGTTTAGTTATATTTAAACACAAAAAAAATGTTATTCAAGATAAAAATCCAAAATATAGAAAGCTCTACCAAATATTTTTATATGCAAGTACCTTAATAGTGTATTTTGCAAGTGTTGGTGTTGGTGGTTATGCTGCATCTAAATTAGGATCTCCTTATGTTCATTATAGCTCTCCAATTAAATGGGTACAAGTTCCAACGATTCCAAGTGAAGAACTGCGTGTAAGTTTGAATAATGCATTTCTGCTAGAAAATTTCATCGCTGGAATAACCTTGATTCAGTACGATTCATTAGTACGTTGGATTCAGAAGACTAATGATAATAGCAAGGAGGTAGCATTCCTACCGGTAACGTATAATAATATAAAAGATACAATAAATAATGCCAATTTTAAAGATGGTTCATTAAAATGGAAAATAGAGACGAAATTTGATAATGTCAACATGCAATACTTAACGGCTCAATGTAATGCTGATCCAAATCCTCCTTGCAATACGGATCAGTTAAAGAGAGGATCAACAATTGATACGATAGTTAGCAAAGAAAATAAAACTATTACATGGGATATATGTGATTTGCTTAATGAAACAGGCTCTGTACGATTGGTTTGTTCCATAACACTAAAAGGGGGAGCTTTTCCTAGTATATCAATAGTAACTCCAGAAAATTTACCTCGTGAAGAACAACTGGTTGAAATTTTGTTGCAAAAAAATGAAATGAGAGATCTAAATGAACTTAGAGATGAGATGTTTTCTACAATGGAAAATGTTTTCGCACGGCCTGAATTTGATAATAACAAAGATTTAATTACCAATAATGTTCTTACACAATTGCTTGGTCATTGGGATTGTAATGCGGGAAATGTTACTTGCGCACAAGAATTGGGAACAACAGCAGCTATACAATTTTTTGGAGCTCGTTTAGAAACTGCTAATATTTTGTATCCTCTTGATAATCTCATTAAAGTAAATGAATGGATAGAAAAGAGTACGTCAACTGGTTCCTTAACGGTTATGCATAAAGTGTGTATGGGAGGAAGTAATCCAATTTTAATGATCGGTTTAATGATATTCATACCATCAATAATGACAATTATTGAGTTGTTGCCATTATTATTTAGTAATAATAAAGCGTGGTGGTTGGCATCTGATATTGGCTTTAAACACATAGCTCTGTTGCGAAGTACTGCGAAAAGTAATATTACTTTACCTGAATGTACTAATCGTCCTAATGAAATTACAAATAGTCAGACAGTAGTTAGATTTAATGTTAAACCTAAGGATGATTATTTCGGATTAGAAGAGGTGTAACCTTAGTATCAATTTCGTTATTTTTTTAATTACATTCATGCATTACTTTTTTTGTTTATCTAGCATGTAAAAATATTAATTTATTTTAGTGAAGTATATATTCATTATTAACCTATAAACAGTAATTGGTTCCGAAAGTTTAAACAAAAAAAATAAACTTACTTACTATAAATGGGATATCACTTAATGTCCATGCTGTTTATCACATATTAAATAATTCAAAATTATTAGATGGGAAAATTTCGTATTCACACTTTCCTTGCCATCATACGATCCTCCTTATTTGCGTTAGGCAAATACAATCAATAACCTTATACAGGATAATATCGGAATTATGGGAAATATTACGGCCGTCGCTCAGCCGTAACCGTTAATTTGAATTTGTAATAGGTTCAAATTTACCTCATCTAGTTAAGAAATTATATGTGTTATAAATTCAAAATATTTTATACGCGCAGAATTTGTGCAGTCATATCAATATGCGTGGGTATATAGTTCAAGTCCTGGACTTTGGACTTATGATTGGGTTCTAATTTTTTGCAGTCCCAAATCAGACTTTATAATAATAATATAAATATGTCTAATTTAATATTATTCAACATGTTCTGATTATAAACTTTGGGATTTTGTACCAAAATTCCATTTTTCTTTATTAAATTAAATATAAAAAGCAATAGTCTGAACGTCTGAGCTCAGTCCTAAATATCGGTCTTGGACTGAGTTATCCCGTCCATATATCAGGACCAATAAGTCCTGGACTTTGACCGAATTGCAACAGACCTACTCGCGCTTTCTCCTATAATTGGTCTAGACATAAGTTGCGATTATATATAAAAACGGATTAAAGTTGGTGGAAATCGGTTGGTTAATTTAAAATATTGATAGCTAAGCTATAGTTTGAAACAAGTGAAAAATACTAACTGTAATTCTTTGATAGCCCAAGATCAAAAATAAACTAATAAGTACGTAAAATTTCAACCGTGTTAACAATTTTTTACGTTACTTTCTAATTTAGGACGAAAAAAAAAGTTGATTCAGCAACCTTCGTATTGTTTTTAAGTAAATAGTATATATGTATATTATGACATTGATAAATTCAGAATAAAGATTTGGTATTTGAGCACTTTATTATATGAATGAAAGATTCTGTAAATTACAACGAGCTAGTTCACATTAGAATAACAAATAAATGATTATCATATTCTTTCAATAAATGACAAAATTTTTCATCCATTAAATTGTAATGCAATAAATTGAATCAGACTATTGTGGGCAGGTCCAAGACTGGCGACAAAGTACCTACTGTTATCGAGAGAGTCCTTAAAATTAATAATTGTCAATAAATAATCTAAGAGTGATAAAGAGTGAGTGAATTTTAATACTCACACGAGAAGATAAAAATTTGCTACGCAACAATGGCTAGAGAAGCGTCTAACCATCCTTAATATCAGCTTTAATTTGTTGGTCAGAAATTAACTTTCATTTTTCTGATTTCTTTCCTAGTTTTTCCTTATAAGTTCTTTCTATTTCATGGGCATGATCTTCCTTTTCTTTAATTTGAGTTCAATTCGTTTCGCTCAGATTTTAATTGACGAACTTTTTTTTCCAACTCAACCTAATCCAGTAATCATTTCATCGTTATTATCACACTCATTTTTACATTCAAGATACTCAGCTTCTTTTGCTTCCAATTTGTTTTTCAATTCACCCTTTGCTCCTTTAATTTTTTATTCTCTTCTTCCATGACACGAATTCTTTTTTCGGCCGTTTTTGAATTTCCTCACTAAATGTGGCTTCAAGTTCAAAGGATGCATCCGCAAGTTTGTTAACCCTGCTTCATATGATTCGAATGCGTTTACCGACCTTTGCGTCATTTTCTAGTATATAAATAGATCACTTCACTAATTTTGTCGTGAATTATTTGATCAGGTATAACATTGTCTTCCTCCAATCTTCTCATTATTTCAGCATCACACTTCTTGAACTAAAAGAATAAAAGAAAATAAAGAATTTAAAGAAATAAAATAAAAATTATAAGAAAAAAATAAAGAATAAAGAATTTAAGAATAAAATAAAAATTAAAAACAAAAAAAAATAAATACTAGTAGAAATATAAAGAATTAATAAAAAGATAAAAGAAAAGAAAATAAAAAAATATAAAGAACTAAAAGAAACTCTCTAAGATTCATAGTATGATTCTACAGTTTCTAATCTTCCATATATTTTTGCGCTTCTTCAAATCATCAATTCCAATTTTTTAGTTCTATCTTCTTCAAGACGTTTAAGAATGTTCTTTCATTTTCACTAATTTCTTTTTTAAAGAGGATTTGTAGTTCAACTTTGGTTTCCTCTAATAGAGTAATCAGGCTATTAGGCTTGCTAATCGCATTAATTTTATGTTCAAGTTCTTCACATTTACAATTTAACGAGAACCTCTAATTTATTAGTTGCATTAAGTTTATGTCCAAGTTCTTTCAAACTTATCATTTAACGAGACTTCTAATTCATTGGTTTTACGTCCAAGTTCTTCGACTTGACATGTGTTTTCAAAATCTTGATAACTAATTCTTTACTTTTTAGATCAAAATGTTCAACCATTTCATCTTCTCTCACTTATTCATAGATTCATCAACAAATTTTAACTTTCAAGTTCATAATATTTTGATCATACCTTCGTATTTCACCATTAATAAACTTTTCATTTTGTTCTTCATTCTTGATTTAAACAAATTTTCAAAGTTACATTACTCTGCATTTCATACTGATAACATTCGTTGGTCTTGATCAATATTTACTCGTATGATTTCATCATATTTTTTGACTCAAAGATTCGATAGCTTTACTTAAATTGTGAAAATCACGAATAATATTCTCAACATTGTTCACATGATACATTTTGAATTCAATTTCCTTCCTACTTTCTCGCGAAAAACAATTGGTTGAAATTTTCTTTTTCAATATCTTTCTTAAATTTAGAATCAACATCATTCGCCGTTACCAATTTAGAACATGATCTTTCAACTTGTTCTTCAGATTTATTTGATTTATTTTCTTTAGATTTAGTTTTGTAAATATTTCTTGCGTTCAATAAATACGAGATACTGCGAGTGAACTGAAAAGTTCGATAGCAAACTTGTGATTACTATAGTAAGCTACCTTTAAAAATTAACAGATTAAAATTGTAAGTAGACTAACGTGTTAATTATGAAACCCAATTTTATTAAAAAAGGATTAAATCTAACCAATTAATTACCCATTTAGTTTTAACCCTTTATTTCTGAACCAATATTCAGCATCACATAATATGACCGATCGAGAATATTCTCTCCTCATCTTTCTTTCGACTACGTACTCTGGATCTGACATCCTAAATTTTGCTCTCTAGTTCACATTCCATATGAAATCCGTATCTGCCACAATACCATAAATATTGGTAAATTCTCTATTCTCTGAATAATTTTGCGTTATCGAACTATCAAAGATTCCAGCTGAATATTATTCTGCAAAATATCCTTCTGTAAATTATCCCTGATCTCAGTAACACTTCTTCTGCCATTTGAACATAAAATCATTACGAACCGTACTTGTTCTTGCCCTTGATTAAAATGGACTTTATAAATTTAAAAGACCTACATAAAGAACAAGAAATATGTAGCTTTTATTGAATTTTGAGTTCAGCTCGTCAATGAGATATCGTACCACCCATTTCTTTTCTATAAAATAATAAATAAATTGTTTAATAGCAACTACACAAAAAATTCTCAAAATCTAGTTCTACGGTATATTCTCGCAGAATCCATAGAGTTGGCACACGAATAAAGATTTTGATAGAATTTCTATAAACATTGTAAACTAGAAATTTGCCTGCAATGAAGCAGCATAGAATTTTTACATTGTAAAACATCTCGAAGGTTAAACTTGACGTTGTGGTAAGATATGTTAATTTCTCCCGTATCTCAAACTCCACTAGTTATTTGAGGTTGTCACTATTTGAATTACCATAATTTTATCATACTAGCAAGACTGCATTTTAATGTTTATGTGAGCAATGGAGAAACTCTTGAATAATAAATGAAATATAAGCATCTTCAGGGAACCGCACTATTATTCTTTCGGACATTATGTATTAGTTTGTTCATTAACCGCAGAGGTAGTGATGAAAGTAGCCGAGAAACTTTTAGAAGTGACAATAATATTTCTTCCAAATTAAAAATCGTAAAAGGCAAAAAAAAAATCGGTATATACTGTGAGAAATCAATCGTCGCACAAATTGATTAGCGGCACGCGCCACTTACAGCATTTAAGTGGGTGAATCTTCTTTTTCTTTGAGCCTATTGTACTCAACAAAATAACAGACAGGACGACTTCTTGTTGGGGTTAGATTCGTGATACTTAATGTCCTTCTTATACTATATGTAGAAGTTATATCTAAAACTTCTTGATTCTCATTCTTGTTTATAACATAAAAAAAACTCAATACAATGCGGGCAAGATTAATCTAAAAGTAATGTGAAATAATTAAATTAACATATTCTCGAAGACATTGTTTTTGCTTTATTAAAATCTACTAAGTCGAAATCGGTTACGGTAAGATATTTGTTCATCGACCACTGAACCTCTTTTTTATAAGCGCATTTTAACTGCTAATATTATATTTATAATAAAAATTTCAAAAGAAGGAATATTGAAATTTTCAAATAAATTTTATTTATCTTATTCTTTAAGAAAAATTACTCAGTATCATTATAGGACTTATTTTCTACATTATGCAATTTTATACAATATAGTCCAAAAAGGAGCTTTTATATCAGCAATCGTCATATTCTCTAATCACGATGCCCATTAGTTTCTAACTATCTATTTTTTTTCATATTTTCTTGATCAAGCTGGTTTGGGTTTCAATTCCACATTTTTACATACTGTATTAGGTCATGTAAATTGGTCATGTGCTTAATCAAACAATTAGTGTAATGAATTTGGCTCGCCCAGTGATAATTTCGGTCAAGCATTAGAACAATCGAACATCGATGATATTTCAATCATGTGATAGGCGGTCATTGTCTACATTTCAAAAATAAAAATAAAAAAAAAATATGTACTGAACCTACAAAAAAATATATACAGCTATAAATTGGAATTACTGTTTCAACACTCAAATTTAGCCTTTATTTTTTTCATTGATAACAATACAATAAATTATAATAAATTAGTTGAATAATTAAATATGTCGTAAAAAAAGATTTATGCTAGATTCTCCTCTGTTTCATTACTACTTGATTTCTTGTTATTTTGCTTTTTTTTATAATAAAAAATAAATGAAATACATATAAGAACAATAATTACAAATAAGATTATAGCTACACGTGTTCTTGATACATCTTCATAAAAAGCTAAGAAGAACTAGCAGCAGCTGATGCTTCCGTTTGAATAGGAGCAAACCTGTTAATTATCACCAAACATCGTTGGCGTATTTTTAACTGTGTCATCATTGTAATTAAACTTAGCTAATAATGACCATTTATATTTCAATGGATCTGTCACATTTAATTTATATAAATCATCATTCCCACTATTTATTAAAGGATCATTATTTGATAGATTTCTACTTTAAAATTTGAACAATTATTAGCATTAAATTTTACAATTTCATCATAAGAAGCAACCAAAAGCAGAAATCATATAATTTTCAACCATTAATGATGTGTGTTCACTAAAAGTTCCAATAGGATTTCTACTATTGGTGTTGACCATTCATATGGTATTTTTGAGGTATCCAAGACTGACAAATGTGATAAAGCTGGTACTGATGGTTTTAATACTCCATCGAATACAATAACACGTCCATCTGAAGCTATAAAAATCAAAAATAAAATTTAGCAATTATAAATAAAATTTACAAGGATGTTCAGGTAATTTTAAACAGCTGTATGATCGATACGCACTTCAGTTGTTTTACCAGTTGTGTTCTATTGTGTTCACAAGAAAAAGATAATTAGTAGATTAAACCATTTTAAATACCACAATTTGCCACGTATCAATCGTGTCATTTATAGTGTCATAAATTAATAAATTATCCACATCATTGACTTGTCCACCAATAAATAAAATTTGACCGTTTGGAACTAAAACTTGTGCATATTTACCATAGTGACTAGAGGAAGGGTTTTTTGAAAGGATTAATGGACTTGAAGCACTATAATTGATCCCCATATTAATTGTATCGAAAATTACCACGTTTTTTTTCATGAAAAAAATTTGGAAGTAAATAGGATTTGCCGGTTTTCTCATCAAAAGTCCATACTTCTTTAATACTAGTAATAGGGTTCATGGGTTGTAAAATTTTGACATTTTGGTTTATATTCCATTTTTTTAATGTAGTATCAAATATATTAACATAGAAATTACTAGCGAATTCTTCCAAAAACATTATTTTATTACCACTCGGGATTGGATGATCGTAAAAAAGGTTATCTGGTTTAGGTTTAATATCCGCCGTGAGATCTATCCATTTGGAATTTTTAACAAGTTCGTCAGTGTCTAATGATATTCCTGCTAAGTCTACCAAGACAATAAACCCCATCTTCTATTAAAATTGCTTGGATATCAGTAAATGTACAATTTGATAATATGATCTGATTAAAAATTATTAGAACTGTCGAAATTATTAACTTTGATAATAATAAGCATCTCATTTTTTTTATATACGATTATTTTATAAAAATGTAAGGAACAGAATGAGGAGAATTAAACCGATGAAAGAACCCTCTTTTATTAAAAAGGGAAATTAAAATTATCACATAGATATCACTGTGATAAATGTGATAAGTGTAAAAAGAATGAAACATTTAATTGTACGATAGAAACACATTTGTATTCTTATTTCGAACTTCTTGGCCATAAAAGATCTAATCAAATAAAAAAAATTTTAAATGTGGCAATCTTTTTTGTGATGCGCTTTTTTTCTTCATTTTCATTTATGGAATTGGAATTTTAAAATAAAGATAAAAAGTATTTTCAAACTTTCATGTAAACGTAATGTATGATATATCATACGTTTGTTTTCGTACAGAATTTTCTTGATAGTAATTTTATCAAAAAGTCATGTATTGTTATTCAATAAAGTAAAAAATTATCCGATGCGTAATTAGGAATGGAAAAGGTCCGGGTTGAGCTACTTTGAGTCGGTTGGTATGGTACATCGGTTCCAAATCGGTTTTGATAAATTTTATATGTATTTGACTCAGATATGGACCAAACCGATTATGGAACCGAACCAGTTTTTCGGGTTTGACTCAATAGTATCGGTTCGGAACAGAACAGAACCGATCGAGTCGTCCCAATTCCTATGAGCTGCCGCTATACATACGAACTTGAATCGGATGTTATGTATTATGAAGTTTTTTTTTTAATTGTTTAACGTTAAATTTTTTATCAATTTATAATCATATATACTTAATATTTAAAATATAATAGACAAATGATAGTGCCGTCGTGTTTCAAGGAAGAAAATGTTTATTATAATCTAAATCTCTAAAATTAATATATGACAAAATATTTCTTTAAGTCGTAACTTTTTCCAATTCTTCACTAATAGATATATTTTCATTAATAGATATATTTTGTTGATAAATATTCTTATTCTTAATCTTACGTCTATATTGCTTTGCTTTATAAAAAATGTATATGCATATAAAGACTATCACTACAAATAATATTATGACAGTATTGCGTATTCCTAATCTAGAAGCTGAATAAACGCTAGGTTGAATTGTAGAATTCGTTGTGACAAGAGAATCATCAGAACTATCAAAATCGGAAAGAAAAGACCATTTAAATTTTAATGGATCTCTCATATCTAACTTATGAATATTATTATTTTCTAATGATGTAAGTATTGTTTCTGTTATATTTATACCTTTAAAAAAAAATATTATTATTAATTTCTAATAATATGTGAATTTTTTTTCGAAGTTAATATTTACCAAATGCAACAATCATATAATTATTAACCATGAACTGCTGCGTGTTCACTAAGAGCAAAAGGATTTTCTATCATTGGTGTTGATCACTCATATGGTGTTTTTGAGGTGTCCAAAATTGATAATTGTGATGAAGCTGGTAATAAATTTGATACACCACCAAATACAATAACACGTCCATCTGTATCTTAAAAAATTAAAATTGAATTTTAATAATAGTAAAATTAATATATTATATAGATAAATGTTTTTTTTTAATGCTTACTTAAAACAGCTGTATACTTGACACGCTCTCCTGGCGTTTCATCTACAGTATTCTATTATAAATAAATAAATAAATATATATATTAATTAATGAATCGTAAATTAATGTATTTTATTTAAAATGTTTTCATACCATTATTTGCCGTGTATCCGTTATGGTGTTATAAATTAATATGTTGCCCATCGATTATTGTTCTTTATTATCTTTTTTTCCACCAATAAACAAGGATTTGTCTATTGGGCAACAAAACTTGTGCAAAGTCAGTCAATCCAGAGGATTTACCCAAATGATTCCTCAGACTTGACAGACCATCTGAAATTGAATTAAATGTATAGGATTTGCCAGTTTTTCTATCTGTAACCCACTCGTTAGAAACTATCCAAAAATCAGGAATTTGCGTGCGTTTTAAGTAAACTTTAAGATCTTGTTCTATTTTTTCCCATTTATTTAATTTAGTATCAAATACGCTAATGCGGAAATTACTGCCTGTATTAAAGTAAAATATTTTATCATTATCTTTACCATTCAAAAGTGGATAACAGGAAAAACAGCCAATTGGTTGAGGGTTAATAACGCTGAGATCAATCCAATCTAATAATAGTACGTCTGTTAAGTCTACATAAAAAAATCATTAATTATACGATTGGGATAATATAATTTGTCCCAGATAATAAACTACTAGATCCATTTCCACCAAAAGTTATTAAGCAATTTGCAGAAATAATATGGCTTAAAATTCTTAGCACTACTGAAATAATTAATTTTAATAAATGCATTTTTTTATTAGCGTTTATTTAATTAATATATTAATAAATTAAATTTAAAAAAGAATAAAACGAAAGGGTTGGGATTATTTAAGCCTTCCCTTTTTATTAATTAGAATTATCCCTATGTGGTTTTATAAATAATAACAAGTTTTTGGTTTGTTAAAGCCAGTGGCGACTGTATTGTACTAGCGTTATACTTAATAATGATCTGATGTGGAACGAAGTGCATTATTAAGCACGCCTGTATGTTTTTGAATTTTGTGCGCCACAATAAGTCTTGTCAACATATTAGCGAACAAGTACCGTATATCGGCTATATCGCGGGCCACCCATGTATAGTACCCCTCAAAAAAGAAGTCACATTCTCCATTGATTTTATTATTTAAATAATCCAGCAAATATCTTAGGTGTGACGTGTAACAATACCCTAATTATTTTATAGGTTTATACACCCTCTATTAACGCGTAATAGGGGGGAGGCGTACGGGCCAAACCTCCGAAATTTGCAAGATACCCAGGGTACTGTGGCCCGCGATATACGGCAAGTTGTTACTGTGATTTGTAACATAATAATTTATTGTACATTTGAATTTTTTTAATTTGATTACATCAAGCAATAAATTAATATATATATTCATTTTAACATGTACTGTATATTTATACTTATACATCAAAAAGAATAAAGTTGGTTTATCAAGAAAAATAATTGATATGTCATTATTAATCCAGCAGATTTTCTTGGTATTCCTTTATGTTGACCAAAGCATTTAAATAATATTTAACAATATAAATTAAAAACAATTGAAATAAGTATAAAAAATTTAATTTAATTTTATGCATTGAGAATGGTTTTATATTATTATTATTATTATTTATATTTAATACTAATTGGAAAAGTTATAAAAAAAAAGATTTATTTAAATTACAAACTAAGAAATTTGTAAAATATTTACTACTCTAACCCTAGTGTTTAAATAATTCTAAGAAGAGAATACATATATTTAATATTTGTATAAAATATAAATAAAGGAATTATTTAAATTACAAACTAAGAATCTTTAAATAATTTTACTACTCTAGCCTTAATGTTTAAATAAATCTAAAATAAAATAATGAACAATTTTGTTGTCAAATATCACTTAAAAAAAAGATTATAAATCATTTAAAAATTCAAATAATTGATTAATTTTTATCTGTTTTAATATAATAAAATAAAATAAATTTTATATAATTAATTTGCAAGATTAAATTTATATGTACTATATTTGCATACCTAATGACTTCAAATCTTTAATTATATAATTATCCAAATTTTCACTTTCAAGAATTTCATTCAATTTATTACTAGTGAAATCAAGTAAGCGGCTTTTATAACATGCTTTTGAATGAGATTCAATAGCAAGATCACTATGCCGCCCAATTGGTGCATTTATAAATTCCATAATGTTGCTTTTTAATTTTTCATTAATTTCATCATTAGAAGGACAGTAAATCCATTTTCCAATAATCTTTACTACTTCTTTAGAAGATGGCCTTTCTGACGGATCTTCATTCCAACATTTTTTCATTAAATCTACATAGCATTGTGGAGTATTTTCAATAATTTCAGGACGTTCACCTTTACAAATACTTAAACTAAGTTGAATATCATGTGCTCTATTATTAAATGGTGGTACCCCAGATGTAAGTTCCCACATAATCATAGAAAAACCATATATATCACTAGCTGGAGTAAAAGATTTGCCTCTTAAAACTTCAGGAGCCATAAATGGTATAACACCATAAATATCATATTTTTTCAAAAACAATTTTACAGGTTGACATAATCCTAAATCACTAATATAAATTTTATCCTCATACTTATCATTATGATTTAAAATATTACCATCATGAAAATCACAATGAATAAGTTTGTTGCTATGTATATTATTAAGTCCAGAAATAATTTCGTACAACATATATAATTTTTTATTCCAATTATTTTCAACTATTTTTATTAAATTTTCTCTTAAATTACCTTTATTTGCATAATCCATTACTACCATATATTTTGAAGTATTTGGATCTTCTGTAAATCCATAAAAATCTATAATATCAAGTGAATTTAAACAATTACTATGATATTCCCACTATAAAAAAATAATAATAATTTATTAATATAAATAAATTTTAATTTAAATTATAAATAAAAATAATATACTATCATACTTCTTTTAAAAATTCATTTAAATTTTCATTTAAATTCTTGTGACATTTTAGAATTACTTCTTCATCTCTATTAACTATTAACCAAGTAGCTTTATATATAGTACCAAATCCTCCTTCATTAAGATATTTAACATTTTTAAATTTATTATAAGGAATCCATTTTAATTTTTTTTTAAGAATAAAATTATCTATAATTGTATTTTCACTTTTTCCAAATCTATAAATTTAAATAATTAAAATTATATTATAGATTGTAGTATTAGATTGTATTATAATTTATACAAAATAAATTATTACTTACTCTAAAATTTAAATAGGAATTTAATGTAATTTAAGTCTTAGTTTTTGGATAAATACATATAATAACCTATAATTTATATAATTTACAACTTACCAACTAAAGTAACAGATATTTTTTAAATAAAAGAATTTAATTAACAAATAAATATTATATAAAAATATAACAATAGAAATACTTACAAGCTAGATTATAAATAATTTTTTAAATAAAGAAATTAGTTAGTTTAAATTATATGTAAATATTATAATAATAAGTAATAATAGAATTAAATAAATAACTTACTCCCTATATTATTTAATAATTTTTTAAATAAAGAAATTAGTTAGTTTAAATTATATGTAAATATTATAACAATAAGTAATAATAGAATTAAATAAATAACTTACTCCCTATATTATTTAATAATTTTTTAAATAAAGAAATTAGTTAGTTTAAATTATATGTAAATATTATAACAATAAGTAATAATAGAATTAAATAAATAACTTACTCCCTATATTATTTAATAATTTTTTAAATAAAGAAATTAGTTAGTTTAAATTATATGTAAATATTATAACAATAAGTAATAATAGAATTAAATAAATAACTTACTCCCTATATTATTTAATAATTTTTTAAATAAAGAAATTAGTTAGTTTAAATTATATGTAAATATTATAACAATAAGTAATAATAGAATTAAATAAATAACTTACTCCCTATATTATTTAATAATTTTTTAAATAAAGAAATTAGTTAGTTTAAATTATATGTAAATATTATAACAATAAGTAATAATAGAATTAAATAAATAACTTACTCCCTATATTATTTAATAATTTTTTAAATAAAGAAATTAGTTAGTTTAAATTATATGTAAATATTATAACAATAAGTAATAATAGAATTAAATAAATAACTTACTCCCTATATTATTTAATAATTTTTTAAATAAAGAAATTAGTTAGTTTAAATTATATGTAAATATTATAACAATAAGTAATAATAGAATTAAATAAATAACTTACTCCCTATATTATTTAATAATTTTTTAAATAAAGAAATTAGTTAGTTTAAATTATATGTAAATATTATAACAATAAGTAATAATAGAATTAAATAAATAACTTACTCCCTATATTATTTAATAATTTTTTAAATAAAGAAATTAGTTAGTTTAAATTATATGTAAATATTATAACAATAAGTAATAATAGAATTAAATAAATAACTTACTCCCTATATTATTTAATAATTTTTTAAATAAAGAAATTAGTTAGTTTAAATTATATGTAAATATTATAACAATAAGTAATAATAGAATTAAATAAATAACTTACTCCCTATATTATTTAATAATTTTTTAAATAAAGAAATTAGTTAGTTTAAATTATATGTAAATATTATAACAATAAGTAATAATAGAATTAAATAAATAACTTACTCCCTATATTATTTAATAATTTTTTAAATAAAGAAATTAGTTAGTTTAAATTATATGTAAATATTATAACAATAAGTAATAATAGAATTAAATAAATAACTTACTCCCTATATTATTTAATAATTTTTTAAATAAAGAAATTAGTTAGTTTAAATTATATGTAAATATTATAACAATAAGTAATAATAGAATTAAATAAATAACTTACTCCCTATATTATTTAATAATTTTTTAAATAAAGAAATTAGTTAGTTTAAATTATATGTAAATATTATAACAATAAGTAATAATAGAATTAAATAAATAACTTACTCCCTATATTATTTAATAATTTTTTAAATAAAGAAATTAGTTAGTTTAAATTATATGTAAATATTATAACAATAAGTAATAATAGAATTAAATAAATAACTTACTCCCTATATTATTTAATAATTTTTTAAATAAAGAAATTAGTTAGTTTAAATTATATGTAAATATTATAACAATAAGTAATAATAGAATTAAATAAATAACTTACTCCCTATATTATTTAATAATTTTTTAAATAAAGAAATTAGTTAGTTTAAATTATATGTAAATATTATAACAATAAGTAATAATAGAATTAAATAAATAACTTACTCCCTATATTATTTAATAATTTTTTAAATAAAGAAATTAGTTAGTTTAAATTATATGTAAATATTATAACAATAAGTAATAATAGAATTAAATAAATAACTTACTCCCTATATTATTAAATAATTTTTTAAATAAAGAAATTAGTTAGTTTAAATTATATGTAAATATTATAACAATAAGTAATAATAAAATTAAATAAATAACTTACTCACTATATTATTTAATAATTTTTTAAATAAAGAAATTAATTAGTTTAAATTATATATAAATATTATAACAATAAGTAATAAATAAATAACTTACGATCTATTAAATAAATAAAGAAATTAGTTAGTTTAAATTATATAAATAATATAAATATAGATATTATATAACTTACACCCTGTAGTATTATTAATTATTAATTAGTTAGATATAAAGATAATATAAAAGTATTTACTGTAAATTATATAATATATATATTACTTACAATCTAATTATTTAAATTAAGAATATAATTAGTTGAATTATGTAAAATATTAAACATGAATTGTTTATAAATAAAAATTTAATATTTCAGCTTGTTTGGTATACCTTTAATACATTGGTCCATTACTATATTAAAATTCTCAAATTCTCTTCAACTTGAAAAAGATAAAGTAAATATTTTTTTTCTTTTTTTTTTATTATTGAACACCTTTATTAGTATGAATAAATATGGTAATAATATTTATGCAAAATACATTGTGCAAAAGTGTTGATCACAAGTACAAGCATTGCATATAGACTAAGAAATATGGCGCAGTAATTTCATGTAGATTATTTTGTAGATCTCTCAATTTTTTGATTCTCTTGATTTTCTTGATAAATTTGATTTATCTGATAAATTCAATTTATTTAATTTATTTATTTTATTTGTTATAGTTATTTTATTTTATTTATTTATTTTATTTATTTTATCAATTATTTTTATTTTTATTAATAGTGTTTTTACTCAGTTAGAAGGACAGATAGTTTGGCAGTTAAGAATTGTATTGTAGTATTCAGGTAGAACCCCATACATCACATATATAACTCACATTTGAGTTTTAGCAAATTCAATCAAAATTAGATTAAACTCATAATTTTAAATAGAGCAAATTGATTGAAAATTAATTAATAGTCAGGTTATATTTTGGCCAAAATTAAGTATTCCGGCCAAAATTAAGCATTTTTTAATAATTTAAATCCCAAATTAATATTATGAATTAAATTTTACATGATTCGGACAACATACAGTAACTGCATATGACAAAGTTTCAGATCATACATGCATGATTATTAGAGATGGTAAAACAACAAATTATATAATCGGAATTATGAATAAATATGTATAAGTTCAAAAAAAATTTTTATGCGCAAAATGTAAAATTTTGTGCGCACTATATGTAAGAGTAAAATATTACAATAATGTGCATTGCGCCTACTCCCAATGACTCACTGATATAGACGTGAAATGTCTATTTCGAAACTATATTCTACTGCGGTGGTGACTGATTGATATATTTTTCTACTCTTTCTCCTAATTGGTCTAAACATAGTTGAGATTATATAGATTATATATTAGATATTAAATAAAAACAGGCTAAAGTTGACGGAAAGCGTAGGGATGTTAATTCGGATTTCGGAAGAAGTTCACTAGAAATTGCATGTTTTGAGTATCGTTTTCTCTTATTATAATGTTAGTAACAAATCTCGTTTATAACATTCTTTTAACCAAGTTTAATTAATGAAGCTAAACAATTCAACTTGTCTATAATGAGAAATCAATATTTTAGTGGACAGGAACCTGCCTTAGAAACCGGTTCGGTTCGAAAAAATTGCTCATTTTAGAGATCATTTTTCTTTATTGATAATTAATTAAATTTATCGTCATCAATTTTTCAAGTGAAGTTACTTTTAGAGGAATGTTATTCGACTCATCTGAATTGAAAAATTTCAAAAATTGCTTCCGAACTACTACTTGATATCCCTAGGCAATAGTTAATGAAACAAGTGGGTTCATTTGCTATTACATTTTCGACTTTGTAACATCGCTATTACTCTTATTATACATAAAATTTTCGCCCACATTTAAGTTAACAATAAAGTATTAAGGATAGGATTGTGCGAAATCCTTTTTTTATAACAAATACTAACTGTATATCTTTATAGTCCAAGATAAACGTTATTGATTAATAGGCAACGTAAATTTTCAACCGTGTTAACAATTTTTTACGTTATTTTCTATCTTTGGACGAAAAAGCTGATCATAGTTTTTTCATCAGTATCGTATTTTTTTTTTTTAAACAAACAGTATATATACATTATAACATTGATAAATTCAGAATAAAATATTGGTATTTGTGCACTTTATTATATGTATGAAAGATTTTCGTAAATTACAGTAAAGCCAATTCATGAATGAATGATTATATTCTTTCAATAAATGACAATTTTCACCCATTAAATTGTAATGCAATAAAATAGGATGTTGAATTCTTTATAATCAAGCAATCAATACGCAACTTTATATAATGAACCTTGAATCAGACTATTGTGGGGCAGGTCCAAGACTGGCGACAAAGTACCAGTTGTTATCGAAAGGGTTCCTAGAAATTAATAATTGTCAATAAATAATCTAAAAGTGATAGAGAGTGAATAAATTTTAATACTCACACGAGAAGATAAAAATTTGCTATTAAAAGGGCCACAACAATAGCTAGAGAAGCGTACAACCATCCTTTATACCAAAATTTATCAATTTCTGCCGATTTAATTTGTTGGTCAAGCTTTTCAAAATTAACTTTCATTTTTCTGATTTCTTCGTTATTTTCATCTAGTTTTTCCTTATAAGTTCTTTCTATTTCGTGGGCATGATCTTCCTTTTCTTTAATTTGAGTTTCAAGTCGTTTTCGATCAGATTTTAATTGACGAACTTTATTTTCCAACTCAAATTTATCTTTCCCTAATCCAGTAATTATTTCATCGTTATTATCACACTCATTTTTACATTCAAGATACTCGGCTTCTTTTGCTTCCAATTTGTTTTTCAATTCACGCCTTTGCTCCTTTAATTTTTTATTCTCTTCTTCCATGACACGAGTTCTTTTTTCGGCCGTTTTTTGAATTTCCTCACTAAATGTAGCTTCAAGTTCAAAGGATGTGTCCGCAAGTTTGTTAACCTTTGCTTCATATGATTCGATTGCTTCCCGAATGCGTTGATCGACCTTTGCATCATTTCCTCTAGTATATAATTCGATCGCTTCACTAATTTTGTCGCGAATTATTTGATCAGATGTAACGTTGTCTTCCTCCAGCCTTCTCATTATTTCGGCATCACACTCCTTGAACTCTCTCTTTAGGATTTCATAGTATGATTCTACAGTTTCTAATCTTCCATATATTTTTCCCGCTTCCTCTTCGACAGTTGAAATCATTAAATCCAATTTTTTATTTCTATCTTCTTCAAGACGGTTAAGAATGTTCTTTTCATTTTCAATAATTTCTTTTTTAAAAAGGGTTTGTAGCTCAACTTTGGTTTCCTCTAATAGAGTAATTAGGCTATCAGACTTGCTAATCGCATTAATTTTATGTTCAAATTCTTCAAATTTACAATTTAACGAGACTTCTAATTCGTTAAATTTATGTCCAAGTTCTTCAAACTTGTTATTTAACGAGATTTCTAAATCTTTGGTTTTATGTTCAAGTTCTCCCGACTTGGTCTGTGCTATCAAAATCTTTGAAACTAGTTCTTTACTTTTTAGATCAAAATGTTCAACCATTTCGTTTTCCCTCAACTTTTTCATAGATTCATCAACAAATTTTAACTTTTTTTCAAGTTCATAATATTTTGATAATATATTTCGTATTTCATCATTAAACTTTTCATTTTGTTTGTCAAATTTTGTTATCATTCCTTCTTCATTCTTGCGAATTTCTTCATTTATTGATTTAAACGAATTTTCAAAGTTTGGAACTTTAGCCATAATTTCTTGAAGATCTTTTACATTATTTTGCGTTTCAAGAGCCTTCTTACTGATATCATTAGTAACATTTGAAAGAAATTCCATCTTACTTTTTACGTCTTCAACTTGTTGTTCTTGATCAATACTTTCTCGTATGGTTTCATCATATTTTTGACCTAAAGATTCGAAAGATTTACTTAAATTATGAAAATCATGAGTAATATTCTCAACATTATTCTTGTGATCTTCCATTTTTAATTCAATTTCCTTTCTACTTTCTCTTGATAAAATAATTGGTTGAAAATTTTCTTTTTCAAGTGAGTCTTTCTCATCATCTTTCTTCAATTCATCAATCACCGGTACCGATTTAGAACATGATCTTTCAACTTGATGATCAATCGTATCTCCAGATTTATTTGAATCATTTTCTTCAGATTTATTTTTATGAACATTTTCTTTTCTTGTATCAATATCATGAATTAAACCGTCATATGTATTATTGATTGTAAAATCAATTTGATTATGACAATTTTCTAATGCACATACGGTAACTTGCTTATATTGAGGTAAAGCTGACTCCATTAAAGAAGAAGGGGAGGAGGATGTAGATGAAGAAGTTGTGGAATTCTCATAATCATCAAATTCTTGTTGATTATTTTCAGGTTCATTCGAACCAATAGTTGCTACATCGGATCGTGCTACAAAAAAAATTTCGGATAAGTCAACATTATTTTTTGATTTTAAAGAAAATTTTTGAAAATTAAAAATCTAAAATAAAAAATTACATTTTTTTTCATCATGTTCATCCGAAGTAAGAGATTCTTTATCAGAATCTTCATATTCTTCATAAGAAGATAATTGGTTTTGACGTTGAGTTTCAAAAGGAGATAATTGGTTTTGACGTTGAGTTTCAAAAGGAGATAATTGGTTTTGACGTTGAGTTTCAAAAGGTGGTAATGAGTGATCATTCTCATCGAGTAAATTGATAAAAGTGGTATCTTGAACTTTTTTAGGGGAATCGGTATTTTTACTAAAAGCCATATCTTTTTTTTTTTTTTTAAAAAAAAAAAAAAAGCAGAAAAAAAAAAAAGAATAACAGCAATGTCGCAGTTTACAGAATTTTACAGTAAAGTGTGTGTTGCTGGAAGCGTAAAATTTGTCATCGACGAAGCAAGTAAAGAAGAAATTAGCTTGTCAGAAAGTGACCATTTTTCTCGCAACCTAGCAACGATATTAGCAAGAGATAGTGAAGTGGTAGCGGTTAACTTGAAAATTTTACCCAACAAGTGTAGAATTTACATTTCAAAGAACAGTAGATGGCTTGATGGAGATGTTAAATATATCGACAAAATTAAAGGACTCATGACAAATTTGTCTAAAGATGCTCCCATGAAATTCGTACAAGCAACTGAAAGAGAGGATGTGCCTTATTTAATTCNTTTTATTTTTATTTTTATTTTTTTTTTATTCCTTTGTTCAAATTTAACGTTGCCTTTTATAATAAATGGTAATTCATCACACTTTATGGAAGGTATGCTGCTCATCTTTTTTTATTGCAAAGGAATCACCAAATTTAGATTTTTTTTCACGCATCATTTATACTTAAAAGAAGATATCAACATGGATCATCTTTAAAGGAATCATGTTGATGTTACAATTATAGTTTAATTAAAATTAGCATTTGTCTCGCGTTTAAGAAAAAAAAAAGAGGAGCGGAGGCGCAGTAAAAAATGTATGATAAAAAATTTAAAAATAATAAAGTTTTTATTAATATATTATTTATACACAGAATAAATATTTATACAGTACATAATTTTTAACAATCTATAAATAACGCTATGATATCATTTGGATGCATCCAATAATTTTATAAATTTGAAATCATCTATCATGATTAAATCTGGTTTCTCCTTTGCAAGATGTAAAATAGTTTCACCAAATAAGCTGTTAGCCCAACTATTTTTAATAAATTAAAAATGTAATTAATATATTAATATATTATTTATTTTCCATCCAAATATTTAATTTAATTTTAACTTACGCAAACCATGACCTTGTATAATTATTTGGATCATTATAATAAAAAGATTCGTGCATTAATCCAGTATCAGCACTAGATTCTTTAAGTAATTCTAAAGTTTCTAAAATTTCTTGATCATTTGTCGACGTTAAAATCTATATTTGAGAGAAAGTTAAGAAAGATATAATATATAAGAAAATTAAAAAAATTAAATTTATTACAATTATATTATTATTATTATTATTATAATTATTATTATACCTTCATACATAGACTCATTGGCCAAATGTAACCTAACCCTGTATGAGGACTACCAACTCCCTGAAATTTTTCTCCATTAAACCAAAATTTATTCCAATCACTTAAAACAAAATCTCTAGTTTTCAAATAAATTTTATCATCATTATCAATAAATCCAAAATAAGGTAAACTTAATAAACTTGGTAAATTTGCATCATCCATTAAATTTGATGAACCATAACCATCAATTTCATACGCAAAAATATTTTCAAAATGTTTATGTGGAATTATGGCATTTGAATAGATAGAATCACGTATTATTTGAGATAAATTTTTAGCTTTCTTGGCAATATCAGGTGATGTGGTATCAATCATCTCATAAAGATGAGAAAGTTCAACTGAAGCAAAAGCGTTGGATGGAATTAAGAAAGGAAATGTTGTACTATCGTCTGAAGGTCTAAATTGTGATTTTACAAGACCTGAAAATTATATAATAATTATAAATTAATAATAATTATAATAATAATAGAAATATAATATTATTACCGATTCTTTTAACAGGCGCTCCTATAATATATATATATATAAAAAAAAAATACGCATAAACTTTTTATAATTAATTTAAAAATATACATATTAAATTACTCACCAATTCCTTCCATCATCAAGGTTTCAGTGGTAGTTCTTGTTAATCTAGAAAATTTATAAGCTTCATTTTTAAATTCTTGCATTGTATGTATTTCTAATATGCTGTATCTAAAATCGAATTAACGGCTTCTAACCAAATTTTATTCGTTAAAAATCTATCATCCTTAGTATTACTCCAATAATTATGAGATAATTTTAAAAAAGAAACTAAAGAGTCAAGCTCCCATTTTTTTTCCCATGTAGCACTTGAAGGAGGTGGAGTTGTGATATCAGTTTTTGACCATGGATTTTTTGGATGAGGAAGTTTAGACTTTAGATTCAGGTGGTGCATAATATGCATTCGCATATGGATCCTATAAAAAAATTTATTAAAAATGTGTAATCTTTTTTTAAAAAAAAATATCATTGAAAAAATAAATCCTACACTGATAATTAACTCTGCTTGCATATATATAACACCTAAAATAAGATTTTTCAATTTATCATCACATTTTGCGTAAGGGATATAAGAGATAATTTGATTTGTCGAATCTCTCAGCCACATTGCACTAGGAAAAAAAAAGTTATTTATGTATTTAGTCTNCAACATTAAACCAAGCTACCGTCGTATCTATGTATGGAAAATATTAAATTAAATTTTAAAAATTTTTATCGTCATCGAATCAGAAAATAATTTACCTACCTAAGGTATTTGGCCAACAATTTTCAAATAATCTTGCCAAATCTTTATCTTTCATATTCGAAGTTATATCTTTTATGACTTTCTCAATGACAGGGCTAACAAATTTTCGTTCGGATTCTTTCGGGCGAACAAATGGAAATTTTGATTTATATTCAGTTTTGGTAGTAGTTTCTTCATTATTTGCGGATGATTTAAACAGGAACATTTTTTTTTTACTGATTTTAGAGAATACATACATTTATATCTTGATAAATTATTTGTGTCACAAATAAAAGACTGATAATCGTGTGAGCAAAAAATGGTATGTTCATGCGATCCAGTGACGATCTGTATTACAATGAAATAATGAAAATAAAGTCAGTGATGTGCTTGATTTGTGGCCGCGATGATTTATTAAGCAAACTCCCAGGGTGGTAATTAATTTTCAAATCCATGATTTTGATTTAAAATGTTAATACATATATATATTTTTTTTCGTGCCGTAGGAATTTACGTAGTCAGAAATCAGAATCGTACGAATTCAAAATATTAAATGTCTTGGGTAAAAAGACTATGGTTAATAAAAAATGGAGATTTTATAGATTAAGTCCGAATTTGAAATTTTACATTATGATAGTAATATTTAAGTGATTTATTTTTTTAAAATAAAAATAAACGAATGATCTTTTGATTTAGTTTAGTGACTTTATCTTTGTAATTTTACTGTTACTTTGAGAAATAAAAATAAAAAAATACAGTATTAAAGATCCTATATAATAAGACCAACAACAATTTCCTCCAACACTGATAACCAAATCGCGTTCGACCCTTCCGGAACTGAGGTGATGCCACCTTGGTGGAGAAAAATTAAGTAAGAAGCACAAGCGTGAGTCAAAGACACCGCGCGCGGACAAAGCACCAAGGAAAATAAAAGAGTCAAGAAATAAAAATATAGTTATCTATTACTATTTAAAAGATTACAAATAAACGAAGTGTTATAAAAATGGTCCATATTATTATTTAAAGTAAAAACCCCTATGGGTTTCCCATGTACCCTAATGTAAAAGTTACTAGAAGTCCAACGTATGTAAGACGCCTCGTCAATTCGGACTTTTTTGAATTTGTGTAAGGAGGAAACGTAAATATGTATCTTGATCGCTGAACTATATCTGGAGGTTGATCAGTAGATAAGCCTTTGGTAGGTTTATTCGAATTGTTCTTTCTCTGTTGATTTGATAATAGATTTTCTTTTTCTTATTAGTAATTCCATTCGTGATTCCCCATTGTTTGACATTTTTTTGGCTCTTTTACGCCAGATACTTTATCTTTAGTGACTGATATAATGACAGGACCTTCACCACACACCGGAATCACCACCTAACTATCTTACCTTAATAATATTTTTAATTTTAGTAATAAATGATTCAGTTTATTCGTAATTAGTATCTCTAGTAGAACAATTAACTAGAAATTAATTATTTACAATATATTATTCCTTTTAAAGTTGAATTTCTTCATTCTTGTAAATCTCTGCATTTACCTATTATAAGAAAGGAAAATTATTAAAAGTGTGCTAAATTTTTATTTAATGGTAAAGAAGACATAGCCAATTCCTCCTTTAGAATTAGCAGACTTTACTAATAACAAAGTAGGATTTTATCTGCTTGAGTTGATTATCAAGTGAACAAGAGAAATAAAAAAAAATAAAAAAAAAAGAAATAAAAAAA